GCGTCATCCTCGTCAGCACGCTTGTAGTTCTGGTAGTTGGCATAGGCACCGTAGTCGCCATAGTTGCCGTAGTTGCCATAGTTGGCGGGGGCAGTCGTGGTGGTGGCAGCAGTGGTAGCGGTCGAGGTGGCGGCCTCGGCCACTGGAGCGGCGCTCACGCCCAGCATGTTGCTGCCCAGAACGAGCAGGAGGCTCTTGGAAAGAGAATGCATGGTGAATGGACGTCTCAGACTGAAGAGAGGAGAGGGACAGGAGATCTAGGGCAACTGCAGATGGGTGGTTGGGGGAACTGCAAGGCAAAGGCCGGATAGCAGGCTGTATTTATAACTGTGTCTGCGAGATTTCTTTCATCCTCTTGATGATCCATATTTAGCAGCAGGAGAAAGAAACATCCGCAGCCAAAGCAGTCACAGCACAAGGTCTGCTAGACTGCAGTCTATCGACCGGCGTGGGGAAGGCAACCGACAGGTCAGGAACCAGACTGATTGGCCACGTCTCGGATTGTACCATCGCATGGATGTGTGAAGAGAGGCGATCACCCAGCTTATGCCAATCACAAGACGATGGCGAGCAAATGGGATCCATCAGGGGACCCGGTTACATGTTGCTTGCCTCACAGTCTGTCCCGTGGAGCACGAATATAGAATTGACTCAGATTATTCTGCAGGCCGAGAGATGAGCCTCTCTGCAGGTGAGAGAGAGGAGGAGGAGGGGTGCAAAGCCTCGGTTGGACGAGAGAAATGGTCCGAAGCGGGGGGGGAAGAGTGGATGATGTCGACAAACAAACTTAAGATGCAACAGGCTAGAAGCAGGATTCGGAGGGCGGTGGAAAGCAAAGTAAGGCATCTTTGCGTCATGTCTCAGATGTGCTTTCTCGGCTTTGCCTCTGCTTCTACTGAGTGCTGAGCAAGCTGTAAGCAAGCTGTAAGGCGGGCAACACAGCAACAGCCGGATATGAGACAGACATGCAGCTAAGCGGCGGATGTCTCAGTTGCAGCAAATGAGCGGCCTTCCCGTCGACGGGGTACCCTGCACTGGCCATGTCTTACTTTCCAAGTCTCCAAGTATTGATGGCAAATTGGGGAAGTATTACTCAGGATGAAAGTCTAAGATGAGATATTATTAGCAGCGGAGAGTCACGGAGATACCCCAAGAAGAGGATATCCACACCTCAGGCCATCCGACTTGGTCGGTCCAAGACTAGGAATAAACATCCCGCTTGATCGCCTTTCTCACATCTACTCCCGTTTTCCTGAAGATTCTTTTCTGTTTCTGCATGTTGTTGGGTTTTCTCTTGACACTTTCGGTGGGCTGTTTTCACGATGAATCTCTCCAGAGATACCAACCCCTTCGAGGACAAGATGCCCTCCTCCGAACGCTCCACCTCAACCGACAGGGAGAGGCTCCTCATAGATGAGGAGGCTACTCACTGGTCGCAAAACAACCGTTCCTCCAAGTCCTTTCTTGGAGGATGGTTACGAGTGTTGTTTGTGGTTGCGGTGGCGGTTTTGTCGTGTTTGGTGGGGGTTTTCCTAGGGCACAACCAGAGGGACTTGGACAAGTCGTGCACGCGGCGGACGACACAATATTGTAAGTTACCTATGCCCGAGATTTGGAGCCAGTCCCCAGCTAACGCGATCGCAGCACCTGTCATCGGACAAGTTGGGCTCAAATACCACCAACAACCCTTCAACGGCTCTCTGCTGAAGCAAAACATCTTCCGGCAAGATGCAAGCCCTGAAGTGGACGCAGCATGGGAGTCCCTCGGTGCCAACTGTGTGTTTATCCCCTCTTAGCTGTAATTGTCTGCATGCTGACCAGCTCTCAGTCCGCGCCATCAGGGTCCCCGCCGAGGATGCCCAGAAATCTGGCTTGGCGAAGGACCAAGTCAAGATCCGGGAGAAGTATGGCGGGGGGTATCCCGCCAACGTGGAGGGCTTCCACCATTTGCACTGCCTGGTATGTCTGGTGATACACCGCTGGTACCGTCATGCAGCTAACCCGAACAGAACCTCCTCCGTCAGTCCTTGTACTACAACTACGACTACTATCACAACCTTGGCACCGGTGCCTTCACCAACGACGACTACATTGTTCGACACCACGTCTGTAAGTGAATTTGTGTCTGGAGTTAATGGCCCTAGACTGACAGCAGCAGCGCACTGCCTCGACGTCCTCCGCCAGGAGCTCATGTGCAGTCTCGACGTCGGCGTCCTCGGCCAGGTCTGGGTGCATCCCGAGCACCCGGAGCCCTTCGTGGACTTCAACACAAAGCACCAGTGCCGGAACTTTGAGGAGATCCGGGAATGGGCGGAGAAGCACCAGCTGCCGGAGACGGTGCCGTCGGACTTTCTGGAGCCGCCCTTGTTGACGGATCGGGTGTACGAGGAGATTCCGTGAGGGGATGGAATTGAGGCTTGTATATATAGAGCTGAGCAATACTATTGGCGTATATGACTGTTTACTTTGCCGTCCTGCCCTTATACAGAAAGACATCATGGAAAGCGAACTTTGTCCACCCGGTTATCGAGGGATCCAACGCTCATCTGGCACGTAGGTCACGTGATCGCTGGTAAATGCTGGGAGCACTCAATTTAGCTACAGAGCTGTAGAGCTCCGCCCGCTCGCGATCCTATCTTTAGCTTAAAACAGTGATAATATCACTTTCAACACCACCGAGCATCACCGGAGCTCTACCCTGCATACCCTAGGCAGCAGTGGAAATACCGCCAAAAAAATGTGGAAACAACCCACCCCCGCATCACGCACCGGATAAACCCGGCCGCCGGCCTCGTCCCGCCCACAATCACTCACGCCACCACTAAATCTGCATCTAATGAACACAGAAAGTCAAATCCCCAGCCACCACATTCCAAACCTGGCCGAGTATATCTCTCCCCTTCCTTTTCCAGTTCCAGAAAACGCCACCAAAATCCGGGGACAAGCCCACACAGCCCCAACTTTATCTCAACCAGCCCCTTTCCCCCTCTCCCCGATCATACAAAACAACTTGAACCCCTAAGACTTCCCTAAAAATACAGCCACACCAGGCCAGGCCACCGTGCAAGCTGCCATCCACCACCCAAAATGTCCCTCCCCCAAATCTCAGCCCAGTTGTCCCCCACCCCGCACCCTTTCCCCACCTGCTGCCTCGCCCTCTCCAGCACCCTGATCACCTATTTGGGCAAGCTCCTCCCCACCCACCCGGGATTCACCCTCTCGATAGGCAGCGGATCCGGCCTGCTGGAGGCGCTGATCGCACTGCGCCACCCCACCGTGCCGGTGGAGGGGGTCGAGGTCAGCGGCGGCGTGAACCGGTACCTCGAGGAGTGGGATCTGAACGTCGTGCAGGGGACGTGGGATCTGCATCCCCGGGCGGCGGGGGCGGCGGCGTGGATGTTTGTGTATCCGCGGGAGCCGGGGTTGGTGCGGAGGTATTTGGAGGAGTTTGGGCGAGGTGCGGTGCAGATGGTGGTGTGGTTGGGGCCCCGGGCGGATTGGGGGGATTATGTTGGGTGTTTTGAGGAGGGGGTTTGGGTGGGGGAGGAGTTGGGGGAGGAGGAGGGCGTGGCGGGGTATGAGGTTTGTGTTGTTCTGAGGAGACGGGAGGGTTTGGGTGAGTGAGGGTGAGGGTTGGAGGGGGGGGGTTAGGGTGTTTTCTTGGCGATCTGGTAAAGGTGTTTTGGACACGCGTGATGCATGGGCTGGTTATGCAGCGTTGGAATGAGGGTTCGGTGGTGCTGGGTGTATCAGGTGTTGAACGGGGAGGGGGGAAGTGCAAGGGGAAGCTGTGCTGGTGTGGCGGTTTGCATGCTGCTTGCAGTTTCAACGCATGCATTAATTGTGGCTCTTGTAGGGGAATCCTGCGGGAGCCTGGACTTTGCGAGGAGTGCATGACCCTATTTGCGATCATTCTTGGGCTGCGATGATGACTCGAGCGAACCCTGGATTCGACCTGGCAGATCAAGCGAAATCTCCTCTCGGAGCTGTTATGGCGATGGTGGTGACATTGCAACACTCATCACATAACCGAGTTCGAATCCTGACTGGGCATAGATACTCCTCCAAAGTGATACTTCACGCTGCTCAACAACTCGGCAAGATGCGCCCGCCGATCTAGACCGGCACTTGAAATACGCAGTTCTACGATCACTGTGGGGTTGTCAAACCCTTGCGAGGAGAACAGAAATGACACCAAGACACGGCACGTTCTCGTTGCGATTATCGCGCACCCTTTAATCTCCCCTGTCAGATGAGCGGTTAGGGCTTGGCGTGACCCCCTGACACAGTGCAGTGGGGTTGTTTTGCGTGACCCGCCATGCAGCGGAGATCTAGACCCTGATACCAAGACTCGCCAATCTTATGTCTACCGAAGTTAAATTAGAGGGACGATACGGATCGGCAACGGTTGGACCTTGAAGTTGGAGTTCGCCCTGCAATACTACATGTCGCGACAGAAAGAGATACAAGGGGACAGCGGAGCTCAACCTCGCGGAAACACCAGAGGCGGCCGCAAGTATCTTGCATACAAGTTTCATAAAGATTCAACCCCCAAAGCGAGAAAACACTAGATCTCATGCTCCCCCTATCCCAAACAAGCCTATCAAACATGGTTTGTCTAGCCACGAAACACAGAACAACCCCCCCTCAACAGAGACCATGCCTACAACACAGCCACCGTCTCCCCGCCCTTCAACCAGCACACCTTCTCACTGATCCCCTCCGCCTTAAACACGGCGCGCAACTCCTCGCCGAACTGCGTAAAATGGCCCCAGGACTCGTAATGCATCGGCACCAGCACATCCGCCCGCAGCGCGCGGAACAGCCGCGCGCCATCCTCGCCGCCCATCGTGATCTTCAACTTGGGGCCGTGGGGGTCCTCGGGCCGCGCCGCGTGCGCGTTGCCCAGGTTCATCACGGCGGCGCACACGTGGTACCGGTCCGCAATTTGCTCGAGCTCCTCGATGTACACCGTGTCGCCGGTGAAGTAGATGGCGTTGGGGAGGTTGTCGCGCCCACGGCCGAAGGTCTCGGCCGTGACGATGAAGCCCGTGCATTCCTGGCCGGGGACGTGCTGCGTCGGCGTCGCGATGATGGTGAAGGTCTGGCCGGCGATGCGGGTCGTGATCTCGGACCAGGGCTGCATGCCGCGGACCGCAGGCCGCGGGGCGAGGTTGCGCGCGCCGTCGACGGTCGTGAAGACCGGGCGTGCGTCGAGGAGCTGGCGGCCGAGCGCGTCGAGGTTGTCCGGGTGGTCCTCGTGGCTGAGGAGGACGGCGTCGATCACGGGGAGCTGGTCCAGGCGCAGGGCCGGGTCGTCTTCGACGCGGAGGACCAGGCCGCCGACGGGGAACTCCGAGCCGCCCGGGGAGAAGAAGGGGTCCGTCAGGAAATTGACGCCGTTGATCTCGAGAATGGCGGTGGCGGTGCCGATGTGCGTGACGTTCACAGTGAGGGCCATAGTGGTGTTGGTGGTGGAAGAGAGAGTTGGACCTTACTAAGTGGGATGTGATGTACAGTCCTCGGATATGCTGGTCGTGTCGAGTGAGGGGATCAGAGCGAGGTACTTATAGCTTCTACACCTGAGGTCAAAAGTCTATACTGAGCCGAAATCCATGACGAATTTGTCAAAGTTGAGCCCGACAGATGGATTACTATGCCGGCATCCCGCTCGGGATCTTCGGGGCATGGAGTTGGTTACCGAAGGTTACAGGGTTTTGTCATCAGCCCCAAGTGACTAATGAGCCTTGACGTCGTCAATGGGTAGAATGACGGCAAATGGGATGCCGGCCGGCGGGATAGTCATATTGACAAATTGTGCACCCGTTATCATGGAATCGGTAACTAAGCTTAGCCTACGAGTTCACATTACCACTTCGCTGGGACGCAAAGCTCAGGTGGAGTACAGACCAAGGTACAAGTGAGCACTAAACTAAATCGGAGTGAGAAATAGGCCCTTCACCCGATCCTATACTATCCATGCTTGGGGTATCTGAGTTGTATCGTTTCACAGCTGTCAAAAAGCCTGACCGGCTGGACATATACATCAAGTACCTCTCCAAACTTGACCTCTTCCGAAGCTGGATCTTGGTCTGACTTCTCATGAAGCTCAAGAGAGAAAAGGCTACGGGAACTGCACTTAGGGCTTGTGCACCCAGCGCCGATGTAGACCCGAAAGAGGTTTAGCGTCGGGCTTGATGAGGGACAGTACATAAAATAAGCGCTCTAGGCGATACAGATGAGCCTTTACTTGATATCCCTATATTTTGAATTCATCGAAAAGATTAGCCAAACAATACTCTATATTTATCACTACCACGTACTTCTTAATGGAATCACGCCTTGGCCTGCATCCTCTTTAACTCCTGGATCATCGGACTGGCCTTCCGGATGCGATGCCCGTAGAAGTAGAACACCACCGGGATGGAGATGCACCCCGCCTCCACCAGCCCCAGCAGAGTACTCGCCCAGTTCAGCCCCAGCGTCGCATACATGGACGGTTCGGCCAGGGGCAGGCACGCCCCCACGATGCTGCGGGTGAGCATGTTGCCAGCCAGCGCCGAGGCCGTGTAGATTCCGTACGAGCGGGCGATGTAGTTACTGGCGTAGATGAAGACACAGGCGTTGCCGGCCCCGAAGGGCACCCCGGAGAGGATGGGCACGATCCAGTGCACGTTGGGCGTGCACGTCCAGGCAAACCACAGCTGCCCGACGGCAAGCAGCGTGGCCCCCAGGCAGACCACGCTGGCCATGGCCTCGGGGGCCACAAGCCCGGTGGCTGGATCCTTGCGATGCAGGTTGATGACACGGCGGAAGAGCGGTTCGCACGCGATGGCGATCAGGACGCCGACTCCGATGCCCACGAAGGCCAAACCGCCAAGGCCCGGAGACCAGCCCCGCTTCGTCTGGAAGGCGATGGGGAAGGCGACGAAGCAGAGGTATAGGACCCCGTAGATGAGCGCGACGTAGATGTCCCAGAAGATGCTGGAGATGGCGAAGGTCAGTACGTGTTGACGAGAAGCTGAGCAGGGCAATCTCGTACCAAATGGGTTCGGTGAACAGCATGACAAACGGACGGCCAAAGCCCGTCCTGAGTCGCGCGGAGAGACTCTCCCCGTCATCGTACTGTGTCCACCACCGGGAATCCCCGGTCTGCTGGCGCCTCTTGGCGGCTCGCTGGCGCAGGATCACCGGCGCGTAAGTCTCGCGGATGCACGCCATCAGGGCCAGGACGGCCCCGCCGATAATCAGCACCAGCCAGTTCGTCCACCTCCACCCCAAGTATTCGAACACAAAGCCCCCGATAATCGGACCGTAGACGGGCCCGTTCGTTGGACCGATGGACCAGATGCCGAACGCCATGGCGCGGTGCTCGTCGGAGACCACGTCGTTCACCGAGGCGGGCGAGTTGCCCATGATCGCGCTGCCGAAGAGGCCTCCGAAGAACCTCTACCTCGCCATCTTCGGCGACGCGGTCCTGGAAGGCCCGATCAGGTGGTGGGCGCGATGCTCCACCGCTACACCGACACGGACGAGGACCCCTACAGCATCCGACAGGGGTTGTTCCACGCCCACCTCGGATGGATGGTGCTGGCGAAGCCGCAAGCACAACCGCCCGGGAAAACCCGGCGCACACGGCGCCGCATCGACCTCTCCGACCTCGACGCTGACGCGGTCGTCGTCTGGCAGAGTCGGTACTACGCATTGCTCGTCGTACTGATGGGCTGGAGGTTCCCGATGGTAGTGGGCGGGGTCTTATTCCGGGCTGGGCGGGGGGGCTACTGTAAGGGGGCATCATCAAGATGGTCCTCGTCTACTACAGTACCTTCTGCGTCAACTCACTAGCGCACTACCTCGGGGACCGGCCCTACGATGACTAGGTCACCCCGCGCGACAGTTTCCTGGCTGCGGTGCTGACGCTGGGCGAGAAGTATCATAACTCCCACCATACCTTTCCGTCGGACTACCGCAATGGGGTCCGCTGGTATCATTACGACTGCACCAAGTGGGCGATCGCGGGGTGCGCGGTGCTGGGATTGGCCGATGGGCTGCGCCGGGCGGGCGACGGTGAGATTGAGAGGGCGAGGCTGCAAGAGATGCAGAAGGCGCTCACCCGGCGAATGGAGGCCCCCCCGCAGGCTGTGACTGTGGAAAAGCTGCCGCGGGTAGACTGGGCCGAGTATCGGGGTGTGGTTGAAAAGGGCCGATATTTGGTGGCCGTTGATGGGGTGGTGCATGATGTCGGCGCGTTCATGGCGGAGCATCCCGGGGGAGAGCATTTGATTCAGGCGTGGGTAGGGAAAGATGCCATGATGGCGTTCCATGCGGGCATTTATAGGCACTCGAAGGTGGCAAGGAATATTCTGGCTTGTGTGCGGGTGGCCGAACTCGAGAGTGGAAAGCCAGGGACTGAATCCCAATAGAGTCGTCTGATTGCTTTACAGAAAGAATCAACAGGAGGGTGCCATGATATGCCAAACGTATTCGCCATTGCTGTCCCTTGTCACGAATCCTATATTCTAGAGAAAGAAATCCAGATGCTGAACTGAGGCGGAATTCATCGAAGCTCGTGGAAGCTGTCTCCCTCGACCGGTTAGAATGGAGCTTATTGACACCGTGCACTGGGATCTGCCCAGCCCAGCCCACAACTCCAAGTTTCAATAGCCAAGAAATGGAATAGACCAGGCTTGCAGTCGCATTCCATGAAAATCCAGGTTATACTTGCAGTCGAACCGGAACTCATTTCGAAGAACACAGAAGTCGTGCTGACACATAAGGCCGAGATCCGTCCTGAGCGGTGATATGCTCATAGTATAATTGCTCCGGCTGAAAGGTGTGTGGCAATCCAGACCAGACTCAGTTCTGTCTGTGTCTTCCGCATTATTCGGCTGGATCTTCCGCATCGAATTTGCAGGCACGCAACGGGTAAGATATTGGGATATGTCTTACCCTCTCATGCAGTAGCGTATCCCAAAGCGGAATACCTGAAGATCCTTATGACGCCTCGCCCGTATGGGTCCGATGCCGGCAATCATGATCTGCCGCTCTTCTGATAATCTTGTATGGCAGTGACAAATTGGGAAACAACATGATGAATCAGAGAGCGGAAGAGGTAATTCATATGCAGTGAATCTCAATAGCAAGGGTCCCCTCCGGGCATTTCTTGGCCGAATGTCTCCTTCCAAGCTGCGGGGTTCGTGGGCCTTCGAGAAAAGCCTGTGATGTGATCAATCGCCAATCAACTTTTTGACCTGAGAGAAACCAAGGCACGGGAGACGGAAATGGTGGGTGATAAAACTCTCCGTTCGCCCGTGAATTCACAACACTCTCCCCCTCTGCTTGAAGAAAACTGGTCGAGAGCCAACCCCGATGAACAAGTTGTTATTCAGGCGCGGGCCGATAATCCATCGCACCAAGCCACCATGCCGCCTACGCAACGTCTATGATCCAGCAGATGATGCAAGCCCGCGTGGTGGAGACTACGAAGCAGAAACTCGGAGATCGGGTGCAGTACGCGCTGCAGTATGCCGAAGACGATCCATTGACATATCTAGGCGGTCCTGATGCAGGATCAAAGAGGGAGGTGTTGGTGATTGTCAAAAGGCCAACGTTCTGGAGCCGGCTTCTCGCTGGTGCGGATTTGGTGAGAGTTAAACTGCTTGGGGCAGTCGCGCCTCGACTCATGGAGAGATAGGGCTTCGCAGAGTCACACATGCTGCAAGATATCGATTATGAGGTGGAGCAATTGCTTAAACTCTTCACGGTGTGCTTCCCACCTTGAGAATATCGTCAGCGTGTAAAGATACAAAGCTGATTAGGGCATAGCTCCTCTCCCAACAGCGCGGGGTCTTCCGACGCAGCTGGCTGCACCAAGTGGCCACCGGCGCCGCGCAGCTCCTGCAGCGCAGCAACGACGTCGAGCAGGCCCAGATCAAAATCTCCGCCCACTACGACACCTCGACGTGCTGTTCTCCAACTTCCTGTCGCCGGACATGAACTATTCGTGCGCCCACTGGTCCGCTGACCCGACCGAAGCTCTGGCAGCCGCCCAGCACCGCAAAGTGCACGCCCTCCTGCACAAAGCCAAGATCGCCCCCGCGCATCACATCCTCGATATCGGCTGCGACTGGGGTGACCTGGCTATCCAGGCCGCGCAGACGTACCACTGCCGCGTCACGGGCGTCACCCTCTCCAAGGAGCAGACGCGCTGGGCCGACGACCGCATCCAAGCCGCCGGGTTGGCCGATCGCATCGAGATCCTGCTCTGCGACTACCGCAACGTGCGGCCGCCCGCCGCTACCGGGTACTACGACCGCGTCATCTCGGTGGGCATGTTCGAGCACGTCGGCCGCGAGTACCTGCCGGAATACTTTGCGACGATCAAGCGGCTACTGCACCCCAGGGAGGGGATCCTAGTGCTAGATGGGATCACGGCTATGAATCGGGTAAGGTTATCCCCACATCCACGTTACTCCTATACTTCCGCAGCAACCGGGCGAAAGTTCAGCGACCTAATACCCATGGATGATCGCAAAGTCGAGATCCACAGCCTGCAGGCGCGCACCGACCTCTTCATGCTCAAATACATCTTCCCGGGGGGCTACCTGCCCACCATCGGAATGCAGCTCGATCACATCCACGAAGGGTCCGGCAAGATGCTGGTGATCACCTCGGCCGAAAGCGCCGGCTCGCACTACGCGCGATCGCTGGAGGTGTGGCGCCACAATTTCGTCCGGAACTGGGGCGCGATCGAGGCGGATTTCCACGCCGAGAATCGCCAGTGTACCGATTTTGAGGTGGAGGCCTATCGGCGGAAGTGGCTGGTATGTGATCGTCCTGCCCAACGTCGGGGGAAGGGGGGTGATGCTTCGCGGATAGCTAATGGTCTTTGGACTTTTGTCGGTTGTTTGCTGCAGTACTAGTTTGTCGTGGCCGAGACGAGCTTCCGGTTGCAGCTGTTGAATAACTTCACCATTACGGCGGCGAGGACGCCCGGGTCTGAGGTTAGCTACGAGTCGTTACCGTATGTGGAGGTGTGTGTGGCCTCGGATTACTGGGTCACATGACGCGAGAAATCTATAGATACTTCAGTAGCGGTAGATAGTTCCTTCCACTACTAATTTAAGCAATGTTTAGAGCCTCAGTTCCTTTAGCCTCTGTAGCTCCAATATCCAACGGTATAGGAGGACTATAAACGCATATATTCTAAGTAGTCCCTAAGCAATGCCAGATTACTTTCAAACTGAATATTAGACAAGGTAAATGTTGCTCAAGAAGATAAATCTAATCAAATGAAACTTTCCTCTTGTAAAAACAAAGAAAAAGAAAGACCTCAAGGGGTTTTATTTTAACTACATATACGTTCTAGGACCTTAGGTGCCTTAAGGCACTCATAGGTGGATGCCTGACTGGCGCCTTAGGCCGTCAGTATTCCTGCAGCCGCTCGCCCAAGGGTCCCTCTGCTGGACGAGCGTGGCGGAGATGCTGCCAACAAAAAAACGAAAGGCCCCCCTATTCGGAACTGAACCACAACAAATGCCGCATCAATCTGGCCGGATGGGGGATTTTGTACGCGGGATTTGTTTAAGCGATTGAGTTGGCGGGTCGCTGCCACTGAGGCATCGATCCTCTGCTCCGCATGCTGACTGGCCAGAGAAATTCCCTCAGGGCTTCTATCTCGCCGTAGGCAACACCGCTTCAGGATGTCGACAAGCCCTCGAAGGGATCAGGCCGAGGCTCTGGGACACTTGCTTGGAAGCTTTATCCGCTAAATCTTGGAATTTCGGGCCATATGCATCCCAACCTTATAATCTAGGTACCATGGGATTCTACAATCGTGCATGCCAAAACTTCTCCGAAATGTGCAGAAGGGGGGAAAGCACAGATCAATCCACCCACGTTTATATGGAAAAGGTTAGACGAACAAACACCCCCCCGATCCACCCCAGCCAGAGTAGGGCTGTCGGGGATCCACATGCTCGGTATGAGGGATTTCCGGGGGAGCATCTCCTCCACTCGCTAGAGAAGTCTTACAGTAGGAAAGCAAGAGAGAAGCTGTGCGAGCAAAATCTATCGGCGGAAGCTGTCTCCCCTTCTTCATTTGCCATCGTGGTTAGCCCTCATTATCGCTGTGCTTTTGCCGATGTCAACAAGCTTCTGTCATGGCTGCCCCTATGGAGATAAATACTGCAGTTGTCTGCATTGCCATCACTGCCCAAGAATCCACCCAACCCATCATTATTTTCTTTTTCTTGAAACGTGAGACGTGTGTGCTGCCCTGGCCTACGCTGGCTGTGCGTGCTTTGTGACACCTCCCTTGCATCGCCCCAAACCCATTTCTTCGGCTCTCACAGGCATGTCCTCTTCTCCTGCAGGCGGTGCTGCCTCGGATGACAAGCCTCGGCCCTCCCTAGAGTCGGACTTGGAATCCGATGACCACAGCCCCGATGGCAGAAGTCGAGCAACGCAGTTTCACTCCATCAACTTCGACAACGAAACTCATCCCGCCACCAACAGCCGGTCGATCTACAATGTGACGCGGTCTCGAAGCCGGGATACCGTCCGTAGTGCCCGCAGCATTTCCCAATCATCTCCGGCGGCTGGCATTCCCATCGAGTTCCGTACCATCTCCTTCCAGATATCCGAATCCCAGGCTGCAACTCAGGAGGTTCTTAAGGCTCGCGGCGAAGAGGAGAAGAAGCCGAACCAAGATTACTTCGGACGCTTGGACTTCCATCTCCTGTCCACCGAGACACTATGCCAACACTTCAATACCGACACCAACCAAGGGTTGAGCGCCGATGCAGCACAGACTCGCCTGCAGCGGGACGGCAAGAATGCCATCGCCCACCACAGTGAGAACTACTTCAAGAAGGTCTTCTGGTACGTCTTTGGTGGCTTCTGCTCGGTGCTGTGGATCGGTGTGATCATCTTCTTCCTCTGCTGGCGGCCGTTGAGCAACCCGCCATCGGTGACCAACCTCGCCATGGCCATCCTGGTCATCATCGTCATTGCCTTGCAAGCCTCCTTCTCCGCCTTCCAGGATTGGTCCACCTCTCGTGTCATGAACTCCATCCTGGGTCTCCTGCCCTCCGATGCGATGGTCATGCGGGACGGAAATCTTGTTCGAGTGCCGGCAGCGGACTTGGTTGCGGGCGATCTGGTCCACATCTCTATTGGCAACAAGGTTCCCGCCGACATTCGCATCATTCGCAGCTCTGGTGATGTGCGATTTGACCGGTCCATCCTCACGGGAGAGTCTGACGAGGTCGAGGGAGCGACAGATGCCACGGACCAGAACTTCCTGGAGACGCGCAACATCGCCTTCATGGGCACCGGTGTCACCAACGGCAATGCTGTCGGTGTCGTGGTCCTGACGGGCAGCCGATCGGTGATGGGCCGTCTGGCCTCGATCACTGCCACCGTTAAGGAGAAACCCACGCTCATCCAGAAAGAGATTTCCCGCTTCGTGCGCATTATCGTGGTGTTGACGGTCATTCTGGCGGCGGCGATTCTGTTCACCTGGGTGGGATGGCTTCGCGTGGACCAGCACGGCTTCATGAACGTCGTAGAAATGCTGAACGACGTGATGGGCTGTGTTGTGGCTTTCATCCCCGAAGGCATGCCGGTGGGTGTCGCTCTCACCCTGATGATTGTGGCCAACCGCATGAAGGCAAACAACATCTTACCCAAAGGGTTAGCTACGGTCGAGACTCTGGGCTGTGTCAATGTCATCTGCTCCGACAAGACGGGCACTCTCACCCAGAACAAGATGTTCGTCCAGTCTTTGGGGTTGGTTGACCAGGAGTTTGACATGGAGGCCCTGAAAAGCGGCCAGGAAAAGTCTATTCCGATCCCAACTGCCTTGGAACCGCTAGTGCAAGGATCCACCCTGTGCAATGATGCTTTCTTCGACCAAGAGACCAAAGACCTGCCCATCAACGAGCGGACGGTCAATGGAAATGCCACTGACGCTGCTGTGCTCCGCTGGGTCGAGACGCTGCGGCCGAACGGCAATGCCGGCTTGCATGAGTACGAACGCATCCACCAGATCCCGTTCAATTCGAAAAACAAATGGATGCTCACGATACACAAAACTCCCCAGTTCCCTACTCGCTGTCTGGTCTATGTCAAGGGGGCGCCCGATGTTCTCGTGCCGCATTGTGCATCGTACCTGTCCGGAGACGGTTTCCCCAAGCCCTTTGACGCCGCCGCCCGAGAATCCTTCTCGGCCTTTCAGCAGAAGCTCTCGCGTCGCGCCCAGCGCGTGATCGTGCTGTGTCAGAAGGACTACATCCCCACGGCGGCAGTCGGCACGAATGACTTCAATGACGAGATCCTGGCCCACGGATTGCGAGATCTCACCATTGTCGGCATCTTCGGCATCGTTGACCCTGCTCGTCCCGAGATCCCGGCCACGGTTGCCGCCTGTCGCCGAGCCGGCATCCGCTTCTTCATGGTCACCGGTGATTTCGGCTTGACTGCAGCCGCCATCGCCCGAGACATTGGCATTTTCACTGGCACGGCCGAGCCGAACACTGTCTCCGACCTGCAAGCGTGGTCTGCGGACGGTGGGGACGAGGAGGCGTCGCAGAAACACTCGAGACGCAGCCTGCTGGTGGAGGGGTCCCAGATCCCCGCGCTGAACCAGTCCCAATGGGACGCAATCTGCCAGTACGAGGAAATCGTCTTCGCACGCACCACGCCCGAACAGAAACTGCGCATCGTCGAGGAGCTAAAGGCCCGGGACAACGTGGTGGCCGTGACGGGCGATGGAGTCAACGATGCCCCCGCGCTGCGCGCGGCCGACGTCGGTATTGCGGTAGTCTCCGGTAGCGACGTGGCCATCGAGGCGGCGGATCTCGTGCTGATGGATCGCTTCGACTCGATCATCGACGCCATCCGTCTGGGCCGTCTGGTCTTCCAGAACCTGCAGAAAGTGATCGCCTACCTGCTCCCGGCGGGCAGTTGGTCGGAGATCTGGCCGGTGATCATGAACGTGTTCTTTGGCGTGCCGCTCCCGCTCAGCTCGTTCCTGATGATCATCATCTGTGTCTTCACGGATCTGTTCCTGTCGCTGTCGCTGATCATGGAGAAGGAGGAGTTCGACCTGCTCAGCATCCCGCCGCGCAACCACAAGACCGACCACTTGATCAACCTGAAGATCTACGGGCAGTCGTACTTGTTCATCGGTGTCATCGAGACCGTGAGCGCCCACGCAATGTTTTTCCTGTATATGTACAAGAAGGCGGGCATCCCCTTCCACGCCCTCGTCTTCGCCTTCGCGAAGTACTCGGACGGCTTCTACGGCTACACCGAGGCGGAGCTGACGCACTTCAACGCGGTCGGCCAGAGTGTCTACTTCGTGTCGCTGGTGATCATGCAGTGGGGCAACATCCTCTCCGTACGCAACAAGCGCCTGTCCATCCTGCAGGCCGACCCTATCCGCAAGAAGCAGCGCAACTTGTGGCTGCCCTTGGCGATGCTGGTGTCGCTGGCCATCGCCATCTTCGTGACGGAAGAACCCGGCCTGCAATCATTGTTCAACACCGCGTCTATTCCGCTGGAGTTCTGGTGTATCCCGCTGGGCCTTGCGCTGGGAGTTCTGATGATGGATGAGATCAGAAAGGTCGTCGTGGGCATGTTTCCCCGCAGCCTGGTGGCGAAAGTTGCTTGGTGATTGTCCACGAAGGAATGAAGTACTGTACATAAATCATTAAGTAAAGACATGATGAGAATGCCGTGAAAAATAGCGGCCCAAGATCAACAACAAAATATGATCAACGAATGACATGTAATATTCGTATCGGACCCGTGGTTGCGCAGGACTCAACCAAGTATACAGCGGCTGTATTTTCCACAACGTCGGTGCAGATGATGCTGCTGCACCTCCATCGGGAAAGCAGATGACCATTGCAGCAAAACAGTTCACTCATACACTCACAGCAGAAACGATTCGATTCTCGAAAGACCAAATTGTTACCGCGATGGGAACCTTGCTTACAGCAGCTTTTTTTGGGCACTCACAGCCCTTGCTTTTAGATTCCACGCCACCTCCTCTGGTCTCTGTACAATGATCTCACGGGTGAGATCCATCCTCTCGGGAGGGGTGTCGTGGAGCTCCAGAGCGTAGCGACCGACGACTGTTGCTAGCGTCGTGTAGACCTCTGCATCGGATAGACTACCAAAGGTGGAAATCCTCATGAATACCCCTCCAATGTAGGAACCTACCCGTTGCGGAGTCAAGGGGGAAGGGCTTACTTTATGCCCACGCAGGCCCTTGTACCCCTGGTGAACGGCACCAGATACTTTGAAAGGTTCACACCTCTTTCATTCGCAACGATCCACCGTTCCGGATCGAAGGACTCGGGTTATGGAAAGATCTCAGAATTGCGGTGCAGAAAGTAGCTACTCGGGCTCATCGGGGTCTAGAGGATTTGCGTTGAGTAAAGATACGTGTACAGGGCCTCATCGGTAAGCGCTCCCAGCGGGAGGTATCGCATAGCCTTTGTATTGCAAAGTCTCGTTGGGGGCCACTCGCGGAGGACACATGGCAACCGGACCTAGTCGAAGCGATGTGTTCACCACGGCCTTCTATCCAGGAAGTGATTATGAGGCGATTTGATACTAGGAGTCACGAGGGATGAAACGTACCAGGTAGGGCAACTGCTCGACCTGAGGCCAAGGGACTCTGTCATCGGAATGTGAGACGATTGTCTTCACCTCCTCCCGAAGCTTCATGAACATCTCCTTGTCACGCAGCAAATGATACATAGCAAACGTCAGAGTTGCAGCGGTAGTCTCAGTACCTCCAACCAGCAAGAGAAAGCCTTCATCGCGCAATCGAGGGAGGGATCGCTCCGCCACAGGCACGGCGGGGTCCGTCAAACAGTCATAGATTGTTCCTTGGAGGTCAGACATCCGGTGTCTTGGCCGTAGAGGTAGTGCGTGATGATGTCGCCTGTCAGCGCCACAAAAGATCGCTCAGGTTGATGACTGCCTCCTCCTTGGAGGCCATCTTGAGATGCGGTTATCCGGCAAGCGTGGTTCTCTATCTAGTCGGCATTATTGATCGCTTAAGCATGGTCGATATCTGTTAATCTATGTTAAAGGCTTCGATCCTTGTGCGGGTCATATGTAAATGGGCTCTATGAAATCTGCTCAGGGGATTGGGATTGGGTGTGAGGTAGACAAATAGGTCAGATGGATATCGACTCGGCCGTTGCGCATCAGAAAGGGCTAACAACGATGGTCTTGTCGCTTCCGGTGGCGAGGCGGGATGAGCTCGGACCGCTGCTGGGCATTATCAAACTGTGAGTCCTCTGGAACCGATCACAACACGTCCCACCAGCACCAAGGACAAGTTCAATACATGTTGTATCCTCGCAACATCCATCTTCTCGCGACTCCTGCGTGCGGAAGGCCCCGTGAACGAGGACAGTACGCTGCAGACGGAGCTGAACCAACTCACGCAACGGATCACCGAGGTCGACGCGGCGTTCTGGATCCGACAGGCGCCGGAAACGTTGGCCTGGATTATCTTCACGGGGGCGGCGGCTGCCCGCACCAGCCTGGATCGCGGGAGGCTGATCCTGTACGGGGGCACGGTCCTTACCGCTGTTGACTCGGAGAGGTTGGTGCTCGTCCGGCAGGGATGGGTCTACTTTGGCCTGCTGAGGAAAATTCGGCAGGTGCGTGCGATCCCTGCGTAGGAGTTGGTCCTGCAGGCAGAGTCGCGCGCATAGGTGGGATTGTGGATGTGTCAGGCCCTGGAGGTTCTCCATCCGACGACAGCAGGCTGCACTATTGGGATACAGAGAATGTTGGGGAACAGCTAGGGTGGACACCGACAATGATAAGGTTACTGAGGCATGCAGTGTTCGGCTGCGTAATTTATCCTTGCAATAGGACTCTTCGGAATAAGATAATCACAATTACGTGATGGGCATGATCATGCACAGAAACAGAATTACATTACCGGTACGATTATCTTGCAAAAAAGTCTTATCTCTACAGCAATGAACAAGAGAAAGGTCCCAGGACACAGGGCAGTTTCAAAGCGTGCGAACAATGCCCGCAGGCTCCGGCCTCAGATTATCGCGACATACGCTTTCGCTATCAAAGCTGCCCGGCCATGTGTTCTTGGTGCCTCAGGCGATAGTGCTATGTTTGATTTACCATCCATCCATTTATCCTACCGAATAAACTGATGTATCGTGAATCCCTCGCACAAGGCTCACAATCAAAAAGTTCATTCCGGAAGAAGTTGGCGGTCAACCACTTTCTAAACATGCGCATTCTTAGACTTGCATTATGGGAACGATTACCTAATTATGCAGACGTGCACGTTGACCCGAGCGTGGGAGGTGAAAATCACCCTCTGAAGTGAGGATGGAGAGGATGGCCCTACCCACATCCTCCATCAACGCCATTCTTCATAGACACAGAAAAGAAGGAAGCTGTTTTGGGTTGGGTGGTGATGCAATGACGTCGATATGTGGTATGGATAAGCGCCCCCCGGAAAACAGAAAAGTCAACTGAAACCGGGTTTATCTCCTCATACGCAACCGTACCACTTGACCAGTGATGCAATGCGCACACGACAGCTACTGGATGCATAAAGCTCAGGAAACAGATCAGAGGCAGAGCAACACCATCAGCATGCAACAATGGGAAACGAATCGTACACCGATCTGCTGATTATCGGCGCCGGCCCGGCCGGGCTAATGGCAGCCTGCTGGGCGGCGCAGTTCCAGATGCAGACGCGGATCATCGACCAGAAGCCCGGGCGGACACCCACGGGTCACGCGGACGGGCTGCAGAGTCGCACGCTGGAGATCCTGGACAGCTTTGGGATCGTTGATCCCGTCCTGCGGAAGTCGGTGCGACATACGGAGATGGCGTACTGGGTAAGGACTGTCGCACCGTCTACAATTGGGCTGCGGGAGGCTGATCAAGGGGATGTAGGCGATGAATGGGAGCACCGGGCACATCGAGCGGCGCAAACGAACCCCGTCGTTGCCCGGGAGCTCCGTGTATGATCAAAGGCTGCTAAACCAGGGCGCTACGGAGCAGGTCTTCCTCGACTATCTCCACGAGATGAGGATGCACGTTGAATACAGGACTCGAGCACGGGAGCTGGCACTATCGGAGTCCAAGTCCGAGACGGATCACAAAGTGGCCGTTGGGGTCGTGTCGGGTGAGGCGCAAGGTAAGCCTTTCTTGGGGAGGGACCTTATCTATCGTGCATTGGAACGTGGCTTACACTACCCAGACACGACCGATGGCTCGGAGACGATTCACTGTCGCTATCTGATTGCATGTGACGGTGCACGTGGCTGGACCCGGAACCAGTTGCATGTCCCAGTCGATAAGAATCTGGGGGAGTCGACCTGGGCGGTATTTGACATTGCCCCTATTACGGATTTCCGTACGTGCATGGTGAAGGCCAAGACTCTGCATCTTGATTCGTGCTAAGACATCACATAGCGGACATTCGTCAGTCGTGTGCGATTAGCTCCGGCGACCGTGGGAGTATGATGACCGCACCCAGAGAGAACCGGCTGGTTCGGTTCTACATCCATCCCAAGGGCGACAAAGAGCTCTACAATGGCCACGATACAAAGCATGAGCCATCGCTTGATGAGCTGGTTAGGACGGCGGAGAGCATGATGAAACCGTACAAGTTGGAGTACAAACATTGCGATTGGTACTCTTTATACTCAGTATGCACGTCACATCCCGAACCCTCCTTCTCATCACTCTGACAGCAAAGCAAAGATAAAACAGCAGCTTGTCAAGCAACTCCGGCCCCACGACAGGTAACGTAAGCCTGGACTTGGTTTCAGACAAGACGTTCCACTGACCATCATAAGAATATTTCTGGCTGGCGATGCTGCCCACACTCACTCCCCAAAGGCAGGTCAAGGGATGAATGTGTCGATGCAGGATACATACAACCTGGTTTGGAAGTTAGGTGCGGTCATCACCGGAGCTGCAAGCCCAAGGATACTGGAAACCTACGAGTCTGAAAGACGACCGGTGGCAGAGGAATTGTTGGAGCTGGATGCGCAGCTGGTCGGGGCGTATGAGAAAAACACCGGCGCGGCCAAGGGGATTGAATCGGTTCGGGACCAGTACTCCGAGTTCATATCGGGTCTAGGGGTGACCTACGGTCCTGATCTCCTCATTGCAGACCAGACTACACAGGGTTTGGCAAAGAACATCAAAGTAGGAAGACGGTTGGATCCGTTCTATGTGGTCAACCATGCCGAAGCTGCATCGATCAACCTGATGACCAGACTTTCAAGCGATGGGTCGTGGAGACTGCTGGTCTTTGCCGGGGATATTCGTCAAGCAGACACTCGTGTGCGTCTGGATTCATTTGCCAAGACGTTCAGCCAGCAGCCGCTGCTTGCACGCATGTGTGAGAAGCGGTACGGGACCCATGCTGGGTGGCTCCTGGAGACGATCCTCGTGCATGCAAGCCCACGCACATCAGTCGAGTTCCTTGAACTCCCTGAAATCTTCCACCCGTTTGACGACACGTGGGGATGGGATTACACGAGGGTATTCACGGACGAGGGCTCGTACGATCCAGGGTGTCGTGGTGCTTACGACGGCTATAGGATTGACAGGAATGCTGGGTGCGTTGTGCTTTGTCGACCGGACCAGCATGTTGGTTGGATTGGGGCTTTGGAGGATGTGAGTGGTCTGGAGGATTACTTTTCTGCGTTTTTAGACAGGTAAGACGATGGACGTAATGTACCGAATGGCTACTATGGCTACAATGTAGATACTGGTCTTGAATGAAGAGCTTTTCGAAACATGGTCTCTCCCCATCAGAAAGTTGATATCATTGCCATGTTAGCTTACATAAATATCCCTTGCTTTGGCCTCTCGCCAATATGTTGTCGCGAACCCGGCTATACATGGCTCGCTCACATGCAAGGCAAGGCAGCAGCAGATGCGTTGCCATATTCCGGGACCCTGCCAGCCCTGGCATCCGTGTTATGTCGAATCGAGAAAGCCCCAAATCTGCACGACACAAGCCTTGGATGCCGATCGAATGATCTGTCGGATTCGAGATGTAGATCTGGGTCCACGAGAGCGCCCCACTTCCGTCATGATGAAGTAGGGTCACTCCACACCTTCACTGGTGACCTAGCCCTAATCCCTCCTCCCGGACAGCTCCTCCAACAGGCCAAACACCACCACTCCCTACCACCTCCCCCTCTGCAGCGCAAATCCCTCGAAACTCAATCCCCCCAAGCTCCCGGCACCGAATCATCATGATGACCACATTTCAGCAGGGCAGGGACCATCGAAAATCCCCGATCATGACCCCGATCTGCCGGCCACTGTCTGGCGATCGAGAGCCAGCAAAACTGCGGGGTTTCACTGCACTCCTTTCTTCTGGAGAGGCCGGTCCCCTGGAAACCCCGCCAAGATGATGTCGAGCATGACTTCACATCCGTACTTTCCCCTCAACCACCGCATCATCGCCTCGTATCAACACCTCGCAGAGATACATAGTACGTAAAATGGGATCTGAAGTGACATCGATTAGGAATCAGGTTCTGGCTGGTCGACCGTGTCCCCGAGCATAAATATCCCCGACCGGGACACCCTGGTCTCGGTAGCCGATCCAACCACACTGACATATCTTCATCACCGACGCAACTCAGCACTAGCGACCAAGCCCTCAACTTAAACCACCCGTGTTCACATCAAAATGGCTCACAACACCAACCCCGGCAACTTCTCCAACCGCCCCCACGAGGAAGTGCAGAACATCGCCCGCAAGGGCGGCCAATCCAGCCACTCCGGCGGGTTCGCCAGCATGGACGAGGACAAGCAGGTGGGTGCTCCATCATCGCCCCGATCCTTCACCCCTCCTTAACTCTTGGGGTCCGTCACTCACTCAAAAATGATAGCGCAACATCGCCTCGATGGGCGGCCACGCGTCCAGCGGCAGCTTCCAACCGGGCGACCCGCGCGCCCGCGAGGCCGGCCACAAGGGCGGGCAGCACTCCGGCGGCAGCTTCGAGCCCGGCGACCCCCGCGCCCGCGAGGCTGGCCGGAAAGGCGGCTCCCGCACGGCGGACACCCCGGAGGAGTAAACAGTAAACCAGCGGGCCGCAGCCCCTCAGCCTCACCACCCACCGACGATGTTTTGAGCAGTTGGGGGTGTTCGGGGAAATCTTATGATGAACGTGACGTGATGCGACGCTTATGACGTGCAATGATTTTGATTGTATTTTTGCTGTCGTTGTGCGATATGGAATGGCGGTTGACAGGGATCGGGGAACTGTACGTTAGGCATCTGGTTATCAGAACGCTATGGCAATGGCAAATAGCGGTGGATTCATGGATTCACGTACTGTATACTCCGAAAGAATCAAAGTGGCCCGAGTACAAAACTTAAAACTGACCTGTGTGCGGTGCTTTCATATCGTAAAACGTCAGCAGTCCCACCCACACCCTGCAGGCACGGTACCGCCTGTCCTCTACTCTATCTAGTGCTTAGGCTTCCCTTATCAGGTATCTATCTAAGGTTGCCAGCAAGAGTCTGGAGTTGAGATGAGTGAGGATAGCGCCAAGCGCTGTAGACAGCGAGCTGAGCCAGGACTGAATTGCGAGAGTCGAAGCGAGCATCGAAGCGAGCGTCGAGTCGATCCAAGAAAGCCGGACAGATCTCGTGTGGACTGTTCGTTCGCCACCAAGGACCCCGTCCATCTGCATGTGTACTATACGTATGTATTTACAGTACAGAGTCCGATCGGAGACCGCCCAACCAAGCCCAACCAAGTCGTGACATCCATACCGATGGCATTCCATTTTTAGCTTCCACGATCTCTACATAAAGTTACGAGGACGTACATAGTACGTCCTCCGTATAAGTATGTCCAGCCCGTGTGTCAAAGCACAGACCAGACACCAACCCAAGACCCACACTGAACCCCCAATCCCAGGGCTAGTCAAAGATGATCGCACGAATCCCTCCAAATCCTAAATCGTGCTTTTTCCCAACTCCCCCTCCCCCGTCCTCTCGAATCCCCACCCATGCCCCAAAAATTCTCCAAAGCGATCAATCGGAAGGGTTAGTGTGAGTGAAACACGGCAAGACGGGGAAAGGGCAAGCTTAGACGTTTTGAAACATGCTTGGCTGCAGCCCACATGAAGTGTGCAGGTAGACTAAAGTTATAGTGGGGATAAGGCTTTTTACATAGGACAGCAATCCAGTTGGCCCCGACTAAACGCTGCGTGGGGCGCACTGGGGACGGCGGAAGGACTGTGACTTTGCCTGTTTGGGTAAACCCGACAAAGTCCCGAGTCAGCTCGAAGTCGTGACATCATTCATGGCTGCTTGCTTTTTGGTGGTCCGTCGGTGAGATTCTTCGGTAGAGCTCGACATCCCATCCCTATCATTACGTTTCTCCGGGGGAAGTAGAGGAAATTACTGATACTGGCGGTTGAGATGTTCGAAGGTTTGATTGGAAAATTCTGTCCGATTGGAAAATGTTGTGTTATTTTCTTGTAGTGGTAATTTTTGTGTTTCATGTCATGAATAGTTCTTTTTGACAGTCGAGAAAAACAATGAATCAATCCGCTGGCGCTTGCTTGGTTTACAAAATGCAATGAGTGAAGCCGCCTCCTTTGTCCCAGAAACTTAACCGGTACGCCCCCATCCCCATACACTTAACTGCCCGCGTCGCCGGACAGCGCACTGGTGTACATCCAGACGCACAACTCAATGTAGAAAGTCCAACAAGGAAAGTAAGGAGAAAAAGAGGAGAGGACCAATCCCATATATCCCTAAGAGAAACCGTAAGAAAGTCGTGTAAATTGTAGTCGTCCGCATGGTCGGATACGATCACGGACTCTCCTGTATCTTCACTCCCTCCTCCTGCTCATCTGTTTTTGAATCACCAGCGTTAGGCAAGTGAAGCATATCATCGAATCCATACGCAGCCTCCGGCGCAACCTCCTGTTTCGCATCGCTTTGATGCGCCGGAGACAGCGGCGTGGACCGCGATGACCGACCCAGCGGGCCACCGTCCTCTTTGGCCGAGGCCTCACTGGCGCCCGAGACCGAGGCACTCCGCTGCGAGAGGTGGGCCACCATCCGCGCCAGATGGGCCTTGATGGCCGGGTCGTCGCAGCCGGAGTGCCGCAGGAGCTCGTTCTTCAGCTCCAGGATCTGGCTGCGCAGCTGGCTGACCTCCGACTCCAGCCGCGTGTTGGCCTGCGTCACCTCCATGCACCGGCTCTCCAGCTGGCGCGTGTGCTCCTTCTTCTTGCGCCGGCACTTGTTGGCCGCCACGCGGTTGCGCTCGAGGAACCGCTCGCGCTTCTGCTGCTCCACCGCGTCGTGGGTCGGCGAGAAGACCGGCTCGCTGGGCCGGCGCGCCGCGTTGTAGCCCGTCGTGCTGCTGCCGCTGCTACTGCTGCTGCTGATGCTGCTGATGCTGCCGTAGCTGCTGCGGTGCGATTGGTCGCTGATGCTCCCGCGGGATGTGATCTCGTGCATTGGGACGGGGTAGGAGGAGGTTGTGCTGGCGGCGAAGGGGTGCATGGTGGGGTCGAGGAGGGGTTCTTTCGAGGCGAGGTGCGGGTGTTGCTGTTGCTGTTGGTGGACGTGGGCAGGCATGGGTTGGTCGGGCGAGAAGAGGTTCGGTTCAATGTATGCATTCATGAAGCTTTGTTGTTGCTGCGGTGGTGGTGATGGGTGCGCCTGCTTTTGTTGCTGCGGTTGCTGTTGGAACCCGTCGAACCGCTCCGATGCGGCGGGGGCTGCAGCACCCGGGGTGCTCCCGCTCATCGACCATTCTTGCATCCCCTCGAACAATGGCATCGTCAGGAACTCGGAGGAGATTGTGCTGTCCAGGAAGAACGGCATTGGGCCTGTCCAGGTAATTTCGGACTTGGACGGCGCCCCTGGCATGGAGGCGTGGTCGAGATTGACGGACATCACTGTATGCTTTTCTTTCACAGAAAGGTGGTGCGGTGCACGAATCAATTCGGGGTTGGACTTTTCGTCTTACGCAAAGGACAAGCTAATTGCCACTGCACGGTGTTCAGATTGAAGGAGACGCGCAACCGGAAGGGACGTGGTAGACAATCTCAGGGAAGTGACAGAATTTGTGTAACTATATGGGATAGTGACAGGAGGGTTCTTGCCGTGATCACCAGTAGTCAGTTTTCAGCAGGGTAAGTCCAATGGAAGGTAGGTAGGACAGCAGGAAGGTATGTCAAAGGTATAGTAGCTGGGTAGTGTGAGTATGAGTAGGTAGTATGTTGTAGGAGGGGGGTGGTGTGGTGGAGTATTACACATCTTTATTAGAAACCGAGCGCACTCCCCAACTGAGGACCCGGCAATGACGATGCATGCGGGCCAACCAGTTTTGACACTAAGATGAAAAGAAAAAAGAAAAAGAGTTGAGACGGGCGAAAGAACTAGAGGATATTTCCGGGAGAGGCCTTGGGGGTTATGAATGGGCAGTTGATCGGCTCTCACAGCAGAGCGCGAGAGATTTTGCTTCAATGCAGTTCAAGGAACGATGGGAAGGACGTTGACAGGGGGCAGGAGGATGTATCCAGAGGACATGATTGGATGCACCAATACTCCGGTGGGCTCGACCCGATGGATCCAGGTGGTGTCCATCTCCAGCGAAAATTCATTGAGGTTGATATCTTGGATCGCGGGGAGGAGAGGGATTTGGATTTGGATTTGGAAAATGACGTCTCCAGTCGATCTGCTTACTCCAGTACTTCCCGCCTCATCCGACCAAGTAGGAAGGTAGGTCGGTAGGTACTGTACCGGACCAAATGCAACGAATTGTCTAGAAGCGTACTGTAGATCCTGCCGAGATATCCTTATCCTACTGTCTCTGATAGTATCCATGGCTATCCATTGACTCTCACTCTGCTTCCAATCTATTCTTACCTTTCCTATTGTTCTTCGATGCAACCGACTCGATGACTAATCTGCTGATCGCTTCCGTTTCGAACCCAGGGATCTTGTTCCGCCAATCAGAATGCTTCACATGGTCGAGTATCCCAATCATCTACTGCCGTCACTATGCTTTTGTACTGTACTTCCTACAGTACCTTAGGAAGTCAACCTTCAACGAAGTCTTCAGGTCGCATCGTACGCACGTTTTTGCTACATGCCTCCTTGCCCCCCCCCCTTCGCATCTCCTCGTCGTACTTATCCGATCCACGGCTTCTTCCCACTGAATTTTTTGCGGGATCCCGATCCCGTCCCCTCCCTCCCTTCTCGACCAAGACAAGACCAGAGCCACGACCTTCAATGATCAAAATGACGCAGTGAGTATCAGGGTCGACAAAAATCTATGATGAAAGAACAAAAGCAGTACAGGACAGCATTGCCGTCCCCACTTGGATGAAGCCATCCCGCACCACCCCCTGGAGATCGGCCCGTTAGTGAGGATGCATCCCACAGCCTCCTACGTATACACGCATACTAAGTACAGATGAGTGTATCTATCTGTAACTGGAGAGTACTTTTACTAAGTAAAGGGGAGATAGGATCACCTCGTCTCTTCCTCGCGGATTGCAACCCGTCCGCTCACGCACCCGCCCACAACCCACCCAGCTCCCGGCTCCCCCCCTCCCTCAAGTGCGGGTCAACCTAAAGCACATTGCATACACTTGAGTGGAGAGAAGCAATGGAGCAGGGCAGGCTCAAAGTTCCTTCGAAAACCGGATGCTTGACTTCGATGCTTTTAGTCAGTTCGCAATGCGACCGTGCAATCTTGGCGGATGCCTCAGCGCTCAGGCGCTCATTGGTGTGCGGCCTGCGGATAACTTACCCGGCGGTCGACGTTTTCGGCCATGCTGCTTCTTCCCTCACAAAGCTAGAAAAAGAAAAGTAGATGTTCGTTCTCGGATGGATTCAGCCGGGAGAGTTTGGTTGATGGTCAACCATTATTGCATTGCGTTTTCGGACTTGGTGGTGAAGTGGTGAAGAAATTGACGGCTCACCGAATCCTCCAGAGCTTTGGACAGTTTTCTCCTGCGCACTCAAAGAAGAGTTCCGGTCGATTCGATCAGATATACTTTGCTACTCTGCGTAGCTACTGTAATGGATTACCTTAGATGGGCAATGACTTCCTCCCCCCCCACCTCCCCAATGCGGGTCCGTTAACGGGCACACACAAGCAAGATCACGCCAGCACGCACCGCACCGCACTTGGAAACCCAGCTAAAACGGGAGATAGTGCTCATTAGGTACTGTACCTACTAGGTCGCCCAGCGTCAACCCCCATCGGATTCTTTATCCTCACCTACCTCATTGGTCAATAAGCGCGGACACAGAACAAAACGCAACGCAACGCAATCGAAATGTCATAACAAGTAGTCTAATTCTTTTCTGGAAGGGACGATGGCGAATTTCTCGCCGGTAGCACTTGGTGTGACGTTCCACAGCACGGCACTTTGACAGGGTGCATTGCAAATCCTTTCCAACGCTGATACGTACAGCACCGTCGACACTACTGGGGAAGAAAATCTTGTTTTGTGTTATCGACTGATCGTATGCAGGGGATTGATACTGAGTACTGGGCACAGGAATTTCCCTGCTTGATTCGATTCGATTCAGTGTACGGAGAACCGAGTCTAGACCCGACGCTTTCCTATCTAGTTCGCTCTTAGACCTACCCCGTCTCGGGGGGGAGAGAGGGGGGGGGCGACCGGTCAAACCGGTTGATTATCTATCTAGTAAGTTAGTTGTTGATTGAACCCTGTCGATTATCCAGGATGATAGCTAGGTGCATAGTGTATCGACCGAATCCGTGCGATCGTGTACGTGTAGGATGGTGAGCTCATTTGCATGGGTTCGAACTTCCAAGTGCCGCCGCCTGCCCTGCTGCTACCCCACCTGTGGAGCAAATCCCTTGGTGGCTTGCACGATCTGGCCTGAGCCAAGGCCGAGCTTCTACCGGGCGAGCTCACAACTTCCGGCCCCGCAGGCTCTTCCCCCGTCCGCTCTTGTGCTATAACGGAAGAGGCGCAATGGTTGGATTTCGAATCTCATCTCGAGAGCGTGTGATGTTGGTGCAGCACAATAAGAGAGAGAGCCTGGAGTCCGACTTGCCATGGCTTTTTCCTTCTGCAAGCCAGACCAGTCTTGATTCTCCCCCCCCCCACCCCAAATCCCTGCCCGGCTACCATTGTCATCATTTACAAGACTGTCGAGAGGTGATCGGAGCCCGCCGGGCCGATGGAGAGGATAGGGTAGAGCTGAGTCCAATATCCGACCGGCGTTAGGGCAGCGGCTCCAACCCCGTCGAAAACGGATCCCAGCTCCAGTCACCCTGCAGGTACTCGGTGAAAAAGCTCTCCATGACGGGATCATGCTGCGCCGCAATCTCCAAATCCTGGCCGACGAGTCCGGAATCGCACGCGACCGACGCCAACCCGAGCAGATTCTCCACCGCCTCTTGTTGCTGTTGCTGCGTGTTGGTGGTGGTATTCCCATCGGTCGGCGGGTAAGCCGGCTGGAATGGGCCGCCGTCGACTGCGCTGGCGGTGGGGTCTAGCAGCGCATTCCCCCCGGTCGCATTTAACTGGTGCGGCAGCTGCAGGTGCTGGTGGTGCTTCTGGCTCAACCGCTCGACGGTGAGGTCGACGATGCGGTCGAAGTTCTCCTTGCCGTGGCGCACCGAGGGCCACCACTGGCCACCAATGCTGAGGAGGTTGGAGCACCCGCGCAGGCACTGCAGGGCCTCCTTGAAGGGCACGACGGCCTGCAGCTCTGGGGAGGCCCAGAAGCAGTAGATGATGGTCGCGCCCGAGGCGAAGATCCCGTGGATGTTGCGCCATGTGAAGTAGAAATGCTCCTGCGTGTTGAGGCGGTTGTAGATGTGGATGCGGTCGCGAGAGCTGCGGTAGCAGTGCAGGAGGGCGGCGGGGGTGGGCGCGGGGCACGCCTGCGACGGCTGGTACAGCAGCGTGATGGCCCCATGATACAAAACCTCGAGCTTCAGGATCTTGCACTGGTGCTTGAAGGCGTGATCCTCGTCGTGTGCGGTGGTGGTTTCCTCCGAGGGGGCGCGGGTCACGCGCACGTCCGCGAGCCACTGGTCGAGACTCGTCTTGATGCGCGCTTGTTCCCCGGCTGTGTCTGTCGGCCATGAAAGGGCGTTCCCGCGGTTGGGGAGGTGATAGAGCAGGATTTTGATCTCTGAGATCAAGGCGTCCAGTTTGAAGCGGTGGATGGAAAAGTGCAGCTCCGAGTGGCTGTTGACGTTGGAGCTGGCGGTTTCGTCGACGACGAATTCATTGAGGCCTGGCAGGCGGATGTCGAAGGTCTCGTCGCGGATGCCAAGCGGTCGGCCCTGGATCGTGGAGATGGATCTGCGAGTCGGTTAGTCAAGGGAGAGAGACGAATGGCGGATCGGTCAGTGCAACGCACCGGTCGAGGTTATAGACGGTGTAGAAGATCAGCCGTCGTAAAGCAAGGGCGGTGGGCGAATTGTCCACATCGTCTTTCGGCTCTCGATGCAGTCCGAGATCAATCACGTGGGACATGGCGATATGCACTAGGGTCCAGATGCTCAGATTGGTGGGCCCCACCATCCCCTGCACGATGAACAGGAGGATGCTTTGCAGGGCCGTCACGGAAATGCCGCTCAGGCACTCGGCTGCGGCCGTGGAGGCGATGGCGTAGAATCGGGCGGGCGGGTACTCGAAATTCTTGTTCCGCGTGAGGATCGTCGCCGCAAGGGAGAGCACCATGAACACGTGCAGCGCTGCGGCGAAGATGGAGATGGGCGTTGTGTCGTCGTCAGCCACCTTGTCGAAGCGCCCGTTGTACGAGAAGGGCTCCATCTCCTCCGGCCATCCGTTGCGGTCCACATTCCCTTGGTACCCGCGTTCCGCGCAGAACCAAAGTGCGTTGTAGGCATTAAATAGAGAGGTGGCGTGCAGGAAAGGGTGATCGACATGGAGCTCTTGAAGGTAGATACCAATGAGATGGTTGGCTTCGTCGGGCGAAGGTAAGTCCTGCGCATGGTCAGCGAGCGCCTATGATGTGCAGCGAGAATGGCCCAAGTCAGGACAACAGGAATGTCGCCCGTTCCTCTATAAAGAATAGGTAGGACGAGATCGTATGCGTACCCTTCTAAGTTTGTTGTACAACACACGATACGCCTCAGGCGAAGGACCTGGGACAGTACGGCGTTTCGAATTCCCCCGCGTACCATACGACGAGGTGGAGGTGGCTGGGGAGAGAGGACTGTCCGCCCCAATCAACTTCGTGAAGAAGAGGCCGGATGAGGACCCCAGATAGTATTTTTGTCGCGAGTCGGAGTGGAGTGATAGCATCCCCAAGTCCATGGCTACCGAGCGTGCTTCGGCCGAAGGGGTAGCAGCCTCCTTGTCAGCCGCGTGCTGCACACATGAAGCGGGCAGCTCCGCGTGTTCTGGGCCTGGTACCTGCGCAGGCGTTCGCGGTAGAAGTTCGCTGTCTGATGCATGCAAGGAATCAAAGGGTCTTTTTCTGGTCTTTGATTCTCCGAGTGTCGTCGGTAGGTGCACAGCTGTACTTCCCGTCGGGGTAGTCGATGAGGTTCTACGTGGGACGGTATCTGGCAACACGGATTGATCGATCGGTGGTGCTTTGGAGAGGTCGAACTCTGGATTTAAGAGCAGAAGTTGCTCTTCAAGCCATTCGATCCGCGCATGGCACCGTACGGCGTAGCTGGTGTACCGTCAGCTCGCAACCCAACCTTGTGCACGCATGTCAAATGCACGTACTCGCGTGGGATGGAAATGTCATTGTTGCGCCCATCAACATCGACGCAGCTTGCTTTAGCACGGGCACAGTTTGAGCACGCTGGAATGCCGCCATCGCACTGCGTTGTGACGGTTAGCCGGTAGCCGTTGAATGGATGGATAGTGGGCAATGGTGTGTGTCCAATGGGGAGTCCCTGATTACAGGCGCACCTTGATGCGTTTGGATCTGCATCGCCGACATGCTAGACGGACCTTCTTGGCCGGGGTCGGCGCCGCCGCATCTTGCGATCTCGGGCTCATTGATGATCACGCAGTATCCGAAGCAGAGAAATCTGGAGAATGGGATGGGATGATTCATGCAAGATTAAGCGGCCAAGCACTTCCTGCCCCGATGAAGCCGAGCTAGTCTGATTACCTCAGCATCCGGGGTGCGGGGTGGCTCGAAGGGGACTCGCTCCTACACGTTGTCTGTTCACTTATATCTTTGGTGAATGTCCATTCGGCACTAATTGGAATGATTGAAGACCAGAGACTAGTTCACTCGCTTATGTACATCCTCAACCACTGAAGAGAAAACCCCGTAGTGGCTTTGAATTGTTGTTGTGAACATATCTTCGCCTCCATGCGCAGCCGACGGATACATCCGATAGCACTCCACAGGATATATCCATGCACTACAGAGGACGCCCAGACATAATGCTCCCATCTAGGACCCAGACCCGAACCACATCCACCCCCCAGGCTCACTTTCGCAACCGCCTAATCGTAGCCCCCATCTCCTCCCCCCGCTCCAAACACCTTCTCGTCTCCTCATCAATCTCAAACCGCTCCTGACACAACTCCACACACCTCTCGATCTTCCCGACGGGCACCGCCACCACCCCATCCGCATCCCCGACAATATAATCCCCGGGCTGGATAACCACACTCTCCCCAGCACTCCCCTCCGCATACGTAACCGGCACATTCAACTCAGACGAGCGCGTGAAACTCGCCGACCCCAGGATACTCACATCGCGGGCGAACAAGCCCACGCCGAGCTGGCGGTGCTCGGCGACGTCACGGAACCGCCCGTCGATCACCACGCCCGCGGCCCCAAGTTGCTGCGCCCGCGTGCTCATCAGCCCGCCCCAGCAGGCGCTGACCAGCCCCTTCGGCTGGGAGACGAACACCACGCTGCCCTTGGGGATGGCGTCGGCGAAGTGTTTCGGGGGCGTTGGGGAGGCCTTGTCTGAGTCGCGGACCATGCGTACCGTGTAGGCCGGGCCGAAGATTTTTGTGCGCGTGCACATCAGCCCCGGGGAGAACATCTTGAGGCCGGAAAGGTAGCCCCCGTTCGGGACGCCGAGCTTGACGAGGGCGTCGCCGATCTTTGAGATGAGGTTATGGGTTAGTGTTGTGTTTGGGGGCTATCACTGGAAAGTGCGAGCGGATGGGTAAGTTACTCACGTCGCAGGAGGCGAAGCGCCGCAGGGCTTGGATTGTTTCGGTGCGCAGAGCCATTTTGGTGATGGACTTGTGTAGAGTGTGAGGGGTTTGGGGGATATTGAGAGGATAGTATTGGGTAAAATTATTACCGATTTGAGAAAGGTACTTCATCCGATACATGCATCGGTTCTTGCCGATGATACACTGCAGCCGCGGTTCCCGGACTACTCCGGGCATAATGTAGCCCTAAACGTGGGGTAATTACGCGTATTGTACGGCTGGGGTAGTCCTTCGCTATGCAATATGGGGACTACATACACACCACGAAATAGAGCTTGGAGAGGCCGACAACAAAAGCACCCTGGCCAGTAAAAGGTAGGATCTGGTAATATAAGGTTTGTATCGATTCAAAATTTGTCAAAAGTCGATCCTCGTTGTCCAACATATCTGTGTTCAGAAGGTAACATGTTGGTATTGAGCTGTAATCCGTCTGTCTACCGCCCCGGACCCACCCCGCCGAGCCCGGGCTTCTCCAGACCCTCTCTAAAAAAGCTTGCGGAGGACCGTACAAGCACCGGAGTGATATGAGAAACTTCATAGGAAGAGAAAATGGCAGACTCAATCGCAACTTCTTTCGTTCTTCATATCCTCGAGCAATGCGTGGAAACCAGTGACACCCGAAATCACCATGCAGCGACTCCCATCCTCCCTGCGCGGGGCTAACCGCGCGCACCGCCATCTCTACACCCGACGCACAAGAACCTATGCAACGCAGCCAGCTTCTTCTGCTGTGAGACACCATCGTCGCCCTTTTGAAAATGTATCAACCTGGAAGAAAGATCACTCACTAACCCCAAGCCCCAACAGCACTCCGCCGTCAACTACGCCCACCAACTCCGCACCCTCGAGCAGCTCAAGCAAGGCTCAAAGCGGCCGCTCACCCTGACCGAGAAACTCCTCTACAGCCACCTCATCACCTCCGGCAACCGCGAATGGAGTCTCGAGAAGATCCAGCGCGGTCAGAGCATCTTGGAGCTGCGGCCCGACCGGGTGGCGTGCCACGATGCGACGGCCACCATGGCGCTGTTGCAGTTCATCAGCGCGGGCTTGCCCCGCGTAGCCGTGCCCACCACCGTGCATAGCGACCACCTCATCATCTCCGAGAAAGGGGCGGAGGAGGATCTGCAGCGCGCGGAGACGGAGCATCGCGAGGTGTATGATTTCTTGAGCAGTGCGTCGAGGAAATATGGGATCGGGTTCTGGAAGCCTGGTTCGGGGATTATCCATACCGTTATTTTTGAGAATCATGCTGTGTGAGTCTGAGTTCAAAAGACGAGTGAGGGTCAAGGACAGGAGCTAACCGGAGTAGGCCTGGTGGTTTGATTATTGGAACAGATTCACACACACCCAATGCGGGAGGGTTGGGGATGCTGGGGATCGGAGTTGGAGGCGCGGATGCCGTGGATGCGATGTCGGGGATGCCCTGGGAGTTGGTGGCGCCGAAGGTGGTGGGTGTGCGGCTGACAGGACAGCTGCAGGGCTGGACCTCCACGAAGGACATCATCTGCAAGCTGGCGGGGCTGTTGAGCGTCTCCGGGGGTAAGGGACGTGTCATTGAGTTCTTCGGTCCTGGCACGCAGACGCTGGGCGCAACCGCCATGGCGACGATCTGTAACATGTCCGCTGAGATTGGCTCCACCTCGTGCATATTCCCCTACTCGGATGCCATGGGCCGGTACCTGAAGGCCACTGGACGAGCGGGCAGCGTGGCGCGGATCGAGGCTGGGAACACGAGATCCACGCTGTTGACGGCGGATGAGGGATCGGACGACTACTACGATCAGATCATCGAGTTGGACTTGACCACCCTGGAGCCCCATGTTAACGGCCCATACACCCCCGACCTGGCGCACCCGATCTCGAAGCTGAAGGATGCGGTGGCCGGGCAGGATTGGCCTGTGGAGCTGAGCCACGCCATGGTCGGCAGCTGCACCAACAGCTCCTACGAAGACCTGGACAAAGCCCGTCAAATAGTGTCTCAGGCCCGGGCAGCGGGCATTGCCAAGTTCAAGACTCCGTTCATGGTTTCCCCGGGCAGTGAACGAATCCGCGCGACAGCCGAAGCCGACGGCATCTTGCAGGAGTTACGCGATGCCGGCGCCAAGGTTCTGAGCAGCTCGTGCGGACCCTGCGTCGGCTCCTGGGACCGCAAGGATGTGGCGAAGAAGCAGAAGAACTCGGTGATCTCGAGCTTCAACCGCAATTTCATTGGTCGTCATGATAGCAACCCAGCGACCCACTCCTTCGTTACCTCCCCGGAACTGGTGACTGCGTTCGCCTACGGCGGGCGATTGGACTTCAACCCGCTGACGGACAGTATCGTCTCAGACAAGGCCAGTGTGCGGCTGAGTCCTCCAGTCGGCGAGGAACTGCCCACCCAGTTTGAAAGTGGGCAGGACCTGTTCCAGCCTCCGTCGAGTGACGGGGGCGCTCAAGCAGTGGCTATACACCCCGACTCCGACCGCTTGCAACTGCTGCGACCCTTCCCAGCCTGGCAGAAGGGCGCGGCCCAGACGATGGAGCTGCTCATCAAAGTGAAGGGCAAGTGCACGACAGACCACATCTCCCCGGCCGGTCCGTGGTACAAGTACCGGGGCCACTTGGAAAACATCAGCAACAACATGCTCACCACCGCAACCAATGCTTTCCTCCCCGCGGACGACCCGCAATTACTGGGTCATACCCATCACCCGATCACAGCTGAGTTCCAAGTTGTCCCGCAAGTAGCGCGGGACCTCAAGGAGCGTGGAGTGAGATGGTGTATTGTGGGGGATCACAACTACGGCGAAGGCAGCTCGCGGGAGCACGCCGCTCTGGAACCCCGGTATCTGGGAGGAGTCGCGGTGATCGCACGCTCCTTCGCGAGAATCCACGAGACCAATCTGAAGAAGCAGGGCATGCTTCCTCTAACTTTTGAGGATCCGGCTACGTACGATCGTATTGCCGAGGGTGACCGTATTTCACTGATCGGCATCGAAGAGGGCGAGCTCGCACCGAACTCGCAGGTGGTCATGCGAGTCACAACCCGGGAGGGTCAGATGTGGGAGGCCAAGTTGAATCATAGCTATCATGCTGGTCAGATTGCGTGGCTACGGGCTGGAAGCGCCTTGAACCATATCAAAGCGACTGCTCTCTCTTGAGATGGGTGGTTAGATGGAATGTACTCTAGAATAATACTTAGGACAGAGAATTGAGTTACGGCCATGTTTCAATCCGAGTGAATCTTTATTTGTAAATAATAGCGCAGTACAATCGCCAAGATGAGTTCATACTTCTTTTTAGTCTTTTGACCGTGAGAAGGGACATGTATGGAGAATGCAAGAGGGGAAGGCACTACAAATTCCCGAGGCAGAGGCAGTCGTCGACTGGGGATTGCCTAGTACTGTCTACCCCGGATTCAAATACTGAAACGGCGGGATGCTCCAGCATCCACTCTCGGAGCCACCCTATGATGGTAATGTAGACAATTCTGTCTCGACTCCCCTCGAATTGATGGCTCCACCTCCGCAACTCGTGCCACGAACCCCGGACTTCGCTTGGCTGAAATGGGGTTATCGTCAATGGCCATGACAGTTCTCCTATCATAAATACCCGAGGAAATATCCCATCCAGCACCGAATGAACGGCTACCCAGACTATCCTCCACTTCACTGATCTCTACTTATCCCTCTTGACCATGGATGCAGCAGGCAGCGGGTTAGACAAGAGCGCCTTTCAAGAGGTCGCCAAGGCTGCCCAGAAGCCCTACATCTGGCTCGCCGTATCTGGGCCTCTTACTGCGGTGGTCTTAATGGCTTCACCACCTCCAACAACTCAGGGGCCATGAGCCTGGCCTCGTTCGTCCGGGATTTGGGCTGAGCAAACTCCACAGACTCGCAGATTTCGAATGGCTCAGGCTGGGCTGTGTTTTCCATGCTCCTGGTAAGTTCACTTTATTCTACCGAGGGCCTTTTTTGGAAGATCGAAGCTAATATACAGCATAGGGCCAAACTGCAGGTGTCATTTTCTCCGGTCCCTTCAGTGAACGGTACGGTCGAAAGCTCGTCATCCTTCTCGCTGCGATTCTGTATACTATCGGCGCCATCCTAATGGCAGCCAACTTCGGCTCCTTCGCCTAACTGCTGGCTGGCCGTGTTCTGTCCGGCCTGGGATCAGGGCTAGGCATGACTGTCGGACCGGTGTACATATCGGAAGTTGCCCCCCAGGAACTGTGGGGGATGATGACCATCTTCCACAACATCAACATCATGGCCGGGGTCGCAGGCAGCTACTGGATCAACGACGCGTCGCTAGAGTTTCTCCCGCCGGCCGCGTTCACGTATTAGAATTGCTTGAATTTTGGGATCACGCGTGGCTTTCCGAATATGGTCCGGGAGATGCGGAGTTGGGGCCCCTTTGCGCTGTTTGCGGGATGCACGGCGCTTGCGACCGGGTGGGTTTGGGTCGCGTTTCTGAAGTGTAGGGGGAGGAGTATGAAGGGGTATAGGGAGGTGTTTGTCGGAGTGAGGTGGTATCGCACTGGGCTTGTGGGGGTGGATAGTACTTCTGAGGGTGAGGAGAGAGGGGAGGGTAAGGTTGGGGAGATGGAGAAGGGGGCGCGGTGTAGTCATGAGGAGGTTGTCGGGGTTTAGCTGCCGTTCTTACTACGGGGTTGGGTGGTGGAAAGGGTTGGCATGAATGGGTTGAGCTCTTTCTTTCGCTTTCACTTGCTATGCGTTTTGGTGTGGTCTGTTGACACCCTTGCAGGGTGTGAATGCAACAAGTTAAGATTAGGGCCTCGTTAGGGCTGGATCTGGATTCGGATCGTTCCGAAATGCTGCCAGACAGTGGCAAAACTCCTAAGTGTTAGATCTCCGAGATTCACACTTCGTTCCTCTATGACTTACGCAGAATATACAGATAATGTCCCTCTTATAATTCAAACGCTGCTTGGTGATGCCCCAACCATGTCTAAAAGAGAGTAGATTTACTCGAATCTTGGGCTCGTTTGGCGGGCCGCCCGAGCTTGAATGTTTTTGCCTTAAGGCCCCAGGCCCACTAGTAGCGAAATCGCCCAACAAGCGAATCAATGCCAATCGATTAATGCTAAGCGTGCAATTGTTCTTCATGGGATAAACCTTTGAGAAAGGCGAAGGCCGCCTAGCCCCACCATAGATCACTGCAGCCCGTCTGATTTCCTATGGCCCAAACCTCAGTTCTACCATCTCCCCTGAGTACATTCAGAGTCTTAGCCACCACTACACACAGAGTTGAGCGTAGCCGTATGTCACTACACGACAGACTTGTTGGATACGACCCCTTTGAGATACGTCTCAATTATGATTTCTAGGAAGTCAATAAGTAAAGTCATTCATTAACATCGTGTTCAGTATACGGTACACTAATCTCGAAAACAATCCAGCATCCCAGCCACCCGCACACCCGCGAACCAGCCACCTCACCCAACCCCCCCAAAATCTACTTGGTCGCCTGATCCTTCGTCTCCGGGAACGACCTAAACATATCCTTGATCTTATCCATCGGCGCCGCCATCAAGCCTGCGACAGTCTCAAACGGCGGCTTGTTCGGGGCGTTGGGGTGACTCCTCGTCGGCACAAACTGCTTGGTGCGATGGAACGAGGCCGCCATCTGCCGGGACTCCCCGTCGTCGAGGGTCTTTTCCAGCTGCGGCAGATCTTTCCCTTCTTCCTCCTTGATGTGTTGTGCGAGGTTGCCCCAGAGGTTCTCCAGCACCGGCATGAATTCCGGGTCGGTGGGCTTAAGCCCTTGGAATTTGTAGAGGAGTTCTTTGACCTGTTGCATGCATGGCCGTCATGAGTATGGGATCAGGGTCATGACAACGGACATTCAGGGGAACTAACAACTTGATGCTCCATGCGATCGTGCTCGGCCATCTCAGGGCCGTTGTTCAGGTGCTTTTCCATGGACGGGTACACCACCAGCTCCTCGCCCAGGGAGTGCCGGGCCAGCGCCCAGGTGAATTGGTTCTGCCATTTGATCTGGTCCTCTTCGTTCGCGGCGCTCTTGATGTGGTTGTAGGCGTCCTCCAGGTCGCGGTGGTCACTGGTGATGACTTCGGAGATATGGGTGCGCTGGACGGCGGTTATGGCGAACTGGCGGCGGGGCAGAACGGTGGGAGGGATCCGGGAGGTGGCTCTGGAGGAGAGACCTCCGCGGAGGGATTGCTTGAAAAAACGAGATGAGAGCATTGTCTTTGTTGGGTATATCCAACTTTTGTTCACTGGATAAAAAAAATGTGGTTTTGGCAAATCATGCTAGACTATGCGGGCTTTTTAATGTGAGAGCTGGGCCTCGTATTCCATGCGGTACCGCATACGAGAAACATGTCACTATTGCGCAAAGGCATAGGACGATTCATAGGTCGGGAGAGAAGCCGTAGCTGAAGCTTGGTCCATCTGCGCATGGACTACGGTTTCCCAGTCGATCGGAGTATGGCTCCCAGGGCTCTGGTTGGGCAGATGCATGTGTAATATGCAGCAGATCGCTGGGTTGTTTGGGCGGGCGGACAGGGACTTGGCATCACACGTCAGTCTGACACCCATAGTATGTCCGTCCATTTATCAACCGCCACCAGCTGATAGGTGCTCCAATGTGTATGCGCTCATATGTCATTCATCCAAATCACGTTTCGCACATCAACGGTCATGGTTACCTAGCCCGGAAGAGGTTTCTGGTCTTCTGAATGTCCATCAGCAAAGAATAGGATCTTGCCACTCTTCTGCTCTATTTGCCATGAATGATTAATCATAGACGAATTTACAAGGTACCGTCTGAATTTGACGATTGAAAAATGCGCATGAGCGGGCAACTACATCTTCCTTTTAATGCTCTTAACGGCATAGTTGCGTAACATGTAATCTCTAGTAAAAAGTCAGTGTTTCTTGAGGTCGGCTACTATGGCTTGGAACATCAGTCCAAGGCGAAGATCCGCCTAGATATGCCCCCAGCTAGTACCAGACAGATAGGTCATGCTCTTGTTGATTGATAGAATCAAAGTATGCTCTTAACGCCCTGTAGCGGCGCTGGAAGCTTGTCAATTCCCCACCACCCCACCTTCCTAAACGTATGCTCTGCGAACCAATAGTTCAAGCTGTTGCGGACGAGAATAAAATCTCTTCTGTGCTATTCTTTTCCGTAGGTCAGCTTAGCGGGTCCCTAAGCAAGCTGCACGTGGGGCCGATCCTCTTCCCCGCAAATCAACCCTATCTTGCTCCCGCTGCTGAGTGTCTGAGATCGAATTCCTCCACCACCATACGATAGATCTTGTAGAAAACACGTCGGTGGCATCAGCTTCGCTGTCTTATTCTTGAATGGAATAGTAAAAAATTGTGTTGATGCGGCCATTGGAATTCGAATAGCGACCGCACTGCTCCGCCGGTCAGCCACGAGGCATAAGGTCGTCGTGAAGACATGGGCGTGGATGTATATGGGTGTGTAAGATGGATTTAAAGCAAAGGTACCTGAAGGTAATGAGGCTCAGTTGGTTTAGGTGCCTGTTATGCCTATGAATAATTGGGTACGGGAACCTATGTCGACACCGTTAACACAGATCACGAACGTTTATCGGATGTTCAAAAGATGCCGTTCATAAGGTTACGGAATGTATTCTGCTGGAAAGACATACTCTAGTCATTCCAACCACTGGATCACCTGCGGAACAAAGAGCTTGTTCGGAGGTTGCCTCGAAACCATTGTCTGCTCTAACAAACACGCTTCAACGACTGTTAAACTCCAAGCGCTGTACTCCCGCAGAGCTCGCTTGCGAAGATGAGTATTACTGAAAGTCGGCATGGAACAATAGCCTCAATTGGAGACAGAAAACACTTAAATGGACAAAGTAAAATTTGATCTTTAAGGCTGGCGCAATGTACAAGTGGTATTCTTTGATTTGTATCCCAGCTCGTGAAATGCTCCCTCCGTCAATCATCGGCAAGCAAATCCCGTTAGCTATAAGTACTCAACCTGTTACCCACCATGAAAGCTTCTGAACCAGACCCAATCAGTGAAGACAAAGGTACAAATCATGCATCACCCAATACCTTCGTCATCTGCAGGTGAGGCTCAGCCCTCCACCACACAAGCACCGCCCGATCCACCCCGGTGGTATCTCGACTTCTGGGTCTACGACGCGCCAATCAACCTCGCGATTCCGGAGCTGCTCATCGGCCTCCGCTGCCAGATTGAGGACCGCTTCAGGCGCAAGGAGTTCTGTGTCGAGAAGTGCGCCCCGACCGACCGCCACCTGATGGTCCGGGCCATCGCCCGCACCGAGGAGAGGCCACAGGATGCGGAGAAAGAGCATGAAACGCTGCACGAACAATTGACCGACGTTCTGGATCGGCTGAAGTTGACTCTGCCCTTGGACGTCTGGTGGCGCGACAAAAGGGAAGATCTCCGGTGGTCCAGCGAGTTTCCGTCCCCCTTCGACGACGGTGACATCGACCAGGATCCGGACCTGTACAATCTCCTGCTCATCATGGCGCCGAGATTGCCCGAGACCATGATTGCGGCTGAGCCCGTGCCCGATGACCGGTCGGCTGTGTTCAAGTGGCTGGGGGACATTCGGCTTTGGGGGCCTTTGCCTGTACTTTCGCGTCAGGTCTAGGGTTGCATCCTTGCCGGTAAATTCAAGAAGTTAAGTCATTTGTTTGAAGACCAATCAAGAGGTGAGTGTCATAAACAACACCAAGAACCATGTTATTTATTTTGCTCTGTGTATGACAGTTTCGGAAAGAGTTGGCAAGGATTACACATTCTTCACAGAACGATATATCACTTGTCTCACTTAGGCAGTGAAACCGAGAAAGGCAGAGAAAAGCAAGAAACGTATGATAATCAGGCATTAACAGATCATGATGGGTTTCTCCTCGATTTGGGGACCGTTCTTTTCTTGAATTGTGGTCTCTGCATTGCGAAGCACGTATGTGCCGAGCCCTACGAGGGACTGGCCATCAAGGGACGAGTTATCGGCTGTCTAATCAGTAGATTCTGCACTGCAGACTTCAATTCAAACATACCTTACAGATTAGCTGCTCGGGTAGCCTGCCGAACACAAATGGCCTCGCTCGCACAAAGGGCCTTACTCGCACAAACAGCCTCGTTTGCATGAATCGCCACGGCTGTGAGAGCTGTGAGGGTTGCCTTGCTGCATAAAGGGCCTTGCTCGTACGAAGGGCCTCGCGTGAACGTAGGACCTTGCTCACTTAGTTCTTCTGTGTAATTCTTCACTTATATGAATAGCTTTGAGTTGACTTCGTCATATTTATGGGGATTCAGATGAATTTTGTGTTTCGCATACCTTAGCCGAGACTGCGCACGAGTCACCCGATGGCCAGGGCCTCGTGATGAATGATTCCGAGTCCATGATCTAGCACTGAGCACATAGACGGCTCGAGACTGCTTCCCGCAATCATATCTCAATATGTATTTGCTCATGAGGACTGACTTAAAACGTGGCGGATCACATTCTTACTATGCAAAAGAGGAATGTTTATAATCTCCGGCTCTGTAAAGTATCTCGACACAAGGGACTTGCACATGAAGGGAGTATCACACATGTAGAATCTTGTATCGAGAAAATTAGATAACAAGGGTGCGGTGAAGACCAATGGTTCATGCAACCAAGGCCGATCTTGGGGAGCGGGAGATGGGAAGGGTAAACGACATCACGTGCTCTGGGTTATAAAGAGCCGACCCCGGCCACGGTCGCGTTCCAAATCCATTGATTGATCTTCAGTTCACCCGCGGTGTCTGGCTAAACAACTGACCCACTTCTGAAGTTTTCGTTAATCATGGGGGCCGTCCGTGCTATTCGCGCCGAGCTTGAAATGATGCGTGAAGAATCTTGGGGGGTTTTTTATATGGACGACTCGCAATGGGAGCAGTTCATGGAGCGGTTCAGAAGGTTCACCCGCGAGAGAGTCCAGTGGTTTGAAAAGACTGGAGGGGGCGAGCCGAGTTTACAGCGCCTTGAATGGAACGTCCAAGAAGACCCTGTCCTTGAGAAATGCTCCCTGCAAGAAATCGGGCGGTATGCGGGTGGTGCTTGTCAGAACCTTGGCCATGGTACTATGCTAACCAGTGGCTAGGCGACATCGTGATGTTATAAGAGCACGGTACGGCGAGTACAGTGGAGGGCATGTCCGCCACGCATTCCCGCTTATCGTCACTCAAGAAGCTATGGATTCGGTACTCGCGGCACCTGCTGCCAACGATTGGCGTCCCCGGTATTACGAATCCCACCCCGCCCATCTAGCTCTTATTGATATGGGGTATTATAGTCAACAAGAGGACAGAGAGCAGAAGCGGCAGGAAGGAATGGAGGCCGAGGGTAATATTTCGGACGACGAAGAGAATGTTCCACTGCGCAAGGTCTTCGTACGGGATGTGTACCCCAGACTCTATTCCATGCTCATTGACGCCGAATGAGATATCATGAGACTAGTCTCTCCCAGTATTGTTCGTATGTCCTGAGACTAAAGTCGGTTATTGTTGGCGGTCGTCACCAGGCTGCCGCTCAACGCCCACGTCGGTGGCATTAGCTAGTTCCTTACACATAGCCTCATGTAGTCAGAATCCACGTCCTTCACAGTTATACCAGTTGCCTTTCGTCAGCACTACGGCCTTGGCGAATTCCATGAGCAGGCTATGATTTTGCACCAGAACCAAACTGACCAGTACAACACTGTTAATGCAGAATCTGAACATGCTGCTATGTTGTTATTAATCTCAGAACGATGGTTATCAGAATCAAACATATCATCAGCCTGCCATAGCCAGTCGAGGGAGTAAATTCGCACAGTCGCTCCTGGGTCATTATCACTTCCTAGTTTTCAGGTTTTTACCTGGAAGCGTGCCTCTTGGTCATCCGCCATCAATCCAAGAATTCAAGACCAGTAGATCAAAGGTTAACTAACAAATTGGAATATATGAAACCCAGCAGAAAGTAACCGTGGGCTACAAGTATGTTTTGCAATGCGCTCAAACTGGGCTGAGGCCAACTGCCAGTTTCTCGACGTGGGCAATTAAGACTGTGTGGTAGGGCCGACGCAGTCCGGCATAGCTTCCAAGTGTCTCACTACTGCGTCATCATGTACTGACACACTGTCCCCCCTCTATTTCTGTCTGCAAGTCTGGGCCTTTGCTATGCTGGCTAGGACTTTTTCATCATCTAGGAGTAGGCGTATATGTCTCTCTTAATTTCAAAGCTCTTAATCATAGGCGGGGTGAGTGACTGGAGCAGTAGGCCCCAACATCTCAGCATTGTTAATTAGAATATGAAGCTCCTGGCCTATCTTGCCTGTAGTAGAAGTATACCTACTCATGAAACAATATATAATATCCATTATGTCGCAGTCTTGTAATCATATACTAATCGGTATCTAAACGTAAATATGACTCTAAGCATTCAATAGTTCTCTAGGTGGAGCAGAATTCAGTAAATATGTTTAGCTATAGATACTGTCTATATCTATTAATTCCCAAAGGCAATTAAATCATTGCAGTTGTCAAAGAAGGGCCTAGTGCTTTACGACTGTGCCTGGAACTTGAACATGTCGTCTTCGACTAGATTGATCTTAAGCAACCTTGAAGCAAACCGTGACAGAGTCAAATTTATGCTACAGCTCACAGCTATCTTCTCATATATCTAAACAAACTCTGCAGGACTGCAATTATCCCCAGAAGACGCAGATTGCTAATTCTCCTTCGCTGCATCCAATGTCTTCGCATCCTCCTTCATCCCATCCATCACCCACTGGCGATGGAACTCCTCAAACTCTCGGATCTTGGTCCCAGTCTGATCCCCTGCCAGCGCAATGACTCCATGGGGCTCTGGCACATTCATTCCCCTGATGACACTGGGACGTTGCAAGATCCGTTCATACCATTCCTGCACGGCAGGAAATTCGCTCAAGTCGACCCCAGCCCACGGAGCGGTGGCTGCAATGCTCCAAAATGCGATATCCACGATAGTGAATTTGTCCCCGACAATAAAACCCTGCCGTTTCTGCGCAAGCTGCGTCTCCAGGACAGAATACAGCCGGCGGGATTCTTTATGGTATCGGTCCAGTGCATACGGAATCCGCTCAGGGACGTGTCGTAGAAAATGCGTGGCCTGGCCCTGGAAAGGACCAATACCACCGATTTGGAAAAAGAGCTAGGGCCGTGACGAAAATTAGTATGGTGGTTCGAATTGAGGAAGCGAGGGGCAATCTCACCCAACTGAAGAGCTCATAGTTCTCCCGGGTCCCGTGCGGATACCAAAGCCGGTACTCCGGATCATACCGTTCCACAAGGTATTTGAGGACACTGCCTGACTCCCAGATGTGGATCTCCTGCCCGTCGCTGAAGGTATCCGTGATGGCGGGGATCTTGCCGTTCGGGTTGATCTTCAGATACCATGGTTCCTTGTGGGTGCGAGCGCTGAAGTTGTGCTTGTGCACACGGTAGGGGATGTTCAGTTCCTCAAGTAAGATGGAGGCTTTGTTTCCATTGGGAGTTTGGGTGGTGTAAAGCGTGATGCCAAGGTTTACCGGCGAAGACATTCTGACTCGACAATGCAAGATAGGGCGAAGAATATATGGTGAGAAAATGGGCTGGGTTGTTCAGATAGTGAGCTCATAACCACTGTCAACGGCCACCTTTATATATGCTGTTCTGAATAGAAGCTGCCATAGCTTGGTAATACAACTCAACAAGGCCTGGAACAACGTCGAAGCTATAGTTAGTCCTAATTTGGCAACGAGCCCTATCAACATTTCAAAATTACCCGATCGGGAAATATCGCCTACGTCATTGCAAGGCGCTAGTCCAAGGACAGACTAGTGGGTCTTCAACCTCATTCTTCTCCAGAATCAAAATAATCTACTTTGCTACTTTTTCCCTTTACTTGCAGCTACCGAAACAACAGCCTAAAGGTAGCTGGGATCAAATACCTAGCATTATGTGTCACTCTTGTGCTAGGGACTGCGAATCTTTGCCCGTTCCCGACATCGCACCGTCGTTTCAGAGGCAAATCCATTTTGTTAATACTTCAGATAAGGACCATCGACGACAGGCACGCTCACATATAGTAACACAGCGTGTCCGAGAGATCAGGTTGAGCTCCCAAAGTCACCAAGTGCATGCTCCCATACAAACACAGAGCATGCTCATGCCCCAATTGTCGGATGATCCAGCAAGTGGCTCCACCCGCAAGCGTCGATACGGGTGGCGCATCAGACTAGAGAAACCTGCACTTCCAGAAAAACGAGTGACTGGTGACTCAAGCAGTGAGCCTTCATGTAATAGCAATATCCCTCCAGGACTAGATCCATTTCAGTGCTGGCCTGTTCCGTCTACACCGGAGGTCCGTTCGCTTGTTGATCATTGTATAGCGTCTGCCATCTCCAGGTCTTGAAGCACAATACTAACATATGGATAGACGTGAATGTAATTCCCAGCCTAGTATGCTCCTCAGGGCAGAGCAAAAGCCACCAACGGCATCTCGCCATAGACCTCCTCCATATCTACCGTCTTGATCCTGCCTCCTTTCAGGGAATGCTGTATCATTCAGCGCGCCATAGAGAAAGTCTCTTTGGAGATGACCGATGCTCGTCCCTGACATGGAAGATCAAGGCTCTTCAGGGGGTCAATCAACAGATTGAGATGGCAAAGAATTTGCACACCCTTCCACAAGACGGAACCATCATGGCAATATACCTGCTCTCAGCGGCAGAGCACATGTGGGGCGATCGGAACACATTCCGACTCCATTGGCGAGCAATGTACGACATCATCGACGCCCGTGGAGGCGCCAAGGCATTTATGAAGGATGACCTGATCTTCTGTAAGATCCTGTGGAATTGCTTTGCACTGTTGAATGCACAGGACGGATATTATTATTATTCCACGGATACGAAAATTATGGCGGAAGCAAATTACGATTTCAAGATTCCCACTGAAAGCATGATCCAGCACTGTAACTACTTCATAAATGTGTTCTCGGAGCGAAAGTCTGCCATTCTGAGATCCGTTCCGATAAGCGAGGCAGAACTGCTCACTCAATGTGAAGTGTATCCCCGACGGGTTAGTGCCTTCCAACCCGGGTCAATGATGCATTGCGTTCTGTGCCCTAGGAGCGATGGGACTGGCGGGGGAGGTTTTGACACGCCTCTTAGCGGATTGACCCACCAGGGCGGCTTCTCTAACCAAATCCAGGGAGACAGGCTTAGAACAGACAATTGCCGACTGGCGTGTCTCATCTACCTCAACCTGCTTTTCATGGAGCTTGGTGACTTCTCTACACGCACGGAACAATTCCTTGAGGCACTTGAGAGGAGACTGGCTACTGCACTCATGCCAGCACTGACACCCGAGTACTTGCTATGGATCCTACTTCGCTGGCAAACCTTACTTCCGACAGGGCAGTCCCGGAGCTTATGGATGAAGGCAATCAAACTCATTGCAGTCGTCAAACGAGCAAGCTATCAGAGCCTTGTACCATACCATCGAGCGATGTTTTTGTTTCTTGAGCTTCCCAGAGAAGCACTTAGATTGGCTGCGGCTTTGAAGATCGATCTGGATACTATACAAGATGAGGCTCTGGGTTTATTTCGGAATCCGATGAAAAGTCCTTCAACAAATGACTATAATCTGAGGGATGAAGGCCAATATATAGTGCCGTTCGAAACCTTTTCTGAACTGCTCTGGTTCACCCCCCCCCCCCCCCCCCCCCCCCCCCCCCCCCCCCCCCCCCCCCCCCCCCCCCGCGCCCAAAAAAAAAAAGCCATGTGTGCTTTCTCAGTGCGGACTGAGGGCTTCTGCGAAATGATGTCTACAAGGTAATATTTGAGGAAAGTATCTAATCACGTGCGCGTATCAATGTCAGTGGGTACCTCGTATGTCTGTGAGAATGCATCTGGAAAGGTTACGCGAGGCTCAACACGCTATCCGAGATTTCCAAACGCGTATAAAAAGCGACAAACTCGAAATATATGCACAGGACTGCTTTTCTTCGACTCTGATGTATTGATCTCGGAGTCACCTCAATATCCCGCAAACCTACAATTTCGAATTCGATCCCCCACTTTCGGCATCACACTTATCTAAGCCGCTCAACACCCGTCTCAGAATCTTCCCACTTGCATTCCTGGGTATGACGTCCAGAAACCTTACACCCCCAGAGATTTCCTTATACTTGGCCAACCGCTCAGCGGCATACCGTCTCACCTCGTCGATACGCAGCAGCTCGCCCGGCTTGGCCACTACAAATGCTCGCGGCCTTTCAATGCCATACAGTGGATCACGAACGCCCACCACAGCAGCATCGACCACGGCCGGATGCGACAGCAGGACACCCTCTAGCTCCGACGGGGCTACCTGAAACCCTCGGACTTTGATGAGCTCCTTCTTTCGATCAACGATGTACCATTTGCGCGTTGCACCATCACATATCGCTACGTCACCAGTTTTCAGCCAGCTATCCGCGTCGAACGCGGACTCGTTCGCCGCTGGGTTGTCGAAATAGCCTGGTGTCACAGTGGGGCCGCGGATGCAGAGCTCGCCGGCGACATCGTAGGCGGAGACATTCTCTCCGTCGTCGTTGACCAACCTAAAACATAATTCGCAGTCGTCAGCCCTTACTTTACACACCACAATGAGCCCAATCCGAACAATGTGGGATACAGGCTTACTTAGCCTCGACATTGGGAACCAAGCGCCCCACAGACCCCGTGTCATCCCCCTCTGGGTAAGGGAACATCATGGCCGCGCAGCACGTCTCCGTCATGCCCCACCCCTGCGTCAGAGGCACACCCTTCGCGAGCAGCTCGCGAACGACCCTACCCTGCGTCTCCTTGTCCAGCGGGGCGGCACCGCAAACGACATTTCTCACCTTCTTCAGACACGTCCCCTGGCCCGGGCGGTCGGACGCCAAGATGGCAGTGAGAATGGACGGCACAACGATAAGATCCGTGACGGCGTACTCCTTCGCGAACCGCAGATACGGTCCCAGCTCGAACCGCCACATGATGTACATCGTGTAGCCGGAGCGCAGGGCGCCGATGTGCACGAGGGGGGCGATGGCAGCGTGGAAGACCGGAAGGGCGATTAGGGAGGACATCTACGTTTCTCACGGTCAGTTGACTATGTGTTCGGATGAGAGATAGGGTTAGGGGTCAAGGAGGGTCGCGCACTTGATAGGGCCGCGGGTGTGCCTCAAAGACAAGCGTATGCTGCGCCACGAGGTTGTAGTGCGTGACATCGACGGCCTTTGGGAGGCCCGTCGTCCCGCTGCTAAAGAATCGGGCAGCGGTTGTTTCCCTCGCGGTGGTGAGATTGTCGAAGCGCTGCCATTCGGTCTCGCCATGGGTGAGCAGTGCTTGCCAGGTTGATAGACCATTGGAGACAGTGAAGAGATTATCTCTTGTGACGAGGTCAGCAGAGGCGTTGTGGCTGTCGAGGATCCAGATGTTGCCTTTGGGGATGTTGACCTGTCTTGCCGCATCTCGGATTGGAGGTATGAGATTGGACTGGGAGATGAGGAAGCGGGCTTTCGACGTTCGGAGATGGTGCACGAGCTCTGAGGTCGTATAGGATGGGTTTGTGCCGGTGAATATTCCGCCAGCGCCAATGATGGCTAGGACTAGGATGCTGTAGTAGATCTATTCGAAATGGGAGTTAGCCTTCATCCTTGGGATATACACTTGACAGGAGGTGCTGACGTTGTTGAAAGAATGTACCACTACGCAATCTCCGGGTTCGAGTCCTGAGTTCCGTAGTCCTTGGATGAGCTGCTTGACAAGCCTCTTAGCTTCATTACATGATATCGTGTGGGCTGGGTTATGGGCGTCGATATAAATCTGGCACGCAATGGTTAGCTTGCAGTGGTATTGGAAATCCTTCAAGCAATCTGTCCTACCGGCCCGTTCGGATCATATTCAGGGTCGTCGAAGATGTATGAAAGGATGTCTTTGTTTGGCACGGGAAGTTGTCTATCTGGCTTGAAGATCATGCTCATTGTAAAAGGAAGTGGAGAGGCGACTGTGTTAAGTCAGAAAACGGCTGGTGTCATTCCCAATCCACACGGTGAAGCAACGCAGATGGTGTTCTTATTTCATGCTCTATGCAATATTGTTGATATGAAGCGGTCGGTTGTATCACAGGAGGATGTCATAAATTACAAGGTACCTCGTTACCATCTGGCATAAACACCGTCACAGTTTGGCAATATTTACCAATCCTTCAGAGTAACAAGCAGTTCTAATGACATAACCATGTTAATGTTAATACAAGCACTCAACAACTTCTGAACCCATTATCGTATTCTGACGGACGATAGAATTCTGTGCTGTTTCTGTTAAGTGGTAATCTATGTGATCGAGGGGGGCCCGCTGCGAAACATGTGTAAGGTCGCCGTGCGGCGGAGCTGCCATTACTGTACTATACATCACTTTTGCATGTCATCTACATTGAATTTGATCCATTTAGGTTCTAGTTCTGTAGGTCCATTCTCCGAATTCATTGGCCGACTGCTGCCACTGGGACATGACTCGTTATTATACACCGCCAATTCATGCACTGATCGAAGCAAGGGCATACCGCATTACCTGACCAGACCCCGGGAATGCGCCGCGCGCTTGATACGATTAGACCTGGTATCAGACAGATCACATTGTGTCGGGAGTTGCATGCACGTAAATGGAACTTTTGCCGCGCTATGTGCTCCTCGCTTCCCGAAACGCCCGGCAAGGCAGATGAATGGCGGCAAATTTAGCCGATGCAAGCTTTTCCCCACTCGTATGCGACAACGAGTCCTCATTCGGGCCGTATGCAGTGTCACTACTTTTGCTCTGTTTGTGGTCGCTGGGGAAGATGCATCTGGCAGGCTATCGCACCATGATGGCGCAGGTATCCTCTCCGGCGGGCGTGACGATCGTAGTCGTTGCCGTTGCGGCAACCTCGTGGCTCAAGCTCCGCGAGTGCAGGGGGAAGGCCAGCGGTATGAGTGTGGAGGGAAAGGTAGTCGACATCACAGGTGGGCTGATTGGGCCGGGGAAAAGAGATTGCAGAGCTGTACCGGGTCAACGATGCCCGTGTGGCTGTTGTAGACATCAAAGATGTGATGAATCTGTCCTAGTCACCCATGGCGATGGGCTTGGGGTATTTTCAAGTGCGATGTGTGGGACTACAAAGGTGTAGAGGCTGTCATGAACACAATCCAGACCGACATAAGTACGAATCTGCCCATGATCAATAAACTCATGAGAAGGACTAGCAAAGAACAGATGGGGACGCCGGATATTATGATCAACTGCGCGGCCATGCCCATAAACCGACTCCCCTTTCACGACCTACCGATCCATCTTTTCGCTAAGACCATCAACATAGACCTGCTTTAACCGACCCATAGCATCCGTGCAACTCTCTCTCAGCTGATCCACGGCGGGAAACCCGCAAGAATAGTCAATATCAGCTCGGTGGTCGCGCACCTGTATCCCGTTGGCCTCTCGGATTATGCGTGCAGCAAAACTGGACTCAACGCTCCGCATCACAACCTCGAGGCGGAAACGCGACGCTTGGGGTATGATATGAGGACTCGCTTCTTCCTCGTGGAGGTCGGGCAGATGCAGACGCCCTTGTTTAGCTGGATCAAACCCCCAAATTCTGTGCTCGCGCCTGTTCTTGAGCCTGCTTACGTCGCACAGAAGATCTATGATGCGGTAAATATCGGATCAGATGGTGTTATTCAGTTACCAAAGTATGCTTCTTGAGTCTGTGGGCATGATGTGCTTCTAGTGCGGGTGCAGCGGTTTGTTAGATATCTGATGGGGGTTGATGATGCGTTGGTCTCTCGTTGAACGGGAGGGTTGTTTCCCACATTCGTAGAGGATCTTGAGTATTGACTTGACAAGAATGCTTGAGTCTCACAGATGCAGCAGAGCTACGAGCCAAGAATTGCGCAAACAAGGTTTTAAATATACTTATAATGCCGATGCTTAAACAACATGGAACAGCAGTAAACTATATGACTAGCTAGTGCTATGGGAAGGATAAACAATGAGGCTACTGTACTGGGGAGGATGTGTGGACTATTCTATTGCCCACAATCGTCGCGCCGCACAGACATGAAAATGCAGCATAGTGTAAGTTGCAAGAGTATAGTAATACTTGTAGGTCACCTTGTCGGCCTCCTTGAACGGTAGCTTCACAAGACGCACAGCCACCGTTAGCATGGAAAGGAGGTGACACAGCCCTAGAAGCAACAGCGCTGGTTCCAATGACACAGTTGCGTAATCGACCCGCAAACCATTGGAAATTGCAGTGCATGCGATAAGTGTGGCCGTGGCACCTCGTAGCCAGAATTGCCCCCGTTGATCCAGAACCAGTGGCAGTGTTTGACGCCCGGCCTTCCTGTCGCCGTCCATGTCATGAAACTCCTGAACATGAATGGTCGTAACTAACCAGCTAAACAAGAGCCACCGGAGCGAGCTCTCCTCCATACTAGGTAAGTTGAGATCCGTGAGCAACGCTTCAAGCAGACTCAGCTGGAGAACGGCTCCAACTGCTGTGAACAGATTGCGCGCGGCCCAGTTGTTGAACTTCGGCCACACGTAGAAGAGCAAAACCCAGACTTCCCACAGGACCAGAAATGTAGTGGCTTGGAAGCCCACAGTAAGATGGAGCAGGATGGGGAATAGAATCCAACTCAATAGCCAGCGCGTGTAACCCCCCTCCATACTCATTATGCCGGAGGGGATAGGCCTATGGGGTTTGTTGAGAGAATCCTCCTCCACAGAGAAGGCCTGGTTTGCAATGTCAAATACATATGCAAATGCCAATATCGCAAGACACACCCCAGGCAACCGGGCTGAAAATTGTTGGACTGAGAGACTTGAGTCCGAAAGTCGTGCGGATAGGCATGCGACAGCGTTGCCACAGTGGGCGGTGAAATTGTCTCCCAGAAGCGCACTGGTCAACGATAGCTCCGAAGTGATAGCCGAGATTCCGATTTTCCTGTGCTCATTAGTACAAAGCTCACATTTATCGCGTTGCAGAAAAAACCTCACACGGCATAAATTGGCGTCCGTGAATTCGGTCTCGCGTGAGTGTGAGCCGCGCTCTTGCTAGTCTGCTGAGGGGAAAGCCGCATCTTGTCGGATTGCAAGGAATTCAGACACAATGACCCGGCTGGGACATGTACTCAGAACATCGGAGTTGGGCGACTTCTGGCTAGAAGATATTCTATCTCGCAGCCTTGCTCTAAACAAATCATTCCTGTATCTCAGATTCGGTAAGTCCACCGGGTGGTATCTGCGTGCATGATGATGTAGAGAGCGCATCCACTATCAGCATCTGGCGACGATCAGGGTATCACAGTACAGTATTATGGTACATGGCAGAAGGTTTAACAGGTAAGGGTTGGCTAAGTCTGTGGTACGGCAGCCAAAGTCAATCTGCGGACAGAAGGTCTGACAAATTCCGGGATTCTCTCTATACCGATCTGCTGTTAAGCCATCTCTGTGGGGCCGACGACCATATAAACTAGGCTGCATGACAACACTGTGCAACCACTCCTGAGGGGGTGTGCACCAGTCCAATGATTTATGTGGTATATGCTTGGCTTTGAATCGGCAGAGGAAACATCAAGCACAGTGGTACATTTGGGTTGTGACCAATAATTGTTGAAAGAAGTACCAAAGCATATTTCAATTCCATGCAAGGCAATTAAAAGACCAGATAGACATGCATCGATGGCAACTACATAGACAACGGGAAACATTTACTGCTAGGCAATAAGTACCGCAACGATCAGCTTGACATAGTATCACACTGAAGTATCTGGGCGTCGCTACAACACTTCTCTGACCCCAGCAGCCTTCTTGATGAAACAGCATTGTCAAAATGGCGCCGTACTATGATGGCCTAGTCGCCTTTCTTTTCCGACAGCTTTTCTACACAATCCCTGCAGTTGCACCTGTCGACCTCCATGGAAAGGCGGTTCTTTTGACGGGGGCTAACTCCGGGATTGGTCTTTCTCTTGCAATGATCCTCGCATCACAGGGTGCTGAGGTGGTCACCGCCGTCCGATCCCTAGCTAGAGGCGAGGCTGCTCGACAGGAGATCCTTCGAGGTGTTCCAACGGCCAGAATTGAGGTGCGAGAATGTGATTTAGCCTCGTTCAATTCCGTCAAAAGCTTTGTAGGGCAGCTGAAGGATGACTCCAAGTCCTTCGATCTGGTCATTCTCAATGCCGGTGTGTGGTGCTCACAGTGGATGGCTTCAGGAGACGGGTTTGATCTTTCCCTCCAAGTACAACTTACTAGTTCTTTGTTGGGACGACGTTAACTGGGCCAGGTGAATGTACTATCTAATGCTCTTCTGGCTTTGTCACTCCTTCCGCGTCTCCGATATCAAAGTGGTCCACCACGCATAGTCTTTGTGACATCCGAGGGTCACGCCATGGTCCCAACGCCATTTGCAAGGCAAGGCAGTATGCTGGACTCTTTCAATCAAAAGGCCCAACCATTCAATCATTACAAGCACTACTACACGTCCAAATTATTCGAGCTTCTCTGGGCTCAGGCCATGTCTCGACGCGTTGACGCGGGAAAGCTCTCGATTTGCTCAGTATCCCCTGGGCTATGCAAGAGCGAACTATTCCGCAATGTACGATCTGCCCCAGCAGATCTCTTGGCACGCTGCTTTGCTCGGACCTGTAATGATGGGGCGCGAATGGTAATGTTAGCCTCGGTAACAGAGTCAAAGGGTTCTCCAGACACCTACTATAGCCAAGGGGGCCAAGTACCGTAAGTACATACCCACCTGACATGAAGATCCGAATCTGACTGTGCCCTGCAGTGTTTCCAGTTTCGCCTCCAGCCGAGAAGGGGTTCTGTGCCAGGAAAGACTCTGGAAGGAGATAGTGGGCATTCTCGACAGTGTGGACCCTGGTTTGGAGTCTCATTTGAACTTGGTCAATTGATATGACTCGGAACCATGCAAGGGCACGTAGATACAAAGCCCCTCCTTCGTGAATTACCTCTGTGTATGTCTTAGCAATTAAAGAATCAATATGATTAATGCATGGAGTCTCTTGTGTCATACCTTCTGCCCTTAGCACCTTCAAATGCTCGGGTATTTTAGTTGGGGATTCTATACATGCACCTGATACCAACCATACGGGCTCCGAGAAGGTAGTATACTGTCTGATTCAAAGCCAAAACGTGTGTTGGGAAATGTATCGTTAATGTATGCATAAAAACTTGTCTCTAACCCTTTGAACCTCAGAATGGCCATTGTCTTCCTGCAACAAACCATTCAACTGCCTCTGCTCTCTCTACCAACATGTCATTCTACTTCGATCCAATTCGACTTACGCCATTGGACCACATGATGCCAGTTTCCTACATAGCGTTCTTCTATTCATTTCTCGTCGACGACCCACGAAGAGCTGTGCCTGTTCTTGAGGACGCTCTTCACCGGTTACTTCAGGCGAATCCGTTCTTAGTAGGAAATCTGATCAACTCCCGTTCTGGCGAGGACAATCCCACCATTCGTACGGTTCACCCACCAACATCGGAATCTCTTCGCGAATTTCCCATTCTCCAGGTGAGACATCACGAGAATGAATACATCGCCCGCCGATCCCACGGGTCCAGCTGTTCTGGCAATCAAATCTCGAAGGATGCCCTGTTGAGTGATACCTATCTGCCGGTGCCCCTCGCCGCAGCGACTGCCAAGCAGTGCCCCATCATTCGGTGGCAGGCCAACCTCATGCAAGATGGTTTGGTCGTGGCAGTGTGCTTTCACCACTCCGTGCTGGACGCCGCAGGTTTCTACATCATCCAAGTTGCATTGGCGAGATGCTGTCGGGAGCCAGACAGTACGATTCAGGGGCTCTCCCTTGCATCAGACCTCCTGAAAGGGAGACAGGCAATGCTTGAGACCAGTCCGGCGAGTGGGATCAGTGGAAGATCATCAGCGCGGGACTTGCAGGCCTTGGGGGTGGCCAACTTTGAGTCTGCCGAAAACCTGATCAGCCGGCGTCTGACCTTGAAACCTGCCAGAATCGAGTATCTGAAAGTGGCGTGCAATGCACTCGGGCAGGGCCGCATGGAGAACGACCCCGTATTCTCTCAGCCCCAGGCGTTGCTGTCGTCGAATGATATCATATCCGCTGTATTATGGCTCGTCATCATGAGGGCGCGGTACCGACCCTGTTCAGGTACCCTAAAGGGTCCAGACGACTCAGCCCAGAGCTCCCTCATCCTGATCATCGAGATTCGTCGATCCCTGACACCGCCACTGCCAATGTCTTACATCGGGAATGGGATTGTCCAGACTGCGACCTCTTCACCCATCCGGGCTGCTCTGGAGTCCGTATCACAGCCTACACAGACACCAACTCTGACGGCCCACGGGCTGCAGGTTCTCACCGACCTCGCGCTCAAGGTTCATGCAATCTTTTCGCGTGTGGACGATACTTTCGTGAAAACACTCATCCGGGAAAAGCAAGAGGCTATAGACTGGAGTCCAAGATTCCGGCAAGCGGATGTTACGTCCACGAGTCTGCGTCGTATGGGAGTGTATGGGCTGGACTTTGGCCCAGTCTTGGGAAAGGTGGTGGAGTTCGATAGCCCAGATAACAGGATCGATGGCACGGTCTGCATCCTACCCGCTCGGGTGAGTTCGGTCCCAGCGCCATGGGAGGTGCGGGTCACCTTGCAGCGAGAGGTCATGGTACGACTTTCTCAGGACCCTTTCATGGACTGGTTGGTTGACAATGTGTCAGCCAAAATGTGAGGGGTCGGTGTCGGGATCGGGATAATTGGAATGCACTGAGGACACGTACTGGAGTGTTCGGATCGGGACCAGATCGGAGATCAGATCTGAGATCAGATCGGCTTGGTCTAATCCGGATGATTTTGATAAGGCTGTTTGTTTCGGCCCTTATTCCGCAAATCAGAACATGCCCCTGATCTCCGCAGTCCTTCACCGCATCTTTCCCAATCTCCTCTGAAGAATAATGCAGTGCCTGAACGAGTCGATCTACCTAGAGGATAATGTGATAGGTCAGGATGGATTCTCAGTAAAATAGATACTTACAATTCAATACTGCCTCCTTACATATTCCTTCATCTCTCTTAACGTACATAATAGCAATTCTGCAGCCAAACGCCAGAATTATATGGAGCTTTTGTTCTCCGTATATCATCGTATCTCATCCCCCGACATCTTTATTGGCTTATAGAGAAACAACATACCTTATCTGTGCCAGTATCTGGCTACGCTCGTGGTGACATATTTGAGAAATCTATATGAAAGGCCTTGTAGCAGCCAGACCATCGAAAGATATACAGTGCATGACATATCTTAATGTACCATCGTAATTTTCAAAATAATATACGTTATCTAAGAATCTGTGTTAATGAACTATTGATATAGATTAGTCCGTAATCACTCTGTAGGATGCTCAACGACTTTCTCTGCATCCGGTACAACCTCGTCTTACCATTTCTAAAGATGTCCTTCTCTGGAAAATACGACATCGTCATCATCGGCGCGGGCGTTGCTGGAATTAATTCCGCATATCGAATACAGACACAGCTGCCCGACCATAAGTATGTTATTCTCGAAGCCCGCGATGCTGCCGGTGGGACCTGGGACTTGATGCGCTACCCTGGGGCCCGTCTTGACTCGGATATATACACATTCGGATTCACATGGCACCCCTACCATGGCGAGAAGATCATGCTAGATGGAGAGTCCTTTCTCAAGTACATCAACGATGCTGCCACGAAGCACGGAATTGAAGACCACATTCTTTTTAGTCATCGAGTCACGACAGCAGCCTGGTCATCCCAAGATTATGCCTGGAACCTGACGGCTACGGTCGATGATGAAAAGCACTACTTCGGCGCAAGATACTTGATCTTCGCGACGGGGTATTTCGACCACGACGAGGCACTGCCCACCCAAATCCCGCGTCTCGACCACTTTCTAGAAACAGTGATCCATCCGCAATTTTGGCCCAAAGATCTGGATTGCTCAGGCAAAAGGATTGCTGTCATCGGCAGCGGGGCGACGGCTATATCCCTTGTTCCCAAGCTTGCAGAGACCGCGTCCGCCGTCACAGTCATCCAGAGAAGCCCGAACTATATCACGCCCGTGGAGCTGGCGGAGGCCGAATCGTGGTTAACCAAACTCTTACCAGCTCCAGTGGCATACAAGCTCAGACGCTTGCGGTGGCTCCTCATCACCTTGATCGGGTACTATGCATCTCGCCGATGGCCCCAGCATGCGAGGAATTACCTGCTGAAGCAGGTCGAAAAAGAGCTCCCAGCTCATGTTCCTCTCGAGCCACACTTCAACCCCACGTACAAGGTCTGGGACCAACGGCTCCTAGCATGTCCCAATGGCGATTACTTTCGCAGCGTCCGTAGCGGGAAGGTTGGCATCGAGACAGCGAACATCCAACATTGTACTGCAGACGGTCTTATCCTGGACAATGGGAAAGCCGTCGATGCAGACATTATTGTCACAGCAACGGGGCTGAAACTCCGGATCGGAGGTGGGATCCAGGTGGACCTCGACGGCCAGATATGCGACTTGTCTGACAAATTCATGTGGCACGGGATAATGCTCGATGGTGTCCCGAATGCGTTCTTCGCTCTCGGATATCTCACGAGCGCGTCCTGGACGATGGGTTCGGATGTGACGGCTGTGCTCGCCTGCCGAATGATCAGGCACATGAAGAGGACGAACAGCGTGGCTGTCACGCCTCGTCTACATGAATCGTCAGATCTTTCTGTGCGTCCACTTTGGGACCTGAATTCGACATACATTGTTGCTGGTAAAAGGAGCATACCTAAGGCAGGATCCGCCGGGCCGTGGAGACCTCGCTCAAACTATTTACGGGACTACTTTCATGCTAAGTATGGCTCTTTCACAGAGGGCTTGGAGTATATGGACGCCGATTGATGGTCCCAATATAGTTTTATATCTATACACTGCAGCCAGTTCCTACACTCTGCTTAGGGAAGTCACTGATGCGTGGCATTTGTAGCTATGTACGTGTACTGACAAACGCATGCTGCCGCTGATTCATAGTAGACTCAGAGTAGTGTATATACAGAGCACACTATCTTTAAATCAAATCCCACCCTCGTTGATATCTTGAGTGATCGCACTTCCTGGATACCTGGCCACTTGCATAAGAGATTCATCTGTCGCTGGCCTATTCAAACAAGACACATTCTAACATTGCGACTCTCCAATGGTCTTGGGTACAAGCCCTTACTCACAGAAATACTCAATGATAATGCCAAATTACTCTAGACCCGAGTTTATTCGTGCCATATCCACATACATGACCAAACAATTATCACTGTTACCTTCCATATATCATTACAGTCTCGTATTCTTCGATAAGGGTGTCCCCTTGCAAGGCACAGGCCCCACTGTGTGGGCAATCACGATGAGGGTGCCGTTGCATAAAGAATGATTGACGTGTTCAAGCCCCTTACAGTCTTCCTGCATTCTATCAGCGGAGCATATCCATAATGCCGGGATTGACTTTACTCTGGAAAGTCATAAGTGTTGCAAGCTCTCCAATCAGTCTAATTCATCAGATACTTCGCCAAATAATGCTCCTCGAGCAGCCGACGCATGATGCCCCTTGGCTGATGGATATTGCATACTTGTATTTTCATGTGGATCTCGTCCTCCACAACGAAGACTTCAAGACTTCATACAGGGAGGTAATAGTTCCCCTTGCCTGTTGGGCTGTGCTGTTTCGGATTATGACTTCATGATGAGTATTCGCAGTACCCCTACAAGGGACACAACGATTACCTTGAGTCTCAGTTGTGAAGCTTTTACCTTTTCATTTGAGTGTGCATGTGGGGGTGGATTCTGTCTTGAATACACTAAGAAACATCTTAACAGCGGCTTCTAAGTGATCTTACCCGAGCACATATCCCAAATCGTTTCCATAATATTCATCTACGAGATAGAATATAATACAATGACTGTCGAGGCAATACCACAGCCACAGACGCTAGGCATCGATGAGCACAACACCTCATCCCCGGTCGGGAACTACGGACACTCTGATGAGAAGTTAGACACACGTATCGAGGAGTCACAACCTCGTGTCGGGAGTCTCGGGATGCAAAGCGGTAGACCTGAGATCCATGGCCACCAAGTATCAACTAATCACGTTCCCAACCAGGAGGAGGTTCGCAGATATCTTCTCACAAAAAGGGAGACCATCATGCTCACAGGTGCTTCGGCTACAGATTATCTCCGGTCCCATGGAATACCTGCTCTCTTCGCACGGGAAAAGCTTCCGAGGAAAGCTCATCGCGGGGTTCAATCGACTCCTGGAGGTCCCACAGGACAAGCTTAACGTGATCAGTCGGGTCATTGAGCTGTTGCATACGGCTTCCCTCTTGTCAGTAGACATCCACTATGGCCCTGCACCCCCAGAGCTTGACTGACAGACGACAGAATTGATGACATCCAAGACCGGTCGACGTTGCGGCGAGGTCTCCCCGTGGCGCACAGCATCTTTGGGGTCGCGCAGACGATCAACTCCGCGAATCACGCCTACTTTCTGGCGCAGAAGCACCTAGAGGGCCTGGGCAACCCTGCCGCTCTTCCCATCTTTACAGAGGAAATGCTCAATTTGCACCGCGGGCAAGGCATGGACCTCTACTGGCGGGACTCACTGACTTGTCCTACGGAAGAGGAGTATTTGGACATGGTGTCCAACAAGACTGGTGGACTGTTCAGGCTGGCGATCAGACTGATGCAGCTCGAGAGCAGAAAGTCAGGGTAAGAATGACTTGAGCTGACCTTCCCCTAAACCAAGAACCGGTGCTGACAATTCTACTCTTCCTGCTCCTGCTGAATCAGGAACTACGTCTCACTGATCAACCTCGTTGGCACCATATTCCAAATCCGCGACGACTATCAGAACTTGAAGGGTGAAGCATACACCTCGAACAAAGGGTTCTGCGAGGATTTGACGGAGGGCAAGTTCTCGTTCCCGATCATACACAGTATCCGCCAGGACTCTGCGAACCGACAGCTGTTGCACATTCTGCGCCAGCGGACAACCAACGAGGCAGTCAAGACGCTCGCGGTGCGGCGGATGGAAGCGACGGGGAGCTTTCGGTACTGTAGGCAGAAGATCTCCATGCTGATGAGCGAGGTCCGGGCCATTGTTGCAGGGTTGGACGGTGGTGGGTCGGCCGAGGTGAATGCAATTCTAGATTTCCTAGAATTTGAATGATTTGGAGATGCGCGAGATTGATGATTTGATATCCTTCCCCGGGATGATATTGCTCTGCGTTCACAGTAGTCAATTAGGGCGGATGAGTTGTTTCTCGGAATTTCCCTGTCATGTAAATGCATCTTTGCACCCCCAGATGTTCTACGTGATAATAGCTCGGTTATCTCAAAGATCATACAAAAGACGGGGGTTGGGACGTTGATAAATTTGGAATCCCGGGGGCTGAAAATTGAAAGGTTGCTCTAATTGCCGCGAGGTCTTTCTCATTCAATCATAGAAACCATCTTGGGAATAAATAAGTCTCCAGCAAAAGGAGGAGAGCAAAGAAAAAGAAAACAAAAGAAAAGGAAATCCAGAGGCAATCGCTTTGCATCAGTCCAAAATATAATACATTAACTAGGAACGCAACCCACTACTCGCCAGTCGCTGTCAATGCGAGATATGAGCCGAGCCTTCCAGAGCCCGTGCTGCTACCCTAGCTACCTGAGCAGCTCGGCACAACATCTACGTCTAGGGTCGTACTTTTCTGACAGAATAATGCGTAGGCAACCGCTGGGCACGAATGACTCAAGGCGTCGATTGCCTGCTCCAGAGCAATAACGTTGACCGGGAGCTTGGGCAAGATTCCTTGGAGAATCGTGTCGTTGATGCCAGGACCGTCAGAGGCAGTCTCGGTGGTATTTTTGGCAATGACGTAGCGGCGTGAGAATTCAAGTCAGTACAGTCAGTACACTTGCCATCTTCTACGCAAAGAATGCTCTGGCTCCAGATCTACAAACTATCAGACCGTGTCGAACGGCCGGGAGGCTCGTACACATCATAGTTCAGGTCGAAGAGCCGCAAGGCTGCTCGATCCAGGTGGCAGTACAATTGATCCACTGCTGCCCAGCCTCGGTTTTTTCGACGGCGGAGACCATTGCATTGATAAGGTTCAGGTTCAGCACGGCATAATGCCGGCCGAAGCTCAAGGAGGAGTTGAAAACAGTGGGCGGTGTGTTTATGGAATAGCCAGGAACGTCGGTGCTCCAGCCGACAGCCCAAAAGGCGAAGCTGATCAGCAGACTGCTCTTGGAAAAGTACATGGTCTGCCTGAAGTAGAGGAAGCCAAAATTGTAATGTGTTTTCTGCGTCGTAAACGACACAGGGGAAGGGAAGGGATATATTGATTCATTTATAATGTTATCTCTTTAAAGCGACGACGGGACAACTTCAGCGGGACCGGCACAGCACAGCCGAACTGATCTATGCTTCACCGGACGGTGCAACCCACACTTTGTTCAAGTGGACCATGGTCAATGGCTGAACGGGAAGGAACAATTCGTCATGCTAAACCAGACTTTGAGATTGAAGGTGCTTCTTCTTTGTTCTTTTGCTTTATCTCTGTTCGCTCTCTTGCCTGTGCCTAGATTTGCTAATAAGGTTAGATGGCTGAATCCGATGCCCAGTTCGCCGGCACCGGGAACCCGGGCTTTTCTGTGTTCTGAAGTACAGAGGATAATGATAATTAATTACGTCGTCCGGAGAACGAATTCCATCATCTCACAAATCATGAATCCATTCTGTAGAATGCATTGTTCTTGCAGGAGTTTACTCAAAGCGAACTACCATCCACAATATCAGTATCCGGTTGAGTGCCATTTTAACCGGCCATAACAACAAATCTAAGTTACGACTGTCCAGCTCGCACACGGTGCACTGCTCACCCCACGCCGGGAACATTATCACCTACCAGATTATCCACACGTAGCCCCGACCCGGTGTTAGCAGGGGATATGGTAGCAACGAACTTCGTATGGACTGGACGAACTTCTCCCGTCGCTCACGCTCAACAACTGGCTAGAGTCGAGCTAAGCAGACGATGAGCCCTAGGTACTCACCACACCGTCCGGCCACACATGCTTGTTTAAACCATGGGTAACCTCCACAATATATCGATGAGATAAAGTAAGGCTCCAGATCTATCATTAAGTACATTATAGTGAGAAGAGAAACCCTTTTGTTTCGCTTAAAAAGACAACAGTGCCACCCGCACCCATTACAGATTCAACCGGAACCTGGGCGACGTGCGGATCCGGGCCCCATACCGGCTGTAGAACACAGGAAACATGCAAAAGACTAGCGCGATGAACGCCAGCAGAGAATTCCCCCATCCCAAGCCTAGGGCATCGTACATCGACGGACCGGCCAGCGGGAGCAGCGCCCCGATCAGCGAGCGCAACACCGCGTTGGCGGCCGTCACCGAGGCAGCGTAGAGGAGATACGAATCGACGAGGTAGGTGTTAATGCACAGCTGCATTTAACAGTCAGTTAGCATATACAGACCACGTACGAGAGAGGAAAGGGGGAGCACGTACAAAAACACACATCAGCCCCGCGCCGAAGATCCCCGTCCCGATGATCGGCATGATCCAGTGCACCTGCTTGTCGGCGGACCAGCCATACCAGAACAGCCCGATGGGCAGGAGCCACGAGCCGTACAGACACGGAATCAGCCGCGACTCGGGCACGAACCGGCCCTGGGCCGTGTGGGCCGCGGCGATGCGGTTTGCCACGTAGCCGGTGACCTGCAGGCCCAGGATGGCCCCGAGCCCAAAGCCCAGGTACGCCAGGCCGCAAATCTCCTGGCGCCAGCCGTAGACCTCCTCGAAGATGGCGGTGATGGTCGTGAACATGAGATACAGGTACCCGTAGGAGACGGCGCCGAACAGCGCCATCAGCAGCACTGTCGGTGACAGGAAGAGCAGCTTGACGGGTCGCACCGCCGCCAGCCGGAAGATCTCCTTGCGCGGCGTGCCGCGATCGAACTTGGACCGGTACTTCTCATTGCCAGTTTCCTGGCGGAGGCGCGCGGCTTTGCGCTCCAGGAGCACGACGCTGTAGGTTTCGCGGTAGCAGAAGACGGTCGCGATGAGCATTACTCCGGTCTGGAGGATGGGTCATTAGCGTTGGGGATGTTTCCGTGATGGTTGGAGGGGGGCTAAGCGTACCGCGATGGCGATGATCCAGAAGACCCAGCGCCAGCCGATGTTCGCACAGACAAACGACCCGGCGATGGGCCCGATGACGGGGCCCAAAATGGGGCCCATGGCCCAGATGGCCATCACGCCCGCGCGCTTTTCCTTGGGGATGAGATCCGCCACGGTGCCGGAACCCAGGGTCATCGGACAGCTTCCGGCGACGCCAGCAAAGAAGCGAAAGACAAATAGCTGCGGTAATGTTTGGGCGACCGCACATGCGATGGTGAAGATGAGAAAGAGGGTGTTGCAGATGTGGTAGAGTCGACAACGGCCGTACATCTCCGACAACGGCGCAATCACCAGGGGGCCGACCACGTAGCCCAGCAGGAAGATGGAGACGACGAATGAACCTAGGGTGGAGTTTGTAGTGTGGAACTCAGCCAGTACGTCTGCCTCACCTGGGGTGAACATTGACGACGATAGAGGTCTGATTCCTGCACGTTAGCTAGGTCTTCCGTGACGATATCCTTCCAGTCCTTACGATTCACGTACGTGAGAAGACTGTTGACTCCCATTCCGGCCAGTTGCCGCACTTTCTTGCTCAAAGGCCAGGTCATGGGACACTGGGGGTCGTCGGGTCCCTCCCAATCCACGATATATGGATCGACGACTTTCTCTTTCTGCGGCTGTCCAGCCGCTGCTTCGACATCTTTTTGTGGTGTGCTTTCCTCTTGTACCGCGCCCATTATGCTTCTTTATGCGTGTGCTGTCGTGAATTCGTTGATGGATTGTTGTGGCGTAGATCAAGCCCTTATGTATCCCCAACGATATCCGTGTGGTCAGAGATCTTGGATCGACACCAAGCTCATGGTCCACCACCTTGAACCCAGGTGGACCTATAGCTTATATATGTCCCCTGGCGTATCTTTCAGGGCAGCCAAAAAAAAAAAAAAGCTGGAGCTTGCCTGGTGGGCCCGGAGTGTGGAGATAGGAGTTACCGGCGAGACACATGGCGTCCCAACGCATAGGCATAACTTGTCCGGTCCGCGGACCTGGGTAGTGACCCGCCATCATATGCTCCGTTCACCCCGGGCTAACATAAGAAATTCCCTGGTGGATCACCGAGTGTGTCTGATGATGAATAATGCTGTCTCTCATCTACGCAAATATGTGAATAACACCATGTTGACACGCAAGTTCGATCAAGAGCCTGACAAATCTTTGAATTCATATTCATAACTCTAGGGGAGAGCACAAGCGGGGGAAAATTGCGTCGGCGATCGGTTGTCGGAGTTCCGGTCCCGCTTTGGGCTATTCCGTCTTCTAGCTGTTTACAGTAATTCTAAGCCGGCCACGCTCCCAACTCGGCACTTTTACACCGCCAACTCCGGGTCAATTGACTCATGACTGCATCGAAGTAGGATCATGTCCCTGAATTGCGCAGGACCTGACACCCTCATGAGCTTCATGTTGTTCTAGAGCCAGTGGGCCGTGGGCTGATTGTGATAGGATTAATGCCCAAAGCAAATTAGCTTCTCGGATTTGAGTCACGCTTCATGAAGGTCTGAGTACTGTACGTGGCCCTGGATTCTAGAAGGCTCATTCCTACGCGTCCGCCCGATCTTGCTACAGTGCTTCACAGTCCCCATTAAACATGTCAATGATACCTATTCCAAAACATTGCATTACTCAGTACACTCATGGCAATCTCCTCAAGACTATCGATTAACAAGTTGTTGACGCATATATCAACGCACAAGTTCACCAAACAGATTCTCCGACAGCATTCATGGCGGAATGTCACTAGCAGCCTGGTCCGGAAACTTTCTGAACAGGTCTTTGAGATGGTCGATGGGCGCAGCCAGTAATCCGGCCACCGTTTCAAAGGGCGGTTTATCAGGCGCCGACGGATGACTGCGAGTCGGGACGAACATCTTCGTCCGCTTAAACGAGGAGACCATGGCCTTGGACACCTCCTTATCCAGTTTCGCTTCAAGCTTGACCAGGTCCTGCTCTTCTTCTTCCTTGATGTGCTGAGAAAGGGAGCCCCAGAGTCCTTGGATGGTCGGGATGAACTCCGCGTCGTGCGGCTTCAAGTTCTGGAACTTCTCCAGATGGTCTTTCACCTGAATCCACGTCTTAGTCTCATCCCACTTCCAAGACTGTCTGGTAGAAGGGGCAGGTCCGCTGAGCTTACCGTCTTGTGTTCCGCCCGGTCCTTATCGGCCATCGCCTTCCCGTCGGTAAGGTGCTTCTCCATCGCGGGGTAGAGCACCAGTTCCTCCGCGATAGAGTGGCGGGCCAGCTCCCAGGTGAACTGGTTCTGCCACCGGCGCTTCTCGTCGTCGCCTGCGGCGGTCAGGATGTTATTGTAGGCCTCTTCGAGGTCGCGGTGGTCGTTTTTGATCGCGTCGCTGATCAGAGTCATTGTGGACGGTTTTCGTGCAAGAAGTGGGCACGTATGGTTATGATCAGTGGCAAGTCAGCCTCAGCAGAACAGATGGCGGTGTTTTAAACTACCAAAATACCACTGGCTGCTGGACATTACCTCCTTAGATCACTTCAAGGTCACGTCATGATTAGCGCTTGACAGCTCAGCATCCCAGAACATCTAGCATGTCGCGGATTGCGTCTACGGCTTGCTGGGATGATACACCGGTCATTGTCCTTTTCTTGGTTGGGAGTCCCCGGAAGCATTATCCCGACCACTCAGGTTGACGATGCTGTGACCCCGGCAAAAGAAAGAGTGAAGCAATCGAGGTTCAACCCCTCATCTGACCCACGAATCACAGTCAATGTATTTCAATTCAAGTCAAGTGGCAAACAAGCAATATTCACAGATCATCCCCGCAGATACAGGAATTTTGTGGGGTAACACGAAGGCTGGCTTTTGATCCTTGGCATTAACACGAGCTGGATGCATCCATCACCGCCACCACTATCACCAGCGATCGAAAACATCTACAATGATCCACTCACTACATCACCGCAAGCCACTGTAACCATGCTCACTGGCCCCCACTCAGCTTACGTCTCTTGTTGGCGCGCTTAGGATGAAACTCCTGGGCATAGACCTTGAAGAAGTCCGGGGGTTCCTGGGGATGACCCCCGGTGACGTCATGGAACGCCGTGGTGGAAATGTAGTTGGTCTTGCCCTCGCGCACCAACGAGTAGTATTCTAGCAAATACTGCACCTCGGACTGGTCGCTGTCTGACTGCGCTTGCAAGACTCGCTTGGCTTCGTTTCTGCAGGAATTCACTGTTTAGTCTCGGATGCCCTAGTTTGCCAACGACAGGAGGGAATGAACCCACTCGGAGATATCCTCGAACTTCATCTCTTCTCCCAAGGCCTGGCTGGCTGCAGACGCCAGTTCGTCGCCTGTGGCAAGCATCGGGCCTATGTCCCACTCAGCATAATTTCGCCTTTCCAAGATGAGGGCGTGTCTTGTACATACCCGTCAGCACCATCAATTGACCTCGGTGCTTGTCACTGAATCCGTGCTTGCCCTTCCCGCAGAGGACATGCGCTGCGACTTGGGCAACATCCTAGCAGCAGTCAGCTTCCTCGTCCGGTCACAGCCCGTAGAAGGAGCGAAAGATACCCCCAGCGATATGGGTGCGAATTTATGGTCCTTGCCAATCGGCAGCGGCAGGAGCCCTTCCTCTTGCGCCTGGCGGGAGTACAACAGCAGGTTTTCCGCGTAAAATCCGGGTCTGCAGGTTCCAACAGTTATTACACCGATTGTTTGAAATCCATGCATTCGTTTTCCAAGCCCTACCGTATAACAACCGGCGAGTGACCGGTGGAAGTGGAGGGATCGCCCTTGCACGCGAGCAGCCGCACTTCGAGATCGATAAATTCCCGCAGCCGGGGCTGTCGGTCCCGCTCGGCGAGATCACAGCCGGCGGAGCTGATCATGCACACATTCGCGACCCCGGCCTGCTTGGTCGCCTCGATGAGCTCGCTCGTGATGTCGAGCTTGTCCGGGTGTGCGGGCGGGATCACGCATATGGCGTCCGCCCCCGTCTCCTTGAGTGACCGGACCATCTCGCGGAGGCGGCCCGGCTTGTGGGGCACGATATTCACCCCCAGTTTGCTCAGCTCCTTGCAGGCGCTGGCGTCCGGGTGCAGCGTCAGGCCGATCACGGAGCTGACGGCTTTCGTGAACTTGGGGTCCGTCAGGATCAGCTCGGCGATTAGGGAGCCGGTATGGCCGTCCACGGCGGTGATGCATAGTTTGCGGGACATGGTTGCTTTGATAGTGAGAATTGAGAGCAATAGATTCTATTTGTTGATAGTATGTACACTGAGAAGTTCATCATTTTAAGGGAAACGCTCTTGACGCGGATTTTTTTATACCCCAGGTATGAAGGACTTTTGTTCCTCGCGTCATTCTGAAATCATGGGCTATTCGGATCCAGGCCATGGATACTCGTATTGAGATTGTGTGCGGGTCGGTCATCTGAATTATGCACGGCGTTTCGATTTGTAGATCCATTGGGGTGTACCGCTGTTGAATATGTAAAACGTTCCAATGAGGTAGTTGCAGGGAGGGGCAGCCAGCGACCTTTTTCCTTTGCAATCGAGCTACAGCGCGTTTCGCCTAACATCCAGCAATATCAGACATGGAGATATTAACTGTACAATTATTACAGTTATGACGACCCATGGTCCACGTCCATCGCAGCGCGACTTCCCCAATGCGTCATGCCATGTCACGTGAGCGATGCAGTCACGTGCCATGGTGGCCCCCTCCGCCTTCCGTTCGGATGCCCAGCTTTTGTGGTGGCATTGATGGCATTTGGCATGGTCTCAGGGTTGTCCTTCTGCCCTGCCCATGCAACGCAACGCCATCCCTCCCATAGTTCCCTAGCCACGCCACAAAGAATGGATCCATCCAGCCAATCGTATGCCTTTCGCATACATCTTCAGGTGCAAAATTCTTACTAACATTTATTAGCCCCGGGAACATCACCCCCTTCTGCATCGGTATGACATTCGACACCATCTCCCAGGCGCGTCACACCCTTCTCCGCCATACAGCCGACCGCCATGAATCTTACCTCGTCGCCAAGTCAGACCCCGCCCGCCACATCACCAAGTGTCGGGATCCTCTCTGTAAATATGAGGTCCGAATTGGGACCAAGAAAGGACAGCCTCGCGTGACGGTCTACCACCCCCACACGTGTCCCCCGTCCACCCACGACAACTGGAAGCAGTCCCGGTCGTCCAAGCTGAAGCCGGAATATGTCGCGGCCGATGGGGGGAGTCGAAAGTAAGGCTATGGATTACCCGAACAGTGGGACTGTGGCTGAAGGTTGACGTGGAGTAGGTATGCACGACGCGACTTGCAGTCATCGAGTGATGAGGAGGGTGATGGCTTGGACCGGAAGCGGCAGCGATCGCGCCAGGCCTGCACGCAGTGTCGGTCGCGGAGAGTCAAGTGCGATGGCAATGTTCCATGCAGCATGTGCGCGAGCTCCAACGTCGATTGCGAGTATGTTTCGAGCGCGCATCCGGGATCTGCACGGCGAACTGTACCAGACGGTGGTCACGTGGCTGCGCAAGGAACCAGCGCGGTTCGCACCGACAGCCCGTCAGCTCCTCAAGGGATTTTGGAGCCCTGGAAGCAGCGGTTCGTGGGGCGTCAGTCCTCGGTCGCGTTTCCTCTCTTCGTGGGGCTGGACGTGCAGGCTCCCAATCCCCCACGCCTGCATTCATTCGCCTACAACCCGGGACTCCGACGGGAACCGGAAACCCGCGTTCGATTTCAAATTGCCGAGGTCATCGACTGGGAAGTGGCCAAACGCCTGATAGATGTCTACATGGCCGCCATTCACCCATTGTTCAACTTCCTGGACCACGAGAAACTGCGTCAGCGGGCCGAGGACCATTGGCACAGGAAACCTCAGGGGTTGAGTTTTGAGGCGGTGATCGGCGGGGTCGTGGCACTGGGGTCGCTGTTCCACGGTGCCGAAGCAGCATTGACCCAAGAGAAGGAGTTGTGGGCCGTGCAGCACGCGAAAAGCATCCTCGAGGACTACGTCGCCGGCCGATTCCCGACCATCGAGCACGTGGCCGCATACTTCCTGCGCACGCTATACATGCGCACGACGAGTAGACCACATGTCTCCTGGCTCTGTAGCTGCACCATGATGCATCTTGTCGAGGCTACGGGACTCCAACACGGGCCTGACGGCTTCATGCTGGCGCCCGGCAGGGCCCCGCCCGACACGGCATCACGACAGCCGTACAACCCCAGACGCACTGCGCAGGTGGCCGAATGTCTGCAAACGCTGATCGCCTGGGACTATGGGCGGTCCGTGATGAACCCCACGCTGCATGCACGGCAAGAGGACTTCTCTGCCACCTTCAAAACCGACCTTTCTTCCCAACTCTGTTCCTTGGTTCAGGCTATACCTGTGAGCACTCCTAGCCGGGAAGTCGGCGCAGGCGCCGAAGATCAAGTATCCGCGCTGCGGAAGGTCATCCGTATCAAAGTCGATCATGACTTCCTGGTGCTGGTGAAAGCCGATCTCATTTTCTGCCTATACCGTCGGCTGCGCCTGATCAACTTCCACTTCCACCCACAGCAGATTGAAGAGATCATCAGCGCGGGGACGGCCGCGCTCGCCCCGGCGCAAAGACTGGTCTTTATGGACCAGCCCTGGTGGAATGTTCTGGGCACTGTGTTCCAGTTCATCTGTGTCCTGCTGGCGCTCGACACGCCGGACAGTCTGGCTGTGATCCCCCGCGCGATGGAGACTCTGCAGAGTATTGCCGACCGGCTCAACACGCATTTAGCTACGGAGGCGCTGGCGACCGTCCGACAGCTCGTGCGGGCGTCCGCAAACAAGAAGCGCAAGGGCATCGACCACCTCGAGCGCTCGCTGGGCGAGGGCACCCACGGCCTCGGGGACGACACGGTCATCCCCACTGCGCCGGACGATGTCTCGTTCTATCCTTTTGCGCAGCCGGACGCGATCGACCTGGACTTTTTCCTGAATATGAGTTTCTAGCGGGATACTTCGTGACTTAAGCGTATTGTGTCCCCGTCATCGCTGGTGTAGACTCTCGGACAACGTGCTCCAGCTTCGTTTCAAGCCCCGACCCAATATCGAAAAGATCTTTTTTTCATGGTGAACTTTTCACTGCACTCACTTTGCGTCGGTATACAAATGCAAGGTAATGTGATGCATCGATGTCATACATACAGGAACAATGATGTAGATGCATATGCGGGCTGGAAAACCGGGTATCTCCTCCGAGCTGTCCGCTTTCCCGGGCGTGTGGCCACACATTGACACCTACGCAAGGATACCCTTGCGCGTACCGACAGTCCTTGCGTGACAAATTACCCTGCCTGTACGGGCCATGTATTGCGTGACCGCAGCATATCACACGTGTGCTGAGCGCGTATAGCAACTCTAAGATGGCGCGCATCGCAGGCACCCATCAGTCCTAAAGATAGGTGGCTAGGCGACTGCCCACCGAGCCTTGACTCCGACATCAACCCAATCGGAACCTGGCCTTCCGGCCCTCACCCGTTATCAATCAATCAGATAAAGGATTCCACCAATCAAAACTCCCACTGAAGTATCTCACTTCTGATAACACCGAGTGAGCCAATCCCCCAGCCCCTAAACCCCGAGGCGAGCAATGTCCGAGACCTCATAAGCCCCGCGCACCCGCCTCGGAGCTACGACGCAATCTGCCATGCTCCTTCTCTCTTTCTGCCGAACTTAGCCCCGATCAACAAAAAATGCAATCCCACCCCCCATCGCGGATCTCCAAATCCCCTCGGCGACCGAGCTCGGACAAGCCCAAACGCAGACGCAAGGCGCTCTCGTGCTACGACTGCCGACGTCGCAAGCTCAAATGCGACCGCGAGGTCCCGGCCTGCGGGCGGTGTCGGAAAGGCGGGATCGCCGAGTCATGCTCCTACAATGAATCCCCCCTTTTGCCGGAGGAGGAGCGGTCCGCCTTGCTGCACAATAGTGCGTACACGTTGCACAGTCCCCAGCCGGCGCCAGCGCCGGCGCCACAGGACCATTTTGGCCCAGGGGGGCCGAAGCACAACACAGTCAACCAACCGGCCCCCGAGGCGAGGGTGGTATCGCTGGCGGCGCCGCAGAACGCAGGCAGCTGGCAGCTACTTGGGGCGTCGTCGTCGGCGACGGAAATCAATGAGGAGCGCCCGTCGATCCGCAGTAACGCGGCCGACAACACCGATGGTCATGATGATGGGATCGGGCCCCCGGGGTCCGGCGGGGAGCGGCTGCGGGTGCAGACGACGATTCTGCGGGGCGAGAATTTCAAGACCCATTACTACGGGAGTACGAATCCAATTAGTTTGATTTCTCATGTGGGTGTTACTCTCCGACTCGTCACTGTGCAAGGCACCTCGCTGATGTTCATGGGGGCTAGTTTCCTGAGTTGCGATCCTTCATGAAGGAAACAATCATGCAGCGCACCTCCCTGCCCAGCTTGCAGCGGGAGTTGAAGGCTCTGCAGGTGAAGTGGAAGGGCATGCGGACGGACCTGCTGCCGCAGCATGAATGGGAACTCGTCAGGCTACTCCCGGACCCGGAGACCATGGACGCCCACGTGCAGCTCTACTTCGACACCTTCGAGACCCTCTACCGCATCCTGCACTACCCCAGCTTCATGCGGGAGTACGAGGCATTCCGCGAGGATAGCCGCGCCGCGCGGCCGGCGTTCGTCGTCACGCTGATGCTAATGCTCGCCTGCGTGGGCTGCCTCGCGGCGCCGCCGGCCCAGCAGCAGCAACAGCCCAAATACATCGGCGACAGCGCGATGGCGCGCGAGCGCGCGACGCTGTGGATTGAGGCGGTGGAGGCGTGGCTACCGCGGCAGAGCCAGAAGCACGTCTACCTGGCGATCTGGCAGATCCGGTGCCTCCTGCTGGTGGCGAAGATGGTGAACGTGGTGAAGAAGAAGCGCACGTGGACGGCGGCGGGCACGCTGGTGCGCGAGGCCATGTCGGCCGGCTTCCACCGCGACCCGACCATCCTGGGCGACCGGGTGTCGGTCTTCGACCTGGAGATGCGCCGGCGGCTGTGGGCGACCATCCTCGAGCTGGAGCTGCAGATCTCGACCGACCGCGGCATGCCGTCCGCGGGCGCGGCGATGACCGCGGACACCGCGCCGCCGCTGAACATCAACGACGAGGCGCTGGCGGTCGACGCCGCGGCGCTCCCGCCCTCGCAGCCGGCGGAGGTGTACACGACGTGCTCGTTCCTGCGGGTCTCGGCGTCGAGTTTCCCGCTGCGCGCCGCCCTGAACTCCCTCGTCAACGATATCCACGCGCAATCCGAGTACGAGGAGGTGCTCCGCAACGAGGAGCGGATCACGGCCGCGCTGCACAGACTGCCCCCGTGGCCCGACGACGACGCCGGCACCACGGGGATGTCAGCACGAGGACGTACCCCAACTCTAGCCCGCGTGCTGCTGGACATCCAGCTCCGACACTTCCTGATCCTGCTTCATGCGCCGTTCGCGCGGCAGGCAGACACCAACCCGCGCTACTCGCTCTCGCGGATGGTGTGCTTCAACGCCGCGTTCCGGCTCATCGACCAGCACCGCCAGCTCAAGGAGGCGGGGAACCACCTCCTACTGCTGCTGCGCCACGACTACTTCAAGAGCGCGCTGGTGATCTGCCATAACATGTACATCGCTGCCAGCGTGCACGGTACGTCCACGCCCACCCTCCACCTTAGTGTCAAGGCAGATATACTGATAAAGTTTGGGGGGGAAAGATAACCTCCTCCTCCAATCGAACAGCACCACGCTGATCCACTACATCGAGGCGGTTCTGCACCTTCTCGAGGAGAAGACCACGCGCCTGGGCACCGGGTACACGCACTACTGGTACATCGCGGCGGCGGCGGCGTTCCTGCGGTCGCGGATCCACGACCCGGCGCACCCGGCGGTGCAGAAGGAGGAGGCGATCTACGAGGTGGTGCGGCAGTATCATCGGGTGCTGGCGCACCAGGAGGATCTGCGCAAGGCGAAGGAGCTTCTGTTTCCGATGCGGCTGATTACGGTGGGTGATGGCCGTCATTTCATTCACCCCAGCAGTCAAATCAGCTGTCTGGGTGGGTGTTAACAGTTGTATAGATGAACCCGCCCGACACCACCACCGCGACCCAACTCCATCTACCCGCAGACTTAACCGGAGCGTCTCTGCTCGACCCGGACTTATCCCGCGTAAGTTCAGACCCTTTCCCCAAAGCCCTCCCTTTGGGGATCAGAAGAGCACCCCAACTAACCACCAGTACAAACACAAACAGCCAACCTTCAGCCAAGAAGACCTCTCCCTCGAAGAATTCTTCTTCGGCAATCCCGCCGCCTGGACGTTCGACAACCTATGGGCGATGGAATAAACCGACCCGTCTTCATTTGCATTGCATACTGATAAGACCCAGCGAATGACATGTTGTTCTGTTTGTGCCGGTGACAGATAACATCAACCAGAATCCCAATCCATGGGCGCCGGCTGATCTCCGAGATCCGGGATCTCCGGTTCGGGTCTAGTGGCCGTGGCTTATCAATGCCAACATCCGAACCAGCCAGCCAAGCCGGCAGGCGAGGGCGAGCACAAAAAGCCAAAGAAAAAAAAAATTAAGAAAAGCGAAAAGCAAACCCGGAAGTTCGGGATTCTTGCCTTTTCGGCGGGAAGAAAGGTTTTCTCGGTGTTTGCTTTTTCTTCTCGGTGGATTGGGAAGGTTTGAGGGAGGGGCAGATTGGGGGGGTATATATGCATGCAGGATTGCGATTGATTTACCTGATAGTCATGTGAACAGATTTAAGGATGAAGGAGGGGCAATTCGATTGCATAATGCAATGGCAACGCGCGGAGCTATCGACTCGGTAACGACGTAGTCCAGAGTAGTACTGTCGACTAGGGGGTCTAGCTGATAACTTAGCCCTCAGGGTCCATCCACCCCACACCACAATCTAGACAAGAATCAAGAAATTGAACGACTGAGCCCGGGATGGACACTGCTACACAATCGGGAAGGGAGAATACTTCCAGGCAAGGAATCCCGACCGTTGGTTCATGATAATCCCGACCCTCCCGCTGCAATCGCAATTTAGGCAACGCCATCCGCGTGGGCATCACATTATCGGTGATTGGGCACACAGGAGTGAAAAGGAGCATCTACTCACTCATAAAAAGGGGAAGGGAGGGGGACAGGGGAATTAAGCTCAGACCTCAAGTGCGTTTCTGCGCCGGAGTCAGACAGGCCGGATTACGTAGTAGACTAGACTTCACTATTCTACTGCGAAGACCGAAGAACTAGCACGACACCTGCATTCACTGCACTAGCCGCCGTCGCATCGCGCACAACCAACATCCAGAACCATCGACTCGTTCTAGATCGCCATCGACTCACACGAGCTTACTAGCTAGGTTTGGGTTGACCCAGAGAAAACGTCCGTATTGTGGCGTGCCGATTGTCGATAGTGTCCCTCGACTCCCTACGGAGGACGGAGTACAACTAACTTAAAAAAAAGACTTGCTTGTTCCTCGGTGATAGAGTTTTGCAGACCAAAGGGAAAAAAAAAATCACGCATTCAAACGATAGACGCGATGCATTGACCATCGGGGAGGAAGGGAGGAGGGGCAATGGCAAGCCACCACCTGCTCACCCGAGTCATAACTTTTCCTCCACTGCGTGGGTTGTTTTTCGCCCAAAGGAGCAGGTTGTGTCGCCATCATGGATCAGTCCTGTTGAAGCGATGCGACGGGTAGGATGGCGCATGAGGTAGGAAAAAATAAACAAAGTTAACCTTACCTAACCAGCGCCAGCGTTGTGCGCGGAGATTACATAACTCGTGCCACGCCGACAATAAGCGGATGAAAATGTGGTTTTTGGCCTTTGCGACCGGAGTTGGCGCCAGAATAAGATAAATGTGAATAAAATGCAGGTAAAGGTGTTCATGCAGACAGACAGATAGTATAGATCACACACAGTAGGAGGGGGGAGGTTCACCGAGTTATAAGCCACCAGCATACTGCAGGCTGCAGATTGCAGAAACCAGATCACCTCCAGCAGGGAAGTACGGTTGAGCGAGTGTCGATCTGCTGATCGGAAACTCCCATGCTTGCAGGGAGGGTAGCTTGCGAGCTGCACCAGACACGCTAAACCGGTTTCTTATCGGGGGCCCGATTCCGTTGGCCGGTCCGAGGATTGACACCTCCCCCATCCCGAAGTTGATAATGCATCACCCTCAGTCACACACAGACATGAGACTATTGATTGAGGATTGTGGGATGGAGCCGGCTCTCTGACGCCATCCCTCAGTCTAAGACCCTCATGGAATAGTCTTTGGTCCAGGCACAGCACACAATTAGAAGAAATTACGCACCCGCATCGCGTCAATGAGCGGTGACTCAGTGACTCAGTGTCAATCTGGCCGCTCAAAATTGCCACTCTGATGACACCATCTAGTGGACGGGGTGGGAGAGGGGAAGGAGGGGCACCAGCAAAAGGGAACGTCAGCACTACTGTGGTGGAGTCGTTGACTCTGCGCCAAAGATTCGTACACCTGGTGAGTTGTGAAGGTGATCGAGCTGTCGCGTCGATGCTCGAGACTTCCAGGTTTCAAAGCCACACACTCCGAGGGCTCCACCCGGCCCCAAAAATAAAAAATGAACACCAAATGCATTATGAATCGCTTATCAGACCCACGTGCCCGTGCACGGACATCTTTCCCTCTTCCAGTGTAGGAAACCTTATTGAATGACTGGCTGGTGAAGTGGTTGCCATCAGTCCCGGTGCCTGCCTGTGTGCCTGCGTGCCTGTATCGCATGGGTGTGACGCCACTCACTGATTGGCAGTGGCCCTGACCGTGCATTATCATTAACGTTTCATGATCCATTGTCACCGAGTGGTTCCTGAGCAATTTTGTGCAGTTGGGCAGTGGCGGTCGAGGGGTTTGTCGGCCTGATGGCAGGGCTGGAACAGTCGGCCACCGATGGGCGGATCCACCCACTGATCCACCGGGGAAGTTCTAGAGCCCTGGCAAGCAGACTTTTGCTCACCCCATGACCTGTTCGGCCTTTCTTTTCTTGTTCTTATCGCAAGCTGGCTTTCCTTCCCCTGGGACCCTATATAGACTCTCAAGGTCCGGCAGTCCAGGGAAGGGAAAACTGTCAACCAAACAAGCAGCTCTACGTTTCCTTTCCTCTCCAAACCAACACCAATTCACCTTGACTCTCCCCGCCCTTTGGGTGACGGAGTAGTGCCTGCGTACATACATACACTACACACCACTATCGAGTCTCTCGTCCACCCAAGGTCTAAACCTACAATGTCCTACACCTCTTCCTTCCTCTTCGCCAAACCGACTCCTCCACCCGTGCGCCCTCAGCGTCGCTCCCCCTTCGCGACCAAATCCTCGCTCCATCTCCATCTCTGTCTCGTTTCCGGCGAGAAGTATGAACACGAAAGCAGCGCCAAGCAGCCCGATCTGCGCCGGTGCCTCGGCCATGCCCGCGTCCATGAGAAGTCCATGGAGCTCGTCAAGCGGGACATCCAGGTCCACATCCGCTCCATGGGCAGCGACAGCGACGATGACCTCGACAACGACCTGCCCGTCCCATCCCGGCGCTCCCGCCGCGGCTCCAAGCCCTTGTCCGCGGCTCCTGCCCCGGTGAAGTCGGCAGCTGTCAAGTCGACCGCCGTGAAGACCCCGTCCATCAAATGGGCCCCGGAGCCCACCGAGAAGAAGAGCCTCCTCGACAAGGGCCGCCGGTGCATGGAGAAGATTTTCTCCCGCCGGAGTGGCAGTGTGCACTGGTCTCAATCCGGAGTGCCTGTTGTCGCTTGTTAAACTCAAACCTATTCTTCACTCAATCTCGACCACGTCTCATCGCGCTTGATCAACTCAATATTTCTATCAAAACAACCACCCATCACGGTCCTCACCAGACCCAGGGAACCACGCCGTGTCCGGTGTCTCTCCACCTGCGACTCCATCGGCAATTCGTCTGCTCCAATCCAGACCGACTCCTCCACAGGATCACTCATACTTCCCGTCAGTACATCCGCTACTGACGCGCTTTCATCCGATTGAGAGCTTCGAGTATCCTCATCGTCTCGGACAGACTCCCTCCACCTCATCATCATCATCCTCCTCCTCCTCCTCCACCATGACGAAGCAGGGCTTCAAGATCACGGCCTAAAACTCCTTCCTAATATTTCCTTGTCTCCTTTGTTCCACTATCTCGGCGTCACCCATCCTGTCTAGCGTTCACTCCTGTTATTAGAATATACCACCTAGAGCGTCCATGTCCTATAGAGCATAGATCAGACCTTCCCTTTGCCGTGCAAGGGAAGAACCAATAATGATGAATACACTTTCCAACACAACATTCTCCTTCTCCTTCTAGCCACCAAACCCCCACAAATCCAAGCTCGATCATCAATCACACTTCAGATCCCACACCAACGCAAACCTCGCGATGCAGCCTTACGAATACGAAGCCAAATACCTTCTAGAACATGAGAAATCAGTCCTCGCCAGAAATAGCTTCCCCCGAAACAACACATCCCACAAAAGGGGAATAGGGGGGGGGAGAAAGACTGGAACCCGCAAACCCGCTACCGGGTCGATCGGGCGGACACGGGGCGGTCACCAGCCCAGCAAATGAGCGAGACCGGATCGCCGCGGGTAAATCCCCCCTCCCTATCGGGGTCTCGTTCTTCCGGGATCTGAAGTGGTGCTACGGGGAAGGATTCCCGGGGCGGCCTCGCTTGGTTTTCCGGCGGATTAGGTCTGTTGGTGCGATTGAGTCGCGGCGGTTAACTTATCTATCTAGTACGAGTACTCCTACTCGGGAAGTGCTATTCTCAGTTCTTTACTTTATGGGTTTCAATCATGGGTAAAGTCACCGATAGGCAATGGTGCTACAGAGTGCTAGTCCCGCGAATCATAGGTATAGCTACTGGAGAAAGTACGAGTATTCAGGAGGACTATTGAGCACGAACGACTAGGGTTACGTACCCGTACCCCTGCTCTGATCCATGATCAACGGACCTGATGTGTACATGTACTGTACCTGGGGCTGGAGGTCTAGGTGTGGGGTAGACGCCGCTGATCAATCCGGATGGTGTCATTCCAGCTGAAACAGATTGCCGGATCTGCAGGGTCGGGTCTTTGACGATCCGGTGGGGAGGGTGCGTGGTGGCTGTGATGGGATTTTTATAGTACACACTTACATAACGTCCAGCAAGGGGACAGCTGACGTGCTGGTGTTGCCACTGTGGGACGGTGGTTCGGTTCCCAGTGCAATGTCGTTGAGAACGTGCGATGATCGAGTGCCGCGTGACGTGAGATATATATAGTACACGAGGGGAGTAAGTTATGGGGTAATGACTAAGAAATTTGTATCCAAGGATAGTCACGTTACTCTAGCCCAGAAAATGAGATGGACGGGCTACAGTCATCGATCCACTTCGATATTGTGGCACAATGGCTGGTCGAATCCACGAATACATGATTTGGTCGGCTCAGGGACCTGCCGAGGTCAGGGATAGCGTGGTCGCTCAGATGGTTTAACAAAACATTGACGGGACAGTCCCTGTTATCCAAGCTTGATTCGAGTGACCATTCAAGACTGACTACATCGATGATACTATCACAGTTCTGGCATCTCCAATTGAATAACCAGATCGACTTAACTAACTAATGTGTGTATGATTACGAAGCCCCGTGGATAGCATTTGGGCTAAAAATAGATCACATATGCAACATTTATCCGCCCTGAGCGGAAGGCAGAGGCAGAAAAAGGCCGGCAGCCGGCAAGAACTTTTGCCGGGGATTCATGTTGTCAATGATACACCGCCCAGTGTAGACATTACGCTCCGTGTTGCTGCGAAATCAAATCAGACCTAGATTAGGTGTCAAGAGTGTCCTTCATCATCCCTGCATTCAAGACCCTGTCAGCAGTGGAGTGCGATCACAGTTCAAGCGAATCCTAACTTACCGGCCGCTTCTACCCGGATTCCCGCTTAGGACCCTTTTAACTATAAGCCTGTACGGAGTAGACGGCCATGCATTGTGCAACCCGGGAAATGGTCCCCGTAATCTCACTAAAATCTGACTCCAAATTCAACAGGCCAATGACGTTAGAAGAGCACCTCGATGATCCAGAAGCGAGAAGCTGGGCATGACTTGGCTTGTTTTGTTTTCATTGTGTACAATTCCATTGCGTCCCCTCTACAAGACCCTGCTGATAGTAATTCTCCGATTATCAATGCTGGATATCACAGAGTCAAATACCACTGCTAGATGTCGCAAAGCAAAGTACAATATGATGATTAATCGACAGCAGCGAGAGTGTACAAGTAGCCACTTTGTAACGATGCATTGACTAGCTTGACTAGCACAGTGGCTAATTTAAATTAGATTGGACCACCAGTCGCAAGATTGAATCTAAATACATTATCATGCCCCTTAAGCTGGGAGCTTCGATTCATGTGCTGAAATTTCACCCAAAGTTCGTCCACGGTTGTTATGCCCGGTAACAAAATCGGCGGCCCCAATGCTGCATAACGTGTTTCGCATGTATGTCCAATCCGTGTTGACACATCGTCCATACTAAACAGACTGCCTTCATTAGCATCGGCCTCGGCCTGACCATCTACTCATTTCTCCCCCAACTCCATCTCACCCGATCCAAGAAGGACACCTCAGGCCTGTCGCTCTTTTTCGTCGTCCTCAACACCATCTGCGCTACGGAACAGTTCCTCGTCGGTCTGATCTACGTCAGTCTCCCCCATGGCGCAGACTTCTTCATCGACAACCCCAAGTCCTGGGGCGACTGGCTGAACTTCTGCCAACTTGCCACTGTCTGGGTGCTTTTCGTTCTTCAGTAAGTATTGCGACCAGTTGAATTTCCCATAAGGCTCAAGGGCCACTCATGGGATTTACACACCAGAACTGACCCCAAAGATTTGGCATGTGTCTCTGGTATCCATCCCCCGGACTATCCCGCGGACGAAAGATCTACGCGTCAACTCTCTACGGCATCTTCCTCGCCATCTCCCTCGCACCAGGGGCGTTACTCATCGTGTTGCTCTACCAAGACCCGGAGGCTGACCTAACACACGCGATCTTCAGCGGCTGCCATCTACTCTACGTCAACCCGGCGGTGACGTGGCTCAGTCTGGGAGCGTTTCTGTGTCAGGCGGTCACCCTGCTTCGTCCAGGACCACACCACCACAGTGGCATCAGTGTGCGGGGACTGGGTGCTCAGGCGGTTGTGTTTCTGCTGTTGGCGGGGGCCTGGCCTTTTCGGGTCACCAGTCCACCTTTCCCAGACGACTATCCGCTGTCTTGGCCGTTGGTCTATGCTTGGTTCCTGTGGGTGGGGTGGCCGGCGGTGGACAGTCTGATTTTCGCGGTCGGACAGGGGCTCTTGTTCTTGCTGGCGGCGCGGAGACGTGCTGTCGTCGGCGCTTTGGAGGCTACCGCAGGGGAAACCGAGCCTTTGCTGGCGAGCAGGTAATAAGGAAGCCTTGTTGTGTCAAGGACAGTCTGACACGCAGATCAGGCCGTGAAGGGTCCCACCAGATTTGCACCGGGTACCGCGTTCTTGGGTCGGTTGCTCCTGGGGCAAATCCACCCCTTCTCTGACCTAATTCAAGACATGTATTGGATGCCAATAGAGTGGAGGTGCATAGATGTCTTGTCTTCGATTGTAGAGTCCTTGATTGAGATCCATCAGCTGTTTTCTTTGCAAGCATATCCTCGCCGCCCTGGTTTCAGATGAATTAACAAGTGCTTACTTGACCATTCCACCCCTCGACCCCCTTCAATCTTCACCCTCGTTTTGGTCTGGAGTATGCTTGGACGGCTACAGAAAGACGCCCAAGTATCTCCGCCAACAATACTGAGTGGTCTCATATGACCAATTGCTAAGAGGGAAAATTTGTTTACCCTTGGAAATGCAATAACAAGCATCCTATCCCACATGTACGCGCGGATATCGCACTGTGTTGCGGGGAGTTCCTCCACCTGCGCCGCCCTTCATAGGTCAGGAGCAAGGGATCGGCAACCCCGATCGGAACGCTGCATACCATACTAAGACCGCGGAAAGTCGGCTTGGTTGGACGGGGAGTCTATTTCCGCACGGCTCCTTGTTCTCCCTGCAGCCGTGTGTGGCCCAAAAGCCCCCCTGGGCCTGAGTTTTATGTGACACAAAATATGAAGACCGAATTGCGATTTGCATACTTCCATGTACGGTCGACAAAACACAAACAAACCGCGAGGTCCCGCGTCGAAACCACTCCTAGTCAAATTGCTATAAATCCGCGTCGGTTGCATGTGGCAAATAGAGGATCATCATTCACATCGACGTCGACAACCGCCTCCACAACCCCGACAACAACAAGATCAACACCGACCTCCACCATCACCGCCAAAATGAAGTTTGCCCTCTTCTTGTCCAGTGCCTTGGCTGCCATTGTTCCCGCCTTGGCCTACTCCTCGACCCAGGTTAGTGGTCTTCAACTGGAGGAATGCGATGACGAGACTAACATCCACGCAGGCCGGACTCTTCGCCCAGGACCACTTCCTCGGGCCTTACGTTCACAGCAATGGGGATGGATCTTGCATTACGACGTAGGAGCAGGCTGCCTTACTTACTATGGAGGTTGTGCTAACGCTACGATGTATAGACCCGCGGGTGTCATCAATTCTGTTGAGCTGATTCCTGGCATGACATGCCAACTGTATCGGTAAGGGTTCCACCGAAGCTCAGGTTGGGCTATACTTTTTGTTTTACTTTGCTTCTGACCACCTGCCTTCCGACAGCGAGCCGAGCTGTGCTCAGGAGCCTATCCCGCTCAAGCGCGATAGCGCCTCGCTCAGATACGACATCGGAGCCCCGGCGCAGAGCGCCCGGTGCCTGAAATAGATCCTGGTCCAGACACCAGGCTGGACTTTCGGACATCGACAAAATCTCTTTGTACCGATAGCCTTCTGTTCTTGTAAAAATTGAAATTCCTCTTTTGCCCCAATCTCTTCCCGAGCTATCCTTGCCCAGGGCGCGATAGACCTAAGTGACACTATAAGCGGATCTCTGAGGCTCTGTTCCTTGTTGAAAATCTCCAAAGTCTGGAGATCCGAGTGCTTCGACATCATTGCGGCTCCTAACACGATTCCCATCGGTTACTCACATACGCCGCACCACAATCGGAGAGAGCGATCCGTGTTGCATGAGTACACCCGTCGCACCACGCGCGATGCAGTGCTCCGTAATGCAGCCACTGTGTAACCCATGCACCCTCCCTGTTGCACTAGCACAACCTAAACCTATACACGGCAGTCCTATAGTGGGTCCAAGCTCAATATATTGTGTGACTCACTCGGCTGTTAGCGTCAGCCTCATCCGACCCCGCGTGCAATCGTGCAGGATATACTTGCATCGCAACACCACTGAAAAGGATACACCCCGCCGCCTGTTCCCGTCGCACTTCCAAATCCATACATCAACCATGGATCCACCCGCACAGACACCAGCCACCCAGCGCGCCCTCTTCCTCCCCGAGATCCTCACTGAGATAATCGCCTGGATCCACGCCGACACGCTTAACACCTGGCCCACCACGCGCGCACCCCTCCCCCCAGAATCCACCCCCACCCTATCCGCCGACGACTGCGACGACCCTCCCAAAGAGACAAGCATCGACGTCGACGACGACCAAGCCTCAATCGCCGACACCACCTGGGACGAGGACGCAGACGAGCACGAATCCACATACCACTACACCCGCGCAGGCGCCCTCTACCGCTGCGCCCTCGTTAGCCGCCACTGGTCGGCCACGACCCTCCCCGTGCTCTGGCGCGACGACCTCGAGTGCTCGCACAGCAGCAACGACCTCCTCGACCGCCTGGCGCGGATTGCCGACCCTGCGCGCCGACAGATGTACGCTGCGATGGTGACGCGCGCCCGCCTCGTCACCGCCGCCGAGCCGGTCACGCAGTATTACGGCGCAGCACTGCGCGAGGTCGAGTTTCCCCGGCTAGAGTCTGTCACCTTGGTGTGTCCCGGGGCGGGCGGGGGTGAATTGTCGTGTGTGCCGCCGGTGCGGGGTGGCCAGGTCAGGGTGCTGGAGATCGATCCGCGGTTCGAGTCGTGGCCGGATACGTACTGCGTGCGGCATGCGGAGTGGAAGGCGTTGTTTGAGGAGATTCCAGTGGGTTTCTTGTCTTCACCTGTGCGGGATGATGATGATGATGGCGGATGAGCTGACTAGGTGACTTTTGGACATACAGACAAGATTCCCGAATGTTGAGACGGTGGCGTTTCTGGACCGTGCGAGGGTGTTTCCCGGCGCGTTGGAGCGGTTTGCGGAGAGGCTTTCTGCTTTGAAGAGGTTGGATCGCCGACTTGTTATCGAGAATGAGGATATTTATAGTCCCGGGTAGAGGGTGCATGGTGGGATGTGGGTTGTGCTGGGAGAGTGGGGGAGGGGGTGGGCGAAGGTTAGGGCTGGTTTTCAAGGTATGTGCTGTACTGTACTGACCCGCGTCAAGTCTTCGCCATTCTTTGGTGGTTCATGATCTCCGAGTTTTCCCGTTTGGCTTTCTTTCACGCTTCCCGCTCCTGACTTAGGGTCACCGAGCTGGACTTGATTTACCGACCTCCCATCTTCCATTTCAACACGATATGAGACATTGTTCCCAACTCTTATGTTGCCACATTGTCAGTCAAGTTGAGTCAATTACATTGCTTCTCAATACCCAGTCACCTGTTAGGATCATGGATTGTTGCTCACCTTTACTGACTCGTCGGAGCGTGCAAGTAACCTTCTGCGATTGGGCAACTTCGGATAGCCTTGTCTGTCACGCACCAGAAACATTTCGACGTTGCACAACGCAAATACAATGCAATTGCCCATCTATGTGCCTATCCCAATTACTCAAATCGACACCCCAGTAAACCATGAACATACGAAACAAACAACACCGCAGAAAGAAAAGTGTTTCCATCCTTGAGGCAACAACCACCCTCACCGCCGATACCACATCCGGGTGACCTTCGTGCGCCGCATCTTCTTCTGCAGCTGAAACACCCCGTAGAGGGTGGCCTCGGCCGTCGGCGGGCAGCCGGGGATGTACACGTCCACGGGGACGAGGCGGTCGACTCCGCGCACGACGCTGTAGCTGTAGTGGTAGTAGCCGCCGCCGTTGGCGCAGCTGCCCATGCTGATCACCCAGCGGGGCTCGGCCATCTGGTCGTAGCACTGCCGCAGCGCGGGCGCCATCTTGTTGGTGACCGTGCCCGCCACGATCATCACGTCCGCCTGGCGCGGCGACGCCCGGAAGATGATCCCCAGCCGGTCCTGGTCGTAGCGCGGCATCGACACGTGCATCATCTCGAGGGCGCAGCAGGCCAGCCCGAAGCTGAGCGGCCAGAGGGAGCCCTGTCGCGCCCAGTTGACGATCTGGTCGAAGGTGGTCCTTTGGGAGGTCAGTGCGAAGATCCTAAGGGGGGTAAGGGTGGTTGCGTACAGGACGTGCTCGGCTACGTTCATGGGTCGTTTTTCGGTCGAGAGAGAGGTGGATGGTGGTGGGGTGCTGCTATCTGTATGCATCGAGCGATTGAATGTGTTGACTGAGGGGAGGGCGCGAGGGGAGTGCGTCATGTAAGTTGATTGCGCGCGCAATCGAAAGAATAGAGATGCGACTGCTGAACGAGAGACGGGGATATATTGAGGTCAGCGGAATGGCCCAAAGTTCTTCATGTTGGCGTACAGTACCATGATTGAGAATCCGTGGATGACTTGAACGTAACAGATACATGTCGAAAGTGGTGGGGGAAGTTGCTTGTACTAAATGAATATATGCTGACTTTTACCGGTGGGCTCAGGAAATGGGAAATGGTAAAGTGGTAGGGGATGATGAGCACTGGGCTGGGCATAGTATACATTTCCATTTGATGTGGGTTTTCCGACCAGCATGTGGGATTTCCCGACTAGAATCCCGGAAGTCGTAAGGTCTTCCCGCCGGGCCCCACTTGGGCTTTTTTTCGATCTCAGCTCCCACTCACTCTCCCTCTCAGAATCCGACTCTCTCTTTGCCTCATACACCTAAACGTTTCAAACTCCTCTTATTATGTCGTCAAAAGGCATTCGAGAACCATCCAATCTCAATTCTCTCTCGCTCTCTACACGCGACGCACAGACTACAGTGGCTTGTAGCATCTGCAACAAAGTATTCACCACTAAGAGCCACCTGCGACGACACGAAGCGAGCCGTAAGCCACCCCATTCTTACAGTATTCCCGGACAAGATCTGAACCCTAGTTAGATGTGCCGGTAGCCAAGCTGACTTGCAATCACTGTGGTGGTGTATATCGGAGAAGGTATAAGACCTCCAATACACTCTGAAAGATCCAGCTGACCTTACTCTCTACATGCAGGGACGTTCTACGTCGCCATCTCAGAACATGTAAGAAGGGTGGTGACTGGCAACCTCCCGACCATGGCAAGCCGGGAAGAAAGCGGAAGGCCTGCAATGCCTGCGCTACAGCTCGATCATTCTGCGACGGGGACTGCCCGTGCGAGGCCTGTCTGCAAAGGGGCTTTGTATGCTCATTCGCCCGTACGCATCAGCAGTCCCACAAATCCATCTCTCCCAACAGGCTTCCAAGCCAGCAATTGCCCGGGAGCCTCGCTACCCCGAGCCCAGCGACGCCCATCTCTCAGTCTGTCAAACTGTCAATACCCTTCCTCCTGCATTATACGGATGTCGAGAACGAATCAAGATACGAGAGTCTCCGACTGCTGTCTCAGTGCAACCCCGCAGACTCGAGGTCCGGTTGCTGTGTCGTGAACCATCAATCCCACCACCCTCCCATCATCACCGAATCCTGGGAAAGCCTGTTCAAATCATTCATCAACACTGCTACTTTGGATACCGCCTGCAGCCTACACGCTGCTCCGGGAGACCGGTTTGACTTGAGGGAGCTCGAAAACACGTCGTCCAAGATTTTATCTCTGTTGGCAAATCGTCAGTATCTCTCAGAAGAACGACTGATGGACATAGACAGAGCGAAGCAGCTCTTCTCGCCGCCGAACATCGCCAAATTTCTTGAAGCCTTTTTCGACAACGCCTTCCACAACCACTTCATTAACCCCGCAACCTTTCGCTTGAGCAAAGCATCCACGCTTCTCATCCTAACCATGGTGCTCCTCGGAGCGGTCTACACCTCACCGTACAATGGCAGTGATCTAGAAATGTACTCCAGCATCACCGAACACCTTATATTCAGCGGCCCGTCTTTCCAGCAGTTAATCCATCCAGGCATCAACGCCCTGAACGACGCCAGGACTCTAGAAACCATCCAAGCCGCGATGCTCGTGGTGACTCTGCAGGCGTACAAGCATGACCCGGACAGCATCCGACGAGTCCGCCTGCAACGCCTGCCAGCGCTCTTCAGCGCCATCCGCATGCTGAACCTGAACCAGATCACGAACGACTGTATTCCCAACGTCTCTGGCCGGGACGCATACCTGCTCCGAGAGGGGCTTGTTCGGTTCGTGACATCTGCCCCTACGCGTAGTGCATACCAAACTGACGAAGCTGCATCAGCGTCATGGCCGGCATCTACCTCCTAGACTGCTACTGCGTTATCTTCTTCCGCTACCCGACCCAGCTCCGGATCGAGGAGGTACTCTTCGCGATCCCTGAGCGGGACGACCTGTTCAACGCCCGTGATGCCACAGAATTCGAGCAGCTCGCCGCCGTCCCCAGCGAGCCAGGGCGTAAACCCCGCCGGGTCCGATCCGTCCTGCGTGACCTGATGCGGGCCGAAGGTCGCGACCCCCACCGTGAAGATTACCTCCCTAGCACAGTCCTTGGGTCGTTTCTCGTTCTGTCGGGTAAGTGGGGTCGGTTCGATTCCGGAATCCTCGCACCCGTGTGGCTTGGCTAACAGAACTGCAGCACTCCAATGTGTCCTGTTCGATTTGCTGGCCGTCCACGCCCTCACGGACGAACCCGGGATTTTCAATGCGGTCGAGCGGGGCTTGGACCGATGGAAGGCCCACTGGGATGATTTGTCCCGCGGCGCGTCGGATTCACCCAGCACGAAACGGGCCGGGTTCATCATCCATGCGGTCGAGTACTGGTGGGTGGCCAAGGCCCTCGTCAGGCATCCGTCCGTTGCCGTGCCAGAATACACCACCACTACCACCACCACCAACAGCAGCAGCAGCAGCCATGACGACCACCACGATAGCTTTCGTCGTCTGGTGGACAGACTGACGATGAGCCACTGATGGGTGAGGACTTCGGGCTTGATGAGGATGCACCAGAGCATAAGCTGGAAATTCTATCACCCCTATCTTCCCCAAGCTTCCTTTCTCTGTGCTCGAGCACAGATCTCCGACACAGCTATTCATTTGTACGTAGGTACTCACTGTACTAAATTGGTAACAGTACCTTTGACAGGATTCTGCCGCCTCCTGCGGCCAGTTGGCTCTCACCGCCCTCAGGTAGATTTGGCTTCCAAGCCTAGAAGGTAGTCGTTCGTGCACTGATACCGATGGAGAGATAGAAATCTCAAAATGATGGGGTTAAGGTGAGGCTATTCACACTTCTGCGAAGAACATATCAGGGTGTATCAGAGGACGACCGTGCGAAGATAGCATGGAGAACATAGAGCAGGTGCTCCAACGGGGAATGATCCCCCTAACAAGCAGGGAGAATTGGAAGAGACGCCGTCAAGTGCGAGGTACACCGTTTGAGGAGGAGGGGGGTGGGGGCTTAGTCATCGAGCTGGTCAGGATTGAAATCCCATCCCTCAATTCGGCATCTGAGGATCACGATAGGTACAACGCTTCGGGTCTTTGCAGGCAGACCATCGAACGGTTCAATGACAATTCAGGGTCCAGTACACCGACCGGTGGGGACAGTGGCATGACACTGGCTGTCCATGGGGAGTGGAAGTAAGAACATGATTTCCCAACAGATGTCAAGGCTGGTTGAACTGTTTCACTTCGTGACTTTGCAGAACACAAACAAACGTGTTCCATCGATGTAGCTCTCCCGCTGGGAGGCAAATCTACCAACTCGTCGTGCGTCAGCACTCTTAAGATGGCTTCTGGCAGAAGTCCAGAACCCTCTAGTATGGTCGCCTCTTTCTACACGATCGTGATCCCAACCACACATCATGCATCCATCCTTCATTGGGGTAAGGTGATAGGATCCAAGCCATGTCGTGGGAAATGAACCTGGGTCTCGTCCCATTAATTAGGAAAGTCCCGGACGGAGTGCGGGAGGGACAGCAGTCGAAACAAGGGATTGTGGAAGCCCTCTGGCAGTTCTAAAGCCCAGCAGTCGGCGTGAAGACTCAATATGATCACATCCAAGGGGCAAGAAAGAGCAGCACCATCTTCGGGTGGCTGCTGTCTGTTCTGAGAACATCGTCGTCTCGGCCAAATATCGGACCTCGCGGGAGTTCACCGCCCGCTTTATTGACAGGCAAAAGCTCATTATCATCTTGGAAAGAGGGAGGGGGTGATCCGATGTCGGCATCAACCACTTTCAGTTCGAATCCGAAACGCCATGGAACAAGAAGCACTTATGGTGATCACCATCTAACATCCTTTAACGTTATTTAATCTGAGGAATGCCAACACATTACAAGGTAAAATCCAAAAGCCCGCGCAGTACAAAGCGACCAGAGAACTCGAACAACTGCAGTCCAAAAAACCTACCGACGCTTCCTGCTTGCGTGTATGCTAATTAGCATCTGGACGATGCAAAAAGGGCGAGACTACCTCTAGCTTCACGACGGTAGGTAGAATCGCTTTCAGTCCCACTCATTCATCTTTCCGCGCGAGAATCGGGTGACCGAACGCGTTCAACCTCGGCCCTCTGCGATTGATTGCTTGCGAGGCGTTCGACTTCTTCGCCGTGAACATCGTGGGCTTGACGCGATGACGACCGATTGACTGTGGTCTGTTGTTGCGGTGACTGCACCCCTGCGTCTGGCTCCTCAGAAATCTGACCGTAAGTTTTGGGAAGGCCAACGCTATAGAGTTTGTGTAGCAAGTAGCCAATCCCTAGGGCGATTATGAAGGCAATAAACTGTGGCCTGTTGCGCAGAGGTGGCGATGTTTTATCGTCTGGACTGCGAACTGTCCCTAAATGCACACCGCAGCCCACCAGGACCGAGTGGAACGCGAAAGAGGAAAATGCGCCCGGGATCGACGCCGCCAAAGCACCGCGCTCTTGGACCCGTGAGCTTTGGGATCCTCCAGCCTCCGCCCGCCCAGGGGATTGCTGGGAACTTTGTTGGCCACTCAGGCCTTGGCCTTGGCTTTGGGTGGTTGAGCTGTTGTTGGTCTTGATATTGTTCTCGTCGCCGCCAAGCGTTCCTCTTCTCACCCAATCTTTCAGATCTGATGGTTTCACGAGCAAAGCTAAGACCCTCGACTCCTTCAGGGCATGTTGAACCCCAAGTATGGAGAACACAATGCCGAATAACAGGAAACAGTGCGTTGCCGGGTGCGTTTGGCTGGCACTCGTGTGCGAAAGTAGCGCGACGCTAGCAGCTATCATTATAGAGCCCTAATTGCGATCAGTGTTGTTCCAGAGACCACGCCAACCACATTGATGCCATCACTCTTCACTTACGCTTGTCGCAAGCAATCGGTTGTCATTCAAGAGTGCCTTTCTGAAAACCTCGGCTTCTGCTTCAACCTTGGATTCTAAGAGTTTCTTCTGTGCTTCTAAGATTGACCCGTCTCCGAACAACCATACAAACCAACCTACAAGCTTGTTGATGACCCCGCAGACCACCCTTCTGGTTACGCACCGACATGTAGAATTGGGGTTGGTGTCGGTGTCGGTGTTGGAACTTGCCATGCTTGGAAGTGGTTGTCAGCGCCCAACAGAAAGGATAGGACATGGGAATCGAATTGTTCTGCTTCTTCAGATCGCTGATACTGATGACGAGGGATTGTTTATGTCTGTTTATATGCATTTGGTCACATTCATTCTCTTCTTCTATAGCTGCGCAAGGCATATTAGAGACTACGCAAGACCTGAATAGAAGAAGGGGGGGCTGCATCGACCTCGTTTGCAGGCCGGAGCAAAGAGGCGCGATGTCTGAGGGGTTGGCGTCGCGTTTTGCTTTCTACTTGCGGCGTTTGTCTGACTCACGCACCTGCTCCCTGTTGTGAGACGACCAGAGGTGCCCCTTCGGAGCATCTGTCTGTAGATAGTAGTGACAGTCAGAGAAATATCAATCTTGGCAGGTCTCTGGATGTCAACAACCCACCAATGCTATCCGTGCCCATCCGCCCATCCATCGCCAGTCTTCAGCACATCTGACAGACAACATAGCATAAATTCAATATGCTCGCTGGTCTCTTCTCACCAGAGCGCCGCTATTGTGGACGTCACAAAGCGGGAAGGGTGAGGGCCGATATGCAGTTCTTTGTTCAAGAGGCCGGCGGCAGCGGGGGTACAAACGGTACCGGGAGGGATACACCAAGGAACCACTCCATCCCCACGGTTAATGGCATATGGGAGACCCCCTCCTTCCCTTTGATCGTCATCATGTCCCCACTGTTGCTAGTGTTCTGTGGTTGCTCCACTGTGTCATTGTAAGGCTTTGCAGGATGTTTGGTGGACGGGGACAGAGCTTTTTGTCCCGCTTTCCGGCAAAGGGACCAACCAGCTCCACACGTGACATTTATGTCTTTTGAGTGTAAAGCGCTGGAATGGCAGAGAATATCATTAAAGGGAATAATACTTTATTGTAAGGAAATAGAGCTCTACGTGTCAGCCCTCCCCAACCCTCGCTTTCTCTCCCGACATAGGGCACAAGACGTCTAGGTGCATTCTATCGGCACTTCGAAAGAGAGACGGAGTAGTTAGAGCCAACACAAGGCTTCACTAAATTAAGGAGCGAGGAGAGCGGACTCCCTCAGAGGTCAGGCCGTCGTCTTCCTCTGTATCAACACTCTCTTCGACTTCATCATCCTGTGGGCTCCCGAAAGGCATAAAATAAGCCTCGTGAGCCTCAAGAGCCTCGTAAGGCTCCAGGCTAATCTTCTCTTCTTTCAGAAAGACATTCGAGAACAAATCCGTCGGGCCCCCCGGAAGTGCCAACAGAAAAAGTTCCTCCAGATGACGTTCTGCAATATGTCTCAGCAGCTTCTCCACCGAGGACCACTGGTAATCGGCGCAAGGAAAACCACAGAAGGGGCATTCGTTCAAGAATGAAGCCAGAAGCTTCGCAGGGTGAGCTTTGGCGTCCTTGAGATGGTTGAGCCAAGCGTCAATGGAGCTGAACGTGTGTGGACACAGCGCCCACATGCAGAGATAGGGCCGCAAGTCTTCCATCAGGTGGCGTCTCCACTTCGATTGACTAAGATTCTGGGATAAAAATCTGTGCTCACAGTAAGGACACCGAATGAAGTGCTTATCAGGTAGTATCCCGGGGATCGGAGGAAGCTCAATGGTGCGAGTGAAGTCGACCGTCGCGCGCGGAAGGTGGCTTGATTGACGCGTAATGACTCTGCGGCGCGCCAGAATGAGGTCGCTGATCCGCACCCGGAGCCTGGGGTCGGCCCGTGGGTACCGTGCCTCACAGGCTGCGTAAAGGAACCACTTGAGCTGGACGCTGTTGTCATTCGGGAGACCGACCATATTGGCGGCCTCCTGGTATGACCCGGCAAGTGCTTCCTGAAAAAGCCTGTTTTGGACCTCCATGACGCCGTGATAGCGTAAACGGTTCCGGAACCGATTGAAATAGACGTAGAGCCTGTTCCAGACCGAGTTAGTAAGCTTCTGAGCCAAACACTGCCTTATAACCTTCAAATCCCCACACAGCGATTCGTATCTTTCTTGCAAGAGCCTTCTATGAAAGTAGCGCGCCAACTCACGGTCAACCAGCCAATCCCACTGCGCCAAAAGGGCCCGTAAATCCGCTTGAAAGTGCCGCAAGCGTTCTAGTCGCTTGCTTTTACTTGGATGAGCGCACTCCAGGCATAGTTCCTCGACGAAATCCTCTAAGTCCCCGACGAGCACAGACAGAAACGTCTGCTTGGGGTCCAACCAATCTTCTATTAACAAGCGAAGAGACATTTGCGTGGACACAAGGTGTTGTTTTGAGTGACACTGACCTTCCAATGGTCTGGATATGCAGTCCCTCTAGGAGCTTCACGCCTCGTTTATATAGGGTGAGGCTTGCTTGCTCATTCTGCCGTTCCTTGGAAACAAACCACCAGTCCCAAAGTTTTTAAACAACGGAGGAAGAGCGAAAGCGAAAAGTGCCTATCTTATCATAATTCAATACTTGGGATATGGTCTGTGTTACTGTGCTGGCTTCAGGAGGCATGGTTAGCAGGAGGTCGAACGCCGATGACAAGCGGCAGGTTGCCTCCACAACACTGCTAAGCCCCCCCCCCCCCCCCTCCCCACCAGATATGCATATTAGCATGCGGTGCATTTACGAGGCTGAGGAGGTCAAAAAAAGAGAAAGCCTTCTGCGTAATACCCACAACAAAGCGTCTTTGGAGAGAATTGCCAGTGCGAACAACGGATGGCAGGCGAGAATTCCGGTTCCAGTCAACCGGATGGGAGGACTGACTATTGCAGAGTCATGGGTCACTGATTTCATGCTTAGTGGGCAAGCTTCATGCTCTCTGTCTGGTTTGGATTTCTCTCTACCGTCCCGTCCATTTCTAGAGTCTCGAGATGCCTCTTACACTAGACTTTACGACGGCATGGTTGTTGATTAAGATCTCTTTGCGATTGAGTAGGAGAACCGGTCAGTTGGATTTGTAGATAATTGCGAAGCACGTTAACTTCTGTTGGCAGCGCTGAGCCCTCGAGGGCCGGGCCCGACAAGTAATCGGAGATCATGTGAATTGTGCTCGTTTCGTTTCTGCTGTGGTCCGCCGCTTTCTCACATGACGAGGCCTCGCTCGAGTCAAGTATGCCCAGAATTGCATCTCACGGGCACATCCGTGTTCATCATTTCAAGGTAGTGATCTTGGAAGGCGATCATCGTGAATACTTGTACTGTAGTCTACGAGATACCTTACAGTCTAGCCATTCTAACAGATTCCCTACTCGTTCTCCTGTCATGGCTAGCGACGAACTGCCTGTACTTTGGATCGAAGAAACTATTCCCTAAGGCAGCGCATGCCGTTTAGGAAAGAAATGATACCGGCAGGAAAGATGCCTTCCTGCCGGAGAAGCCCAAGCAGTGCGGCTGTCCTTGGCCTCAGAATCAGGGTCTTCTAGAAGCATCGCGCCGGAGTAGTCAGCAACGCAATCAACCTTCGATCAAGATAGTTGTGTCTGTAGATCTGTAGACCATTCTCATTACTGCCATTGGACTACTCAATTCAATTGCAATTCATCCATACACGCAGCCATACAAGGTTTCGTCGTTCAATAGAACAGAGGTATGGGAGACAGATTGCACTCTATTCTCCAAAACAATGCCGCATTGGAAGCACAAAACCCGTCACTCTGTGTCGAATATGGTAGTATCATTAAACATTGTCGGACTTTCACTTTAGGCCCCAGCTATCATCTGCGAACGGCCACCCGCCCAGCTGAATGCTCAGTCGTGGGGTAGATTGAATCTTCTCCGCATTCCGCTTGAGCTCGTTCACATCCCAATTAGCCCACAGGTACTTGCCCTTCAGAAACTCTGCCTCGGGGCTGGCCAGCCAAACGTAGAAGCTCGCAGGCAGATCCACTGTAGGCGCGAGGGAAAAAAAAGCAAGTCAGCCTGTCGTCCTTTCTTCCTGAGCCGGGGATTCCCATCTTGTGGTCGAGAAAGTATAAAAAAAAAGAGGTGGCACAAAGAAGAACAAAAAGAACAAGGGAAACGGATTGGAGAGAAAGAAAGGAACAGCAGGAACTTACCATGATCCTCAAACCCGAGTGCCTCGATGCCCCCCGCCTCGCGGTTCATCGCCGTGTCCACCACCCCGGGCTGCACATGATACACGCGCAACCCCGGATTCTCGAATCCGACGGCATCCCACAACCGGAACACCGCCATCTTGGCGACGCTGTACGGGGCCAACCCGGGCCCGAAGTTGACGTGGGCTGCGCTGGAGGAGGTCTCGATGACGGCGGCGTCGGGCGCTGCGCACCGCAGGAACGCCTGCGCCACCCACCACGCACCGTGCAGGTTCTGTTGGATGGCGTCTAGGGCCTGTTCGCCGGGGGCGTTGGCCACCGGCACCATGGGGCCGATCATCCCCGCGTTGCTCACCAGGACATGGAGCCGGCCTTCAGGGCCGAGAAACTGGTTGAAGGCGGCATCGACCTCGCTCTGGCGGGTGATGTTCGTGGGGGCCGTGAAGACCTCGACGCCGGGGAAGTCCCGCTGGATCGAGATCTTGGTGTCTAGCAAAGGTTGTTCACGGCGGCCGAGGAGGGCGATGCGGGCAGCACCGGCTTGGGCGAAGCGGTGGGCGGTCTCGGCGCCGATGCCGGTACCTCCGCCAGTGATGAGGATGTTTCTCCCGTGCGCGGATAGTTCGGGGCGCGAGGGGGATATTTCCGGGTAGGCTTTGTCGTGCCATACCGCGGTTGGGGAGGGAAATGGCGCCATTGTGATGCTTGTTTGCTGTGCTCGTTCAAGAGAGATAGAACGTGTGTCAGTTAAATCTCGTAAGTAATGCACGATGATGCTAGTAAAAAGTTATCCACCTGGGTGGATGGTTTATATATTTTGTAAATCTTGCAGCTCGGGTTTGTTTCTTCGGCATTGCGATGGAACTTGACAAAATTGCCTCTCCGAGATTCAATCTGAGTCTTTGTATAGGAGCCCCCAATTGAATGAGCAACCATGCTGTTGGGTGGAAATGTGAAGCATGCAAAGTGCTCCGCCTTGGCGCCTCGAGTTTACAAAATGTTCCGCCCGACTGACCTTTCCTAGCCGGTTTAGCCTAAGCGTTAAGTTAGCCCTAACTCCTCTGAAGAACCAGCGCTTACCAAGACCGCTGACAAATGCAACAAGTGTCCAAGGTACTGTACTTAGAAACGCCATCTCGCATCGAATTTGGGATTCATGCGGTCCAAATTGATATCAAAATGCAGGCACCGAATTTTGCTTCTACTGTCCTGCGATGCGCGCGCTGCAACAAGCCCTTCGACAAGGGCAAGTGTCCGTCCCGAAACTCTATACCGCACGTTTCGCTGACACTAGGGCCATGCAGAGTCCACACTCAGGAGACATGGCTATTACTGTCGGTCCCGGAAGAGTGAAATTGGCCCGCGGGCCCGCTCTTGCGTGGCCTGCGCCAAGAGAAAGGCGCGTTGCGATCATCGGCGTCCGAGATGTTCCAGTTGCATGGCGAAGGCCGTTGAGTGCGAGTATCCAGCGAAGCCTCCCCGAGACGTACGACCCAGAAGTGCACGGGTCGATGCATTGACCAGCCATTTGATCACACCTGAAGCGCTAAACGAGAGTGCTGACGTAGACACTGTACTTGAAGTTAGCGATGATGTCGCGACGTATGCGGATAGTGAATTCGCTATGTCGAACTTGGACCTCGAGTTTCTAGACCGAATTTTGCTTGGAGCAGATCACGCAACACCAGGCCCGCACAATTTTGTGCTTTCTGCAATAGGAACTGAGGCCGGTCAATACCCGTTTCCGGAGTCTCTATCAGAGGCTGTTAATGTGAAAGCTTCAATGCAACACAAGCAGCTCACGCCAAGTTTATCGATTCCCATGGCCCCAGCTCAAAATATTCGCTCGCTGCTACAGCGTCCGAGGTTGAATGTGGGATCCCAGAGGACTGCGAATCTAATATTACACACATTGAGGGCCTACCCTCAGATGATGCTACGCGACAACCTCCTTCCTCCCTTCATTCATCCTCATCTGATTCGTTTAGATGTCACGGACGACGATATGGAGCCGTTGACCAACTGCATTAGTCTGGTGCATATGACCACCGGCCCGGTAAGAGGCAATCGCAAGTTATTCTGGAAGAACGTTCATTGGGAATGTGAGCGACTGTATGCGGAGGTACGCGGTCAGCCAATTAGCCTTACCATTAGGAGATGGAAGGGTTACTGACAGAAGAGTGAAGCACACGAAGCTGAACAAATGGGAGCTACTTGCCGCGATGCAGGCTCTGTCTATCTACATTATCATGAGACTGGAAGAGGGCGAGACGGAGCACAACAATGTTGATTTGTTGTTGCTCTCGACAGTGACGGTAGGCCTCACCAGTGTTTCATTGTCCGTGGTTGAATTCTAATGCTCAAAGTAGGTAATTGCCAGACAGGTCGGCAACCGCAGCTTTACCACTAACACCCAAGAAGAGGGTGGGCGCGGCCACACCAGTGTGCCGTGGGACGATTGGCTCTTTGAGGAATCCAGGCGAAGGTCTGTCGTATCCTGCGTAAGGTAGAAACCAGGTACTGATTTTCGCCAAGGCTATGCGTGATCTACCAGGTCGTGAGTATGCTGGTGTACTTCGACCCAGCCTCCATGTGCGAACATCCCACAGATCTCGTTTTATCCCCTCTTCCCGCAAGAAGGCAACTGTGGGAAGCGGGCGACGAGCTTACCTGGAAGGCTGAGGTAGAAAGGGGGCCTGCATCTAGGGAGGAGTATGGCATGGCAGCCAATGGTGAGCTTGTGCGACTCACCGAGGACGATGTCTATTGCCACGAAGCCGTGGCTTCACAGAGACCCACCGGTGGTAGGGAAGCTGCGACATGGGAGGATTGGTGTTCCGGTATGGATGGGCTGGGTGGGCTGGTCATGCTTGCTGCTTCCCTGGTGGGATAATTTCTTTGATAGCGTTCTGTCGTAACTGCCATGTATGTAAGTCACTATGTCACTATGTTGCGCAGCCGGAATAGATTTCCGCAAGCTGAATGCGCCAGTGAGTCAGCTGCACCTCCGAGGGTGAGATTCTCCTTCACTTTCTCTCTTTGTCTTTACCTTTCATCTCGTCCATCGTTGCTTCCTCATAGTCCTCGCCTTTGCTGCTCACCAGTTTAGCAGATCATCTCGTTCTGTCTACGCTTAGTATCCTCACTTTGAGAGACCACAACAAGTGCCATCTGCTCTTTCCTACTTGCAAGAATCTACGAGATATTTCGGTTCAAGTCACCGGCGCAGGTGCACCCTTAGCACCATTGCCGTTTCTTTCAAGCCCTTACTCCGCCACAAAGAATGGCGCCATCCCCCTTCGGACAGTTGGGCGCGTTGCCCTTGGAACTTCGACTAGAGATCTACGAAAGACTATTTCGGAAGCCAACGCCATCCGTGAACATTCTCTCCTGCTCTCAAGCAATCTACGACGAAATCACCGATCGCCTCTACGACAACCTCGACATTGATCTGACACCATCGTGGCACAGCTCTCGGCTTGAAATTCGCTGCAAGGCACTGCGATTGCACTGGAAGATACGCACCTCGACCTCCCCTATTCGCGATCGATTTTCTCGACTCCCATACCACAAGGCCAACCTGCGAATTCACATTTATGCCCCGGATCCACACGACCCCGGGCAGCTCGTTCTACTATGGTTCTTCATCCAGACTTTCACGAGCTTTCTCAAGGGAGCGACCATCAAATCGATGACCATTTACCTACAGAAGCAGGACGGAAATGATTGGCAGGAGGCCGGTCGCGCGGTGGAGAGCATCCCATATCCTGGGACCCATCAACCCGACCACAATATCGTCTTTCTCCCGTTCTGTCAGCTGTGCAATGTCAAGAGCCTCCATATCGTCCCGTCATCGCGTCGCATGGATCGTGCGATTGACTGGGGATTCATAAACTACGGTCGCGATTTCATCCTCAACAATGGATACGAGACGTACAACGATGGCCCCCTCAGCCAGGACCCGCACTACCGCGACGTGGTACCCCTCTTCGACGACCTCAACGGTACGATACGCAACATGCAGTTCTTCCTCGACACCCGCTTGGACCTTCTGTCGGGCGACACTGCGGCCATGCTTCGCCTGCGTTGCGCCAGCCGATTTTGCATGAGCACATTTCCGATGCACCACCGGGAGCTTTTCCTGACGCTGCGCGAATGTCCGAAGGCGATCACGCTCCACGACCCCGGGCTGGAGAAGTGGTGCATTCGTCGCTGGCATCATTGGAACATTTTCTGGGGAAACAACATGAACTGGAATTGGTCATGGGACGAATGGTGCCAGCGATATCCCGACGGGCTTCCGCCTTTCACCCCGGAGAACGTCCATGGCTATTGGCGGGCGATCCCTAGCAGTCCGCTTCATGGGTGGAAGAGCAAAGGATGCATCGACCGGGAAGGGGAGTTCGAGTTCCGGATCTGGAGCTACCTGCACCGTAACTGGAATCAGGAAAGCATTGGACAGCTTCACTTCTTTGAGCGGGAGTGGTGCACCGATTGTCGCCATCTGGGATTTCAGGTAGGCTGCGAGGAGGGCTGTGAGCGTCTGAGTCGATTTGACTATCCGGAAGCCTGGGAAGAGGATGAGGAAGGTGACTACTCGGATCCCGAGCTTGTCCTTTAGCACGAGATGGACTATATACGTGATGCTACGTTTATTCTTTCAAACAGGGTCAAACTTTCAGACAAAGAATCTTGTTCCTCACGAGTTACGCTACTCGCAATATCCACCGCTTCGGATATGAGGAATTCAACACTGTAATACCATCTATACAAATACATGATACGGTTCATTGCTTTGCTTTGTGGCACTTTTAAGGCCGTTTTTACTTTCCTGAAAAGCCTCGATGTAGCTTCGATTCTGCTCGCAAGGTCAATTCATCCAGTACTCCTGCGTTTATAGAGGTAATGGTAGGCACTGTATGTAAATGCTCTCGGCAGCGCTAAGCTCCGCCGGTCCTGCCATCAGGTCTTTCTGATTATCTCATGACAAACCCTGCTTCAGTCTACCATGTCTAAGCCGTAGCTGAGTCACCAAACATCATGCTGGAAGACACATGAGGTTATGCCAAGGACTCGAGTGCACAGCGTTACAAGGTAAGGCTTTCCGGCAAGGAAGCCATCAACATCACGAGCACCAGTGATCAAGCCGTACTTGGCTGAGTAGGCAGTGCTTGGGTACGATTAATTAACCAGGATGGCTTTACCAGAAGAAAAGGCAAGGCTAGGAGAGCGTGATTGAGACAAAGAAGTGAATTACGGCTTGCATTACACGATACAAGAAAAATATTATCCATATATACAAAGGGAGCTTGTCTTGGTTTCCCCCTCCGTCGCCGGAGGAGTACTGAACCCCAGCACCACGGTAAGGTGCAAGCTCATTGCTGGGGACCCTAGAGGGCAGAATCAAAATCAGCATCTATCCACATGGACGAATGAAGGCAGGGTGATACTTAACTCGTTGCACTGGCTGCTGGTAGAGCGAGTCACATGAGGACAGGATATGACTTAACCGCCCCGAAGGTGCGTGCATCATTACACCGAAGCCGGAAACCTTTGTCCAACCATGATCATCCTTCTCCACCAGTGGCCTAACCCCCTACTGCCCCCCCTTTCTCCTCTTCGCTGACCGTGGGTTAGTAAGCTCACGGGTGACCAATCTTCGTGCCCCCTCAAGAGCCTTGCGGCCCCCTTCTAGATCCTTGTCATACAGACTGCGGAGCTTCTTTGGCCACGTCCTTTGGAGTCCGGCGATTTAAGGGCACGCCTTATCTCGGGAAGGTTGTAGGGAGTTGGATCTGACACGTTGTGTCTCGTCCGCGTTTGACTGGAAACAGGACAAGAGGTGACCGGGATCCGCTCCTTGAATGTCTGCAAGACCGCGTCAACTCGATCTCCGCATTCTCTGTTATTGAAGGCTCGCCTGCGGCTTGATTTATCCGGTCGGAGTCTGAGGTCGGGCTCGGGCAAGGGACGTGCAAGCCCAGAACCAGGCTTGTGGTTGATCCAACCTTGCGTGTCGCCGTACAGAGTCAGGATCCGTTGCCAGGTGGTGTGATAAGGGAGCTGCAGGCTTGGTAAAGCCTCGGGAACTTGGTTTTGTCATGTTCGATGACCTGCCACATCCTGGCGCGGTCCTTCTGAACACCAGGCTTCCCTATCTCTGTATGACAAACCTCGTTCCGCTTGCCATACACCAAAATTGCCGCTTCGCCATCTCGAGGTCGACATCGTACCCCTGCAGTCGGAGGCGTCGGACACACTCCTCTAGAAGTTCGATGTTGCGTTGTCTTCCGAAGGGATTCAAGGATTCCTGGTTGAGCTTATCGCGGAATGGCGAGACCCTCGAGTTTAGGCTTCGCATGTCCTTGGTTTTGGAGATGTACCAGGCTGTTCCACAACCGGCCCGCGTAGACTCCGTGGGTGAGGAGGAGATATTGCCACTTGGTCTGCTGGACAGCATCCAGATCGATGTCAATTCAATCTAACGAGTTATGCTAGATAGTCTGATCCAACCACGGGTAGAAGTTGAGCAAAGGGTCGCCTCTCAAAGCGGCAGCAGGAATGGTGCTGAAGAATGACGTACAAATATCAATCAAGGACGAGCCCTGTTGACTCGGAATCCTGAGCATGAGTTAGCATAAACATCTCTGTGGGGCTGCCAAAAATACATACGGTCTGTCAAAGACGTGATTGCTCTGTAAAGCGTCAAGGTAGATGGAAAGATGTAGGAAGCGGTCGGTGGAAGTGTGCACCAACAGAAATACTCGGAATGCAGGGATAAACCAGAGATAGAGCAAGGCAAAGCGCAGCACAATACCAAGGAAATTGGAATTTGCCATTGTGAAGGAAAGCACAATCTGTAGGGAGACTGAAACTTGGAGGAAGGAAGGGAGTAACTTTGAGGCTGTTCCTTCCTCTTCCTAAACCGCCTACGGAGATCATCCTTCCGGTTCCTTTTTCCTTTTTCTTTTGTTATTCTTTTCTGCACACAAGTACTAATGGTCGAGGTTAAGTCAAATAGGTTCTGGTGTGTTTGGTGGGGGGGTTAGGCAGGCAGGACATGGTGTGAGAGAAATCGAGGAAGTGTAAGCTGCCACCTACAGGTTATCCTCTGAACAGTATCAATGCATAGACCTTTTTTAAATTCACAATGCCACCTGTAGCCATTCTTTGACTAATTCTAGGCTATGAAGCAACAAAAGATTAGAATTTGCACTAACAGTCAAACATGAATCAGTGAAAGATACAGGTAATTGTGGTAATGTGGTTCACTGGATCACGTGAATCATGCATGCATAAACAGGTGACCGGCGACATTCCTGTGATCGCAGGCCCCTGAAATCAGTCACTAGGGTGCAAGCACGCAGTCACAACATCAAATTCAGTCACTATTTCCTGTCGCTACCACGTATAGAAGTAGGCGAAGCCTTATATCCGGGCAATGTGGATGAGAAGCTCCGCTGTGAGGCCGCTACCTTTATCTGGATACGTCAGCAGCAGCTTGATGTCCCGCTTCCTCGGCTATGGGGTTTTGGGTTCCTCGGTGGTCAGACTGTACGCAAGCCAACGATTTCAACTGAATAAAGAGTCTAACAAGGCTTCCCACACAGTTCAGTATACCCGAACACATGCCTCTCACGACGAGACTCTTCTGGTATGCCAAGCGATGCGTGTCGTGGCTGTTGCGCCGTCCTTTGTCTTGCCCTTATATCAGCCATTGTCGACAACACATACTAGACCACGGCTACCTCGTCATGGACTACATCGATGATCCAGAAGTTCAGATGTTATCGGACACCTGGAACGAACTTCCACACGATGGCGCCAAAACAACCAACCTCTACTGTCTTTGAGCCAACTCCCACTACCCCGCATCGGCTCTTGGACGATCGACACAAACGGCGTCCTGCAACTGACTAACCGTCCGCTCACTCTTCGTCTGCATCAGTTGGAGAATGCCGAGATTCCTACCAACATGGACCGCAGCTTAACTTTTGCATCAGCTGATTCATACTACCACGATATCCTGTCCTGCCACGACAACCGTCTACGACATCAGCCCAAATCGATGTATGGTCAGGATGACGGACGAGCCCAGATGGCAAATTTGACCATGATGCGGGCGCTTCTTCCGCATTTCACCGACCGAAACCTTTCCCTAAGGCCCTTCTTCTACCGGCTCACTGACCTCCATCAAAGCAACATCTTTGTCGACAAGGACTGGAAAATCAAATATCTCATTGACCTGGAGTGGGCATGCTCCCTGCCGGCGGAGACTATGCGCCCTCCGTACTGGCCGACCAGTCGGCCTGTTGATGATATTCTCGGGAAACATCTCGACACATTCAGTGAGGCCCACGGCAGGTTCATGGACATATTCCAAGAGGAAGAGAAGCGTGCCTCGGTTTGATGTCAGTGCGTATCGGACTAGCATCATGCGACGAGGGTGGGAGGCTGGGAATTTCTGGTACTTCCATGCCTTGGATAGTCCCAAAGGTCTATTCAACATCTTTCGCGACCACATCCAGCCCAAGTTTGCAGCATCTCAGAGCGCCGATCCCACTGACTTATGGCGGATATTATCTGAGTATTGGTCAGTGAATACGAAGGATGTCGTTGAAGAGAGGCTGAAAGCAAAGGAGAAATATGAGAATGAGCTACGCCGGCGTTTTCAAGATACTTGCGATGGCACATGATACCGAGCATCGGTCAGGCATGCAGTGAACGCCAAAAAGCCAGTCTATTCTCATTCAAAGCCAACTTATCGAACCACAAATTCACAGCCCACAAAAGTACATAAGTCATGAAGCAAACAAACATTGCCGTCATGCCATCACCACCTCATCCTGCCCCATCCTCCTTTGTCCCATCCCGCGCCACCAAATGCCCCGTATACCGCGTCATAATCCGATCCGCCAACTCCGCGTTTGTCCCCCCTTCGTTCCCACTCACCTCTCCCTCTGAATCATCCGACACCTCCTCAGCATATACCCGCGGCTCGGGCACCGGGCCCGCCCGAAAATCTTCGGCGCGCATAGGCCGCGCCTCACGCTCATAGCTGCGCTCGCGCGACCGGTACCGATATCGCGGCCGGGCACCCGGACCGGCCCCGTCCACCGGGTACGACTCACGCTCGTAGACTCGCGACCGAGATCTGGACCGCGGCCGCGAAGGGCTGCGGGAAGCAGGCGATCGGGATCCCCGACGGTCCCGGGCGCGTTCCCGCAGCGCCGCGATCAGTGCCCCCGCTACGGCTGGGGTGACTGAGCCCAGCAACCTTTTGGTCGAGGCGCTGAACTCCACGCGGGAGCTACCGTCGCGAGGACCCGCTTGCGTGCAGCGTTTGAAGACGGCGAGCACACTTGCCGGCTCGCGGGGGTGGTCTTGTGGTGGACTTGGGCGCGGGAGTTTGAGACGCTGACGCCAGGTTTTGGTGTCCTTTGGGGGTGGTGGGTACACCGGGTCCAGGACGAGAAGCATCCAGTGGTGGCGCGAGGAAGGGTTGGGGATGAGCCAGTTGCTGATCATGCTCTGGTATCCCGAGGGCAGGGTTGTTAGGGTTGCGTACGCGTCGAGGGGCAGGGCGCCAGATGGCGATGATTTCTGCTCTTCGCGGGCGACGCGCTTCGTGAGCTGCGGGAGGGGATAGTCCACTGGGTGGACGGTGTAGGAGATCGGGTTCTTGGTGATGAGGAGGGACCAGGTGAAGGCGAGGCCGTCTGCGGTGGTGGGGTCTTGCAGGATGAGGGGGATTTTAGGGGTGGGTTGCGACGATGGGACGGCGTTGACCATTCTTAGGAGTCTGTGAATGCAGAGGTAGGTAAGTAGCTGGGTTTTATCAGCATGTATCAGTTGTGGTTGTCACATACTGTCTCAATGCTACTGGGTCTCCTTTGTATCTACTCCATAGCGACGAGAGTCTTTGCTGCGCAGCTGGAGAATCATCCTCCGGTGCCAGCGCAAACTTTAGGGCATAGTCGATGGCTTGCTTCAGTGGATTTTTACTCCCCGAGTCCTCGGGGTTCGGAGCGTATGGCGGCCCATATCGCTCGGTGCTGACATCGCGAGGGATATCAAACGTACCCTCACGATAGAGCTCATCGCCAGGCATGTACGGTCGCTCTTTCTCGAAATCATCAGGCACATCTCGCATCGGACGCCGGCCGCGGTGACGAGCATACGCGCGGTCGGGGTCCTCGGGCGAGATACCTCTAGTCCCTGGCATGTCGTGCGCAGGTTCCTCGCCCCGTTCCTCACGATTATAGGTAGTGAATCGTCCATTCTGTCTCGGATCATTTCCGTATCCAGGGCGGTTCACGCGCTCGAGTCTGCGCCCACAGAGAACGAGCTCGCGGCGCGCGACGGTGCGCGACCGCCACAGCGCGATGATGCGCTCGACGATCGCCTTCCGGTCTTCCTCTTTCGACCTGCAGTCGGATCAGAGTCAGTACCCAGCCTTGCAGCATTAAACTGCTTAACCAGCCCAGAAAAGAAAGGAAAGGAAAACAAGAGACAGAAAACCAGGAACAACCCACGTGGAACTAGCCTGGTAAGTACTCAGCGCCAGCAGCATCTCGATCTTGATCTTCTGCAGCTCCTGCTTCAGAAACTGCAGCTGGGGCTTGAACAGCGGCCACGAGAGGCGCCCGAAGATTGACAGATCGATCTCCGCGCGCGAGACCAACGTCCGACTGTCGCTCGTCGAGTCGCTCGCTGACGCGGTGGCAGTGGTTGTGCCAGGAACAACGGATCTACCCCCGGCCGCCGCCGCCGCGGCGGGAATCGTGCCCCCACCTCCCGAGCGGCGGAGCAGCCTCGACAGTCGCTGGATCACCTCCTGGCAGTCCTGGAGACACTTCTTGGCCAGAAACAGCCCGTGGGCGCTCCAACGCGCCGTGGTTTGGTTCTCCTGGATGATGCGGTCGAGTTCCTGGGCGTGCGAGACGGTGGCCTCAATCTCGTTGGCGAGGTTGGCGATGTCGTCGCGGCCGTGGCGCACGTCGGCGATGTAGGTGTTGAGCGTGGTCGCGAGGCTGAGGCCGAGCTGGGCGAAGGCGAGCACGGCGCTGGCTCCGTCCATCACGAGGCGGGAAGTTTAGGGTGATACATGCCGGGGGTGGGATGTGCGATGGCTAGGTACTCTGTAGCTTCATATGAAATATGAAAAGCTGGGCTGGCGGTGATGGGGAAGGCTGACAGGCAGTGTGGCTGTGGCGGGGTCGAGGCAGATTTGAGCCTCAGGCGGGATGATAACTTGTCAACTTAGGTACTGGCGGGGAATATCCTGCTTGAAAACGATATGAGTAGCGAATGATAATGAACGTGGCAGCAGAATACGACTGCCAAGCTGGTGAGGGGCCACATCCCGCCTATGACATTCTTCGTGCTGGCTCTAGTCGCCAACTCCCTTCCGATTAGGGCTAGCAGCTGTATCTCACAGCCTTGCCTGCCATCCAAGCCACCGATCAAATTGCAGTCAATCCACCACAAATAGACAGCACAGGGCCTTCGTAAGTTATCCAGCTTCTCATCTCTCTAAGCGACTCGAGAATTCTACACTCATCACGATATCTCAGGGAAGGAACAACTGACAAACAGTGCGCTTGCATCAAATCAATAGGACAAACATGTATATATGTCGCGTGACCGGATGGCCCTCACATCCTTACTAGGAAATGCCAGTCTCTTTCTAAAGCACATTCCCCTTGGTCTGCGTCATGTTCTTGACATTAATATTCCTCATCATGCCCACCCAGACGAACCCCAAGACCATGAACGCGGTAGCCGCCGCCAACATTCTCGTCTGCGCATACCCGTACGCCTTCTGGATGCCCAGTCGCTCCTCGCTCCCCACCGGATAAGCCAGCTGTGCCGGCAGACTCTCGTAAATGGTCAACAAATTCGGCTGCGCCGACGCCGGGAGATACCGCCTCAGGGCCTTCTCGAAGGTATTGGTCCAGATGGCGCCGGAGATGGCACTGCCGATCGATCCGCCGATCCCGCCGGCCACATACAGGAAGGCCAGCACGGCAGCGACGTGCTGGTGATCGACAACCCCGAGCACGGCCAGTTGCACACACAGGATGAAGATGCCGCCCGACACGGAGAAGAAGATCTCGCACATGACGATGTACCCGATGTATCCGTTCGGCTGGCGGAAGTGGATCATCAGGCCCATGGCGAAGATGTAGAGGGGCACGCAGAACCACAGGATCCACTTGAAGCGGCCCGTCAGCCGGATCAGGTAGCCGGCGATGAACAGAAACACGAACGAGACCACGCTGAAGGTGTTGGTCACGTAGCCGGCCGTGGCCACGTCCAGGTTGTAGACGACCATCAAGAATGAGGAGAAATAGCTCGCGTAGCAGTAGTACGAGACCTGGTAAGTCATGTCCAGGAGCACGGCGCCGAGGACGGTGCGGTCGAGCAGGAAACGGTTCTTCAGGAAGGGCACGGGCGCCCAATAGATCTGGTAGAGGAAGAAGAATACCAGGAGCACGAAGCCCACCACGATCATTGCGATGATGTAGCCTGTCTTCCAGCCGTTCGGTGCCGTAGTGGCCAGGGTGAAGGGGAGGAGGAAGATGACGACACCGGCGGCGAGGAGGAAAACTCCGGGTACTGGGCGTGGATTATTATGGAGCGAGGCAGGCAGATGCTGGGGTAGAAGCATAAGGACTTACAATCGAACTCTGTGATGCACCACCAGATCGTTTCGGAAAAGGTCCGGTTGCTCTTCTCACGTACCACAATTTGCTCCTTGCGAGCCTTGCGCAAGTTCCACGCGAGGACAGTATACAGTGGTAGTGCTACACATGGAAAGACAATAGCCCAGCAGCCCACACCCCATCGCCAACTGACATTATCGTAGAATCCCGCACCAGCTTTGGATCCCGCAAACGCGGTGATTATACCCGGGGAGGAGGTGAAGGCGAACGCCAATCCTCGATTTCTGAGATTTGTCACATCTGCGGCGAGAACGTCCCATGTGTAGCTTAGTCCTCCGAAGCCGATCGTATAGAACACCTGGAAACACGATCTCCCTATTAAAAACTCTGCGTTCAGGGCTCACTGGTTGAGCGGACCGTCTTACCTCAGCAGCACAGTATGTGGCAAGGTTATGCGACGCGGCCATGAGAACCAACCCGAGGATGCACAGAGCCATCATGAGGAGGAAGCTTTCCGCGCGTCCCCAGACATCCAGCATCTTGGCCATCGGAATGTAGATCGCAGAGGTGATGGACCCTGCAACGATCGTAATGACGGTCAAAAGTGAGTGGGCCTGGAAGGAGCTCGTGATGAAGGGATTCAAAGTGCTGACAACGGTGGATTTAAAGCCGTTGACAAGCGTCAAGAGCCAGATGCTGCAAGGCATTGTGTTAGCTCGGAACTGATGGTTCGCGACGGAATCCGTTGGGCAAACACGTACAGAATCAGTACCGTAGCCAAAGATGCCTTCGACCAAGCCATTGTCACAGCTTCGATCTTCTGGACACCAAACTGTGCCTCCTCGCTTGGCTTCTCTGCATCTTTGATGGGATCATCGGTGGTTGCACCGGGGTGGCTGGGCCCAACATCTTTGCTGTGCACGATGTCCGTCTGGATTGTCGCAATGCGATCTTCATCTGCGACTGAATCCTCAACTTGTGCGGCCCTTGTTCCACCTTGAACCTGCTGAAACTTATTCAAGAAGGTCATTGTAAAATGACAGGCAAGGAATGTCCGGGTCAAGGTCGCGCGCAGTAAGGGTCAGCAGAATGGAGCCCACGGAGGGATGTGTGAAGTATTTAACTCGGCCGCAGTGGCACGATCGATTTCAAGCAAAGTCTTCGTCGAGGAATGCGACAAGAGCTAAACGACTCATGCAAGAGGCGACAACTTGGGACTATTCCAAACTCAGAAAGAGTATTGATTGATAAGGTATCACATGATCATGGTTGCATTCCTTCAGAGCCACTTGGTTTGTATTACAGGTCGATACGGCTGATTAGGGTCAAAACTACCCTAGTTGCAGGAGCCAGCGACAGGATTACACAGAGTGTGGGGGGCTAGCCCAGCGATATCGGACGAAACATTTACACCACTACATCAGTAGTGTTGGACGAACCTCTCGGATACGTTGTGATTAGAGATTCGGGAGAACACCTTGACTTTTATACTATGCCAATTATGTTCAATACAACAGCTCTTGCTGGTTAAAGCTAGCAGCATTGTCGGCAGAGGATGGCGTTCAATCACCGTGCTCATGGGGCGGGGATTTACAACGCTCACAGTTTTGCGAAGAAGGGAACCTCCTCAGGAGGCAATATGGAGCGAGAAAGCGATTCCTCGCAGCAGTGGCACGATCACCGCGGCAAAGCCTGCTCTTCTGGCCAAGACGGCTGTTGTCCTCTCATCTGTAGCATCATCTTTAACCCAACGGCACTCCGTCTTAGCGTTCCCATCCAAATGGCCGAGAATAACTCTAGTTCGCATCCCTCGACAGAAGACAGAAAAAGCAGCCGGTTATCGGAAAGTTTACACTGTCGTAGAAGAACGAGATCACTCATTGCGGATAGATGGCTCGAACAGGTATGAGACAATGTGCTTGGCCAAATCTAGAAGCAGGTGCTACCGTGGTGTCAGGTAGGGGTCCGAGGCCCGCACAATACGCGAGAGAGAAAAAAAGGATCTTAGACCCTGTCCACCTCAGCCAATATGGTATCTCAATTTGAATCTCCACTATGCTAGAGCGGGTCCACAGATGAGCGCATTTCCCAATCAAGGCGCCTCCCGCGCTGACCTTGCACCGCAGCAAAATCCAAGTGCCCTTCCCTACTAACGCCGAGGATTCCAACCAAGGCAATATTTCGACTTGAGGGAGTGAATTCTCTCTGCCTGTTTTGCGGCTTATTACCTGGAAGCTCACTTGCACTCACATTCATGTCAGCCTCTCTGTGACCAAGGGACAAGTCAAGAGATCTGAATCTTGAGTTGAGTTGAGAAAGAGTTCCCGTGGCGCAATCAAGCCCGGATCAATTGATTGATTAAGTGAGCGAGAGGAGGAGGGGGCGCTCGGATCAGATTAGATCAGTTGATCGGGAAGGCTCCACGCCACAGCCTGTACAGTACAGACTTGTATTGTCATGTCATGTTATACCACGCGGGCGCCGGCTGCCGTAACCGGACCTTGGTCTTTTTCCTCCAAGCAATTAATGTTGAGCATTGCTCCTTGGCTTCTAGACGGTTAGATAGAGTGTTCATGGAGGTTTTGCGTAGCGTCCGTGGTAACTTCTGTTTGCCCTTTCCTGACTTAGAGCAAATCCTCGGGTTTGCTAGTAACATCTGTCAATGCAGTCCGATCTAATCTTTCTGATATAATGTCTTCGACTAGCAGCGTGATCCACTCTCCGAGCAATTCCAAATCACCAAAAAAAAAAAAGCCCTACAGTACCATCAAATCGCGATAGCCGGCTTCTGTAACCCAATTATCGTTTGTCGAGCATCTACATGGATTATTGAGCCTAGGTGCCCAAAATCGCCTTTACATCAACAAGATGCGCATCTGATCAACAAACTTCATTCATTATTCAAGGCATGCAGCGCTGGAAATCGCAAAAATGCAGATCAACGAAAGCTTAACATAAATGCTGTGTTAGAGACGGTACATGGCCAGTGTCAACCTCCCTTGGGAAGAAGCGCACGACTGTCCTCATCCAACCCCGGCGACCGTAACTCCTTACCCTCCCCGCCGGCGTCGCTGCCCTCCTCACCCTCCCCATCACTACTATACTCGTGTTCCGGCCCCACGTCCAGATCAAAGTCCGCCGCTTCCAGACTCTGATAGTCTCTGCACCGCCGCCACCAGACGAACGCCGCCGCGAGGGCCCCCAGAACGAACACACCCACGCCGGTGGCCAGCAAAGCCACCATGACCTTCGACAGCCCCGGATCCGATCTTTTCTTCTCGGGGCGCGGCGGATCGAAGAGCTCCGCGGTTCCCGACTCATCGTACACGTCCACGGCGACGGACAACTCCGTCGTGTTCAAGTCGACAATCTCCGTCGCCGCAAGCACATTCCCGCGATCATCAACCGCCTCCGCCCACAGGTACCGCCACTCTGTGCTCCCCACGACCAACTTAGTCTCGAACCCGGTCCGCCGCGAGGTCGCCAGAATCTGACCCTTTCGGTCCGCCGCGGCCAGATCCCAGGCGGCGCCGCGCACCACCCACGTCTTCACCTCGGTGGCCCCGTTCCAGCTGACGTAGACGACCAATCTTCCCTGCGAATCCTTCCGCGGGGCAATCGCGGGATCCCACCACGGCGTGGCGGACCAATCCACCTTGTAGGCGCGGTAATTGTCCAGCGCGTCCGGGATCTCCGGGCTGTGCCAGGGCGAGAACTGGACGTCCAGCACCGTCGCGCCGGAGGCGGTGTGCTCCGTGAACGAGGGACACCGGCCCCAGCCGATGAAGACGTTGCCAAGGTCGTCCGGCTGCGGGGCCAGCGGCTGCACGCTGCCCTGGCTCTGGGCCTGGAGGCGCGACGGATGCCGGAACTCGTTGAGGAGTTGCACGGTCGGCGGGGAGGCGGTGGTGTTGATGGCGATGTGCAGGCCCCGCGAGCACTCGGTGTCGCACGTCCCGTGCGAGGTGACTTTCACGTGGTTGTCAAAGAAGGTCAGTTGGGTTTCGTTCGTGCCCGGCACGAAGCGCGCGTGGTGCTGCCAGCCCATGGTTAAGATGGGTTGGGCGGTGGATTCGTCTACGCCCGCGGCCGGCGGGAGTTCGATGAAGTTGTTGCGCGGGCCGCCTAGAGACCACAGGATCGAGCCGGTCGTGCCCGAGATCAGGTAGATGGCGTGCATGTGTCGGATTGAGATGAGGTAGTTGCCGGCTTGCGTCTGTCGCGCGTGGTTGTCCGGGTTAGCTAGGGTGTGTGGATCTGGGGAGCTTCTACGTCCCCTCGAATTATGGTCAGGCCTCACCTTCTGAATACTGTTGAGATGGTACGCATCCCACCCGCTCCCCCTGGGCTCGAACGACTCCATCGGGTTGATATGATCCAGGGCCCGCCAGTCGAAAAGCACCTCGTTGGTCTCGAGGTCGATCTCCTGGAAGACGGCATCCAGCACCTCGAACCGCTCGGGCGTGCCCCAACCGTCCTGCAGGTTGGACCGCCGCGCGCGGATCTTGTCGACTCCGGTGACCAGCGCCGTGCCGTTTCCGGTGAAGGCAAACTCGTGCAGGTCGCTGTGGACCTGGAGGTTTTGGGCCGAGATCTTGTAGGCCAGGCGGTAGGTCTCGTCGAACGCCAGGCCGTAGCCGTCGCCGATGCCGTCGCCCTTCTCCCCGCCCCAGAAGGTCAGGTACCTCTTGCCGTGGTTCTCCTGCACCCGGGTGCCGAACACATTCTTGAACGAGCGGTTCAGGTACACTGCGCTGAGGTCATGGCTGTCGAGTATGAGCGGCGAGGCGAGCGGCGAGGAGTCGTTGCCGTCGTGGCGGAGGAAGATGTGTGAGCCCGTGTCGGAGATGTTCTCGGCGTCCCAGACGTTGACCTGCAGCACGGGAGCGTACTCGCTGCTCGAGTGAAACTCCAGATGCGGCCGGTGGCCCAGCGCGCCCTCGTTGTATCTGCGGTAGTTGGTCGAGACGAAATCGCCGCTAGCCACCGTTGCAAGCCATGCTCCCATGCATCCCCAGATTAGAGGGCGAACCATGGTGAATTTGTTGGTATATGTCGGTACGACATGGGAGACGAGATATGCTCCTCACATTTCATTCTTGCAAAGTGAAGAAAGCCCGGCTATGGCGCGCCTCAAGTGTTTTTCTGGAGGGAAAAGCATTGATGCATCATGGACACGATGCGAGCGATGCGCCCCACTTTCTCCGGTGGGGAGCCAGTGTTGGACCAATCACGGGGCCCCAAAAGTCCTGTTGCTTGCGTATGCGTCGTCGTCCTCAAACCACGACAGCCAGCCACTCTCGTGACGAATTCACGGGCACAGACATGTTTAGAGTCTGGTGTTGTTGTAGATAGGAGAGTACACCTGTATGGCCTCGTAGTCTTGTTTCTCGTTTGGGATGCGGAAATCCTTGGCAATGACCCACCCCATACATCCCCCCCCCAAAAAGAAAACAACAAGTCAACCTGAATGTAAATCATACGGGTAAACAACCTTGAGTTAACATTCAGACACGACCTCGCTAACATTCCTTATCACCGAGCTGGTCTCCCCTCCCCCCACCCACAGCCACTAGTCCCAACCCGACAGTCAACCCCGAAGCGTCCATCGGCAGCCTCCCACGCAGGCGCAACATGATCCACAATACAGCACTACCGCTGGAGCGGCCACCCCTCAAAAAACGCCGTCAAGCCCCGGTTCATCGAGCAGGCCATGACACTTGTATGCTCCTCGCCTTCGTACTCCCGGACCGGCACCGTCAGCACCGCGGGACACTCGCGAAGCAACTCCGCGAGCTCGAACGCATTATCCCCCATCCTCCAATCCGCCGCCATCCGCCTGCGCTCCTCATATTCATCGTCGGACTCACCCTTCCGCCGCGGAGGATTCTGCTCCAATGACCCCACGAACATCATCAGTGCCGGCCGCGGCCCCCGCTCACCATCCAAGGGACGCTCCTTCTCCTTCTCCTTCTCCACAAACCCCCTAGCTTCCTCCAGAATCCACCGCCCATTCCACCAGATCGACGGACTACTAGCCAGGTAGCAATCGAACGCGTCTGATCGCGTAAACAGCGCGTGTAGCGCGAACAGCCCGCCGTAGGAGTGGCCGTAGAGGGCTTCGCGCGCGCACGTGAGACGCGGGAACGCGGCGTGCACGGCGGGGCGGACGGTGTCGGTGAGGAAAGTCAGGAACGCGTCCGCCCCGCCGTGGCCGGGGACGGCCGGGTCCGTGGGCGGCGTCAGGTCCCGGCTGCGGCGGTGGAAGTCGTACACCTGCCCCGTCAGCGGGTAGCCGATCGCGACGATGATCCCGCCGCCTTGGAAGTCGGACATGACGGCGCGGCGCCAGGCGGCCTCGGTCGCGGTCAGGAAGAGGGCGTTGCCGTCGACGATGTATCTGGTTGCGTTAGTAGCCATGCAAGAAGGGTGTGGGTGTCTCCCGGGTGGTTACAGGATTGGGACCGGGCCGCTGTCTGTCGGGGGCTGCGCGTCTGTCCAGTGGAGGGGCCAGGAGATCTGGATGAGGTGTTTTTCTCCTTGTGCATTTTCGAGGTAGAATTGTTCTGAATTGGGGAGTGCGATCGGTATGATTTCGATAGTCATTGTGACGCTCGGAAAGGGGAATTGTTGCGGAAGCCGTACTACGTGAGGTCAGGATGTAGTAGTAGTCAAGGACATGCTCTTGTTTAAAGGTGATCCCGACCCCTCCGCGAATCGGATCGTACGTACCACACAGCGGACGATCCGGTCCCGACAGAACCTTGGCACCATCTGAGACGCTTTCTATGGATAAGATTATCAGATCAGATTAGATCTGCACACTTGGGAAATATGATCGCTACTGTAGCCGCTGCTGCTGTTGAGGATTGGTCGAACTTGCATGATCCCAAATGGCCGCCCGGAAATTTTTCCCTTTGATTGGAAAGATGAAAGAATACTGGCTCAAAGCATTGCGTCATGAAATCATAGATGGAAGGATTCACAGTATATCAGAATCATCCCAGATCTCAGGCGATTGCTCCTGTTGGACTGGAACTTGGAATTCTCGGTTGCATGGAAAAATTGTCAAACCCTCGTATAGACCCACATTTGAGTGAGCTCTTCTTTCGCATTGTGGCTCCTCATCCGCCCCACCTCGATTAATGACCAGTTTGCGAAAGTTGGTTTCCATCGTTGAAGGTAACATGTGTCAATGCTCATCCACAAAGGAACAAATGCCCACCTTTCTTCCGAGACAGAGGTCCCTCTGTAAGGGCTGGAAAGTCTTTGTCAGCTTGACAGGCAATCCTTCTGCTAGTGACTATATGTTAAATGGAGCATTTGCTTTGCAACAAAGCGACTTTTCATGGAAGGAAGATTCTGCCCAGGCAATTTATGTTTCTCTATCAGGGCACGACCATGGCATTGAGATTTTGCAAGAGTGATATAAGACGCCCAAGATATCCGAGTCAATCCTGATATCAATACTCCCTCCTAGCATCAAGCCATTGGCCTTTAGCCTGAACGTGGTCCCAACCAAGGTGCAGCCTCCCGTTGGAACGCCGGTTAATCGGAAGTGGCAGGCACAGGCACACGACACGGATTCCACTCCCGTGACCATCGTCGATACCCCCGAGGCGGTCTCCAAGCTGATAGACGATCTCCTCGTCGACCCCACAGAGCACTTGTACGTCGATCTCGAAGGCAAGGACCTCTGCCGCCACGACACGATCACACTATTTACAATCCACCTCGTAGAGCCGAGCCAGACCTATCTCGTCGACGTGCACACCCTAGGCGAAACAGCCTTCTCCACCCCGGCCGCCGACAACGCCACCACCCTCAAGACAATTTTCGAATCGCCCACCCGCACAAAAGTGTTCTTCGACGTGCGCAACGACTCTGACGCCCTGAGGGTCCTGTGCAATGTTGTTCGGGAGGGCGTCGAAGACGTGCAGATCATGGAGCTCGGATTCCGCCAGTGGTCCGGGGGCGGCTGGCTCCGGGGGCTTCGGGCCTGCGTCTCGGACGGCACGCAGCTCGGCCTCTCGGCGGAGGAGAAGGATCGGTGGCTGAAGAACAAAAGGCAGATGACGAGGAAGTTCCGGTCCGAGGGCGCGAGGGCCGAGGACCACGATCTAGGCTTGACCCAGCGGCCGTTGACCCCCGAGGCCGTGGCGTACAGCGTCGGCGACGTGGTGCTCCTGCCGCAGCTACAGCGCGAGTATCTGGCCTTACTCGACGATTTCTGGATGTGGTTCGTGGCGCAGGAGACGGCTGCCCGCGTGAAGGAGTCGCAGGGCGAGGGGTATATGCCGGATGGACCGCACAAGGCCTTGGTACCGTGGACGGTGCTCGACTTCCACGAGCGGATCAAGGAGTACAATCTGATAATTGAGGATGAATATCCTACTGATGATGATGATGATGACGATGATGGATCAGAGGCCTCAGATGCCGGGGAGGGCTATCTCTGATTCTATAAAGTGTCTTTTGGATGATGTTTTGTAGTGTCTTGAACAGAAGTATGTACTGTTTATTCTGTCTGGGACAGCTTATAGATCCCCGGTCTGTCAGTAAAAGCGTGAAAGCAATTGGAATGAAAAGATAAAATGAACCATTATGTACGGGTTTCCTAGTTCTCACTAAAGGCTCTTAGAAGGTAGGTGGGCAGGTTCATGCCTATATCATTCATACCTCATCTACGTCCTTTAACGTAGAGGGAGTACTTTGAAGGTAGCAAGATGGCTCAAGGACAAGCAGAACTCAGAAACAAAAGCACAGAAAAGTGTAAGAAAATGACTTCACCATGTCCCTTAATTTGATTGACTGTGGATGTAAAGATACAGAGGGGCGGGTGGGGGCGAAGTCGATTTAGTGCCAGGAACTTTCAGGCACCCGATCCACCGCCCCCACCGCTGCCTGTTGCTCTCTGCTTATCTCCCCTCTTACTTAAATCACACAGTCCGCTTCTTCTCCTCCTCCTCCTCCTCCACCACCACCACCACCACCTTCCAATATTCGATCGACTTTACTGCGTCTAAGCATAGCACTCACAACCATCATCATGGGACAAATCAAAGACCTCCCCCCGGACCCCCCAGTTTCTACCACAACAACCATCTCCTCCTCATCCTCCATCCCCTATCCCCTCCCCGAAGACGACCTTCCCCCCGCATACCACGAAACCGACCAGACACCAACACCCTACCGCGACGATCCGCTCTCCGCACCCCACGAAGCCTACAGCATCCCCGGCCACCGACCGTACCACAGCATCCGCGAGAAGACACGCCACGCGGGGGTCGTCACGATGGACCCGGTCCTCGCCACCGACGCCCAGGCGTTGTACCGCTTCGTCGACACGCAGACGCGTCTGCCGCCGCGCCCGTGCCTGGTCATCAGCGGCCAGCACCACGAGAAGGAGCGCCGCGGCAACGACTCGACCCGCCGCACCGTCTGCGACTTCAACTTCCGCATCGACCTGACCCGCACCCTCCTCACCTGGGGCGGCGGCGCCGGCCTGCTCCGGCGCTGGTCCTACACCACCGTCGTCGGCGACCACGATCACCAGAAAGCGTACCGCGGGGGACGCTGGCCGTCGCGCGGAGCGCGGCACGGGAAAAACACGGGCGGGCGCATCGCGCTCCCGGAGGACGACGATGGGACCACGGAACTTGGGGAGGGGGACCGGCTGATGGTGGGGTTGGAGGCCGGCGATGCGCAGGGGGAGGATGCCCCGGGTCTGCGCGGGTGGTGTCGGCGGTTCTGCGACGATCCGGCCCCAGTGAAGTCGTACGTATCTGTCGCTTGGACGGAGATCTATGCTGAGAATACTGACCTCTGGATGTATGTAGATTCACCTACCAACGCAACCTCCACGGCTTCGACGCCGCCCCCATGCGCACCAAGCTCATCGCCCACATCCGCTCCACCGGCTACCAGGGCCATGTGCACGTCGCCCCGTCGCTCGCCAACGGCACGATCACCGTCTACTCGCCGCACTGGATCAACCGGCTCCGCAACCATGGGTTCGTGTATTGGGCGTGCATCATCCTCCAGCTGTGGATCGTCACGTGGCCGGTCATCTGGTGGTTGGAGCGGCGCTACGAGGTGGTGCGGTCGGAGTGGTTCTCGTCCCAGCTGGTCGCCGATCCGGCTCACCCCGAGGGGCAGCGGAAGGTGTACGCCGGGGACCAGGATGAGCTAGCGGCGGCGGAGACGTGGGCGCCCGTCGTGCGCGAGGCGGTGTGGCAGGGGCGGAAGGGCGGAGACATCCTGGCCGAGGAAGAGGTCGAGCGGCTGCGGCGGCTCGGCATCCAGCGCAGAGACGCCGTCGGCCAGGGGGGCGAGTTGATCCGTCGCGGCCAGGCGGTGCTGGGGCTGATGGGCATCCGCAACATCGGCGGGGTCAATGTGACGGGGGCGTGGGGTGCGGATCGGTGTTGATGTTTGACGCGTGCTGCTGCTTGGCCGGCGGAGGTTGTAGAGTTACTGTACATTTGTCATTCAGAGATACCCTACCCAGTACTCCGTAGATATTACACGACTCAGCGCGCACTATTCAACACTTCATTTTGAGTGATCCCGCCTTGGCAGCCATACTGGCTCGCGTTCTGGATCCTTCAAGTAGTGGGTGAAAAATACCCCCTGGCGATTTGACAGGTAATTTCAATCATGTTCTCCTGCCTTCAGCGGGCCAGATTACTCTACAGCCTTGCGGGGTCCATCCGCCGAGCTGCGGAATGCATAACTCGGGAGTTGTGCTATGCTCTCTGATGAGTAATCAGGCCACAATGTCAGTGCATGGGTTTCCACGGACTCAGTGAGGTCATTACAATGAGTTTGATTTGAGGATTATGCGCGCTTGTTTAGAATGAAGACGGGAGCGAAGAGAAACAAAAAAAAAGAGGCCTCTCTGAACGAAAGAAAACAGGTGAGTGGCATCGATTTCAACAATCAGCCCTCGCATCTTCGCTCGAAATATATCTCTATCTGCTCCTCGAGGATTGCATACAGTAATTGACACAATTGACAAATTGATCACCAGGCTTCAAGATTCTATAATCTACCGGGCTGACGTCTGTTTATTGGCACTGAAGCTAGTGAGTGCACTAGCCGCACAGGAGCCCCCCCTCCCCTCTAGACGGAGATCCTCCGCTCATGTCCTGAGACTCATCTTTTAACGCCGCCTTCACCACGCAAAACGCTGCCATGGACGCATGTCGCCGGGAAAGCGCCCGCCATCCCAGACTGACTCGATCGTCTAAGGTATACACCAGGATAGCATAGAGCTCCTCGCCCGCGCGCGTCTTGACTGGTTAGAGAAACAGGACCCCTAACGTTGTTTCTTCGGCTGCGCTGCATCAGGCCCCATGAGCCGGGCGGCAAGCGAGACCGGCCAGGCGAGCTGGGGCGAGGGGTCGGTGTGCACCTCGCCCGAGGTGATCATATCGACCACCGCGACCGCAACATAGGCCCCGATAGCCGTGAAGAAGTGCCACCTACCCGATTTGACCGTTAGCTTTTACTCCTGGATATTGTGGTGGAAGACAAGAGCAAAAAGCGTTCGCAAGCATCTTGCCTCCACGACTGACAAAAACTACAAAAGCTCTCAGAGGGTCGAAAGACTCACCATCCATGCAGCTCAAAGAAAAATGCGACCGGAGCGCCAACCAGCTCCCTGACGCGGGTCAAGTGGTTGCACGCCCACACATCGACCAGCCAGGCGAAATAGCCGAAGAGGAAACAGACTGTGCTTTTGTCAGTAGCCGCCCGGCTGGGGATGAAAAGCGTCGAAGTGCCAAGGGAGGGGAAAACTTACAAATCCCGAACCGCCCGATGTTACGGGTCTTCTGCTTGATGGCGGGATTGGGGATTTGTTGCGAGATGATCTGCATGGTTCGCCGCGCGATGAGCAACGCCCCTGCCCCGAAGGTCACGGCGTGGAGCAGGAACTCGTCCATGATCATGTGGACGACCATGACGGTGGTGAACTCAAGGGCGAGCGCGATGCCGATGAGGCGCCGCCACTGCGGGCTCACCTGGAAGGTGAGAACCCGATACACGAGGGGCGTGGTCAGCAGATGCATCGAGAGCTCGTCCGCTGGATTCAGCACGGTCAGTCTGAGGTAGAGGCATGCCTTCGATCAAGTCAGGTGACATACACATCTGCGTGTGGTATTTCAGGGTCATATGGTACCCGGCCGAGCAGATCCCCACGCCCATCAGACCGAACCAGGGGACCGCCCGGGCGAAGGATGCAGTGGGCTTGGATCGCAGCTGGCTCAAGCCGTAGATTCCATAGAGAACTGCGGATGTGTGGCAATGCCTGATGTTAGCTGGTGCGCATCAGACTTCGGGGGCATGTTGCCCCTTGATTGAGGCCTTGACGCACTGTAGATGAGACTGCTGCAGGTGTTGATGAATTCAGCCACATAGCGAGTGACGACATAGTCCTACAGTCTGGGGCTTGAGTTCCTGTCCTCCCAAAGGGTTGATCGCCCATGGGGGGTCATGGACTATACCTCTTCACAAAAGCTACAGCGTGTGAGTTACGGCAGTGATCGGGTGATCGTTGAGAGGAAGCTTACTTCAAGTAGGATGTTTGCGGGCCCCAAAAAGGGTCCTTTAGCGAGACATCCATCTGGGGATAATGACCCTGCGGACGTCGGGGGTGGAAGAAGCGAGTGAGGTTGTTGTGGTGGGTGTAAAGGTACAATGGAAGAGAACTCCGGCGGATCCCGGGGCTGGCTTGTTGCTGCCTTGTGAAGAGAAGCGCGACGTGTCGAGGACTCGAGCAGGGCAACTGAGGATCCACTTCTTATGCACGGGCTTGGCATCACAAGCTTTGTGCCCGTCCCGGCAGCCAACCATACCTACCACATTGGTCACTCATCCCAGAACTGTCTTCTTGTTGGCACTTCAAGGTTGGGTCCAACAATATACAGCGCTACTACGTTCTGTTGTAAGTTGTTTCATATCTCGTTGATTGTGGCAAGAACGCACACAGAACAAGTTGAATCACTGCGCAAAGACATAGTCATTCGTCATTCGAAATAAATCATGTGGTCAACGAGGACAGATTGATGAATGGAAATTGGCACTCATGGTGATGTCGTACAGCAGCAAGCAGCAGCAGCAGCAGCAGCAGCAGGTAGAGAGTACAGGCACAGAGAGATCATTCAGGCCATTAAGTCACCCGCCCGGTCGGCACAATTGGGTCCGCTGCCCAAGCCACAGCGTGTGGTGTGGCTGAGGCTCAGGTCACATGGGATTGTGGCTGCGACGGCGGTGACTACGGCTCGACCCGCTCTCAGCCAACTTGGATCTGGAATCTTGGATCTTGGACCCTGGCTCGCATGGCATCCATGTTACGGCTGGATTGCCTTCCCGCGAACCCTCTATTCGTGTTCAGGATCTGGTACCCGGCAGGTTGGTACTGTTGTGCAGCCTCCTGCACCCCGGAAGAGACGTCTTGTACGACACACGGTCCGCTTCTGCACCATCATGCTCATCTTTCGGCCGAAAGCGGGCTGTCTGAGCCTGCCCGCAGATACCTCTAAGTGCCATCCCGTTCATGTTCATGCGTAGCACCTCGCTTGGCTCGCTCACGCGCTCCTGATCACGCCAATAATAAAAACTCGAACCTGCAGGGCTCATAGCCTTACTACAGCCTGAGTTTTGTTGCAGCCATAGATCCGTCGAAAATTCAGTTCTGCCATATTTCAGCATTCGTTGTGCATGATGGGTTCTCACGCTCTCGTCGCACTCAGAATGACGAGTGAGTTCCGTCGACTATCCACCTGTCACCGGCAAATTAATTGTGGAGAAGCAAAGGCGATGATAGATTATCATCATCATCCATGAAGAATTGTGTCTCTTGATGCTTAGACACTTTATCAGCAGCTGGACTCGGCATGAGAACAAAATCCGTTTTAGTGGACCACAACTATTAGCCACGATCACTTCGTCAACTGAGCCTTGACAGGCCACTGACCCACCACAGATCTACATGGAAAGCAAAAGCTTTCCGGCTTGACATCCGACGACGAAGCTAACTTGGGACGATGGCGTCCGATCTAAGGGGATGGTCGATGTGTGGACCCGGGTCGCACCATAGAGTCCGTGGATTGCCACCCTTTATTGTCGCCGCCGGGCGGGGGAAGCTTCTAGTGCTCTCTAGTGACAGTAAAGGGCACTGATTAAGAGTCACAGCATGCAGGTCAAAGACCTGTCAGTGACACTTCGGAGTCTCGCTTCATGCAGCGTAAGACACACATGAGAGTGAATGCGATAAGCATCCTTCAGAGCAGGGCAACCAATATTAATCAAGCGCAGTCGAGAGTTCCAATAAGGGTTACGCTAGTACTGCATCGATCGACATGCATATGTACCCAGCAGCAAGAACTTGGGCCGCGGTATGCGAGGGGAAGAGTCGGTGGCGGTGGGCGGGCCCTAAGTCTGACGATCTCCACCATCAGCGTGGACCCGATTGACCGGGCCCCGCTGCCGACTGTCAGTGCGCATCTGCTCGTTGGTCGCCAACCTGCGCTGGGCCAAACTTATTTCATCTAGTGCTGTGAGGGGTAGCTGACAGCCTGCAAGACCCAGACCCAATCGCCCCTGACAGAAATACACAGTACTTCCCCCCCTGCACCCCGTCCGATCGCTTTCTTCACACTTTCCGAAGCCATCTGTTGCCGAACCACAATGGCGTCAACCGGTGACTCGACTCCTGCTACTAATGTGGATGTGGACCAATTTACTCAGTCGATCAAAAGTATTGACCGCACGTCCTTTGCGTACGATGGCGACCGTGTCAAAGCGTTGAGAGAGGCGTACTCTCTGATCAGTCGCCTAGAGACTTCGTGGGATACCGTGGCGCGTCTTTGCCTTACACAGGTAGAATCGCCAGCCAGTGATAATGAGATTGCGATGCTAACACTTCCTCCAGCCTGCCCTGACCGCGGCCCTGAAAGTGAGCCAGGACCTTCAGCTCTTCGAAAAATGGCTCCAACTAGGAGAACAGGCGGAGCAAACGACCGCCCAGCTGGCTGAACTGACCGGCTCAGACCCCGTCCTTCTCGGTGAGACAAAGTGACACATGATCTGCATCTGCCCACGACTCTAAACCCTGAGTAGGTCGCATCCTCCGCAATCTGGCATCCACCAACGTTATCATCGAGGTCTCCGCCGACCACTACAAGCAATCCGCATTCAGCAGATCCCTCCTCGAGCCCGTCTTCGGAGCCTGGATCCCATTCCTGTCCGTACCCGCTGAGTCCCCCAACACCCACAAGACAGACAAACTAACCCCCAAACCAAACGCCCAGACACGACACAGTGAACCCCTGCTTTGCCAAAATGCCCGAATACCTCGCCAAGACCCAATACCAGAACCCCACCGACCCCAATAACGGCATCTTCCAGTACACCAAGAACTTCCAGGGCTCGCTTTTTGACTACTACGCCCAGCACCCGGCCGAGGGCGCCGTCTTCAACAACGTGATGGGCAGCGTCATGGCCAAGCAGGCGGGCATGCTGGACATCATTCCCTACGACCGGCTGGCGGACGACCAGCCCGATGAGTCTGGAGCCCCGCTCCTGGTCGACGTGGGCGGCAACGTCGGCCACGACATGAACAAGTTCCTGGGCAAGAAGCCCGGCCTCGCGGGGCGGTTGGTGCTGCAGGATCGCCCAGAGGTCGTGCACCAGGCGATCTGTCCCGCGGAGGTGCGCGTCATGGCGCATGATTTCTTCACGCCGCAGCCGGTGAAGGGTATGCCACCCCCCTTCCCAACTTTCTTTCTTCTTGGTTGTGTTCACACTGAGGAGGGTCTGTGTTGAATGGCAAAGTGTACGGTATGAGGAACATGGCTAACGCATGATTCAACTTCTGCACAGGCGCGCGGGCCTACTACCTGCACGGGGTCCTGCACGACTGGTCGGATGCGCTGGCCCGGCAGATCCTGGAGCACCTGCGCGATGCGATGACCCCCGGGTACAGCACCCTGTTGATCCACGACCATGTGATTCCGGCGGTCGGGGCGCATCCGCAGGCCACGGGCTACGATCACACCATGATGGTGCTTGTGTCGGCGTTCGAGCGCACTGAGGGCATGTGGCAGGACCTGTTGGCATCGGTGGGACTGCGCGTGGTGAAGATCTGGAGTTCGCCGCTGGCGACGCAGAGTGTTATTGAGGCGAAGTTGAGTACGGATAGTTAGGGGTTCTGTATCTGCGGGTTGACAGCTTGAAGCAACTGTATGCTAGGCAATTGCCATGATACTAAACAGTCAAGTTCGGTGATAATCAATTCGCGAGACTTGGACAGTCTATGAGCCCAGTTCATAATGTGATGTAAGAGCCTAGGAGTTGATTTTGCTTGATTGAACACCATGGCCCAGGACGAGAATCAAATTCCAGAAATGTTAGATCTTCTAGGTGGAGAATACACTGCTTACGCCTGGACTATGACAGACACCTGGCATATCACCGATCCTTCCTACAAGATTTCTACACATATGATCTACCAAAATCGATCTGCCTGATGACCATAAAAGCACCAGCCGATCACCCAACCAACCTGACATCTAAGTTCCTCCCACAAAACCGACTCCATACAATTCAAAAGCTAGGGTATGAGGCTGCAAATACAAAGACACCACCAAAACCAACCCACATGCTTCAACTGTCACCACCACCCTCCCCCTCCTCCTTACCCTCATCCCCACCACTACCAGCAGCAGCTTCCGCCGCCTCCCTCAACGCAACAACCGACCTCTTCTCCTTCTCGACGCCCGCCCGCCGCTGCGCGGTATCACAGAGCCGCAAATCCCCACACTCACACTCCCCGCCCTCCCTCAACCACCTATACGTAATACTCCACCGCTCCCCCCTCACCCTCACCCTCTCCTCCCCACCCTCGTCGCGCACAACATCAGTCTTCCGCTTCTTAATCCCATGCGTCCACAACAACCGCGCATCACCACTCATACACATCAAACTGCGCGGCTCGCAGTCCACCTCCACCCGGTCCTCGCCGCGCCGGAACTCCATCAGCACGGGGTTGCCCAGCGACAGCGCGTAGAGCTGGTCGTACGGGCCGTGGGCGTCCACGTGCGGCGGGATCCCCGCCCCCGGCGGATAGTACTGCAGGCAGACTTGATCCGGGGCGCGGGGCTCGCGGGCCGGGAGTAACGGGATCAGCCAGGTTGGGAATGGGCGGTAGGGGATGGCCGGGTCGATGTTGAAGGTCTTGTAGTCGAAGGTGTAGCCGTAGTGCAGCGAGATGCGGCCGGGGCGGGCGGGCCACTCCAGGTCGTGCCGGAAGATGTGCAGCAGTTCAGCTTCGTGGGCGGCCGTGATGAAGTTGGTTTGCCAGAGGAGGCCCCGCGGTTGGATGGGGAGTTCGTGCATTGTGTCTGTGTTTGCTGGTGGGGTTTGAGGTGGGTTTTGGTTTTGGTTTTGGGGGGAGGCTGGTTGCGTGGATGAGGTGGTCTGAGTGTCTAGGTTCATGTTTCTAAGGTGGTCTAGTATTATTTTCTAATTATGTTTGTTCTTTGGGGGGCTGAGAGGCGAGGTCGCGATCAATCATTTATTGATAGCATGTTATCGGGGAGCAGGGCCACGTGATGAGCGACAAACTCTGATCGCCTTTGGCGTTGCCAATGGACAGTTGATTGGTGGCTGCCTCTCCACTAGTGCCTGAGCACGTGATCTTTCTCCTTGGGCGGATGACTCAGCCGGCTATACAATAAAAAGGTAATCCAACAGAATCGTGATAAATGGCCAATACTTTGATTCCAGAAATTGTACAGAAATCAATAGCGACAGATCATGATTGGGTCTGTGCCAAGGCACACCCTGAAGCCAGATTCATCCTGAAACTTACTGTAAGCATCCATGCAGGTGTACCGGCCAACCATCACAATGGAGGTCCATAATGTCGAGTCCTGCACTCCCTACATCGGATCATGCATGCCACTTCGTCCAAACGCGCATGCTCAACTTGACAGTTAAATCCTTTTCCACAGTGGCGACAGTGCCTAATATCCTGGAGATTGTCCAGATTAGCCTTCAGTTGCAGATATTGTCGCCGCGCCCAGTCCATATTAGTGTCCGAAAGAAGTGACTTTTCTGTAAGCGCTTTGATACTTTCTTTAGCTGTTGTTAGTTCACGCCTGAGCGCTGAAATGACCTGGAGGGAGAATGGATCCGGGAAAAGAGTCTCGTTGATCGGAACATCGTTGAGGTGTTCAACAACCAGTTCAGATAGGTGCCTCCGAGTCGCCTCGTGCGGAAGCGAAGGGTAGACTTCTGAAATCAAATCATCGATTCCAGCAGGCGACCAGGTTTGTTTCAGTGCCTTGGTGATTTCCTCCAGCGCAAAGGTCTCCAGGCCCGGGACTAGGTAGTAGCCGGCGATCATACTCATCTCGAGATGAGGACGCAGTATCTCCGCAGTGGTGGGTGGCGTGGAATCGGTAGTCTCATTAGCCGACTCCGTAAGAGAGATGAAATCCAGGGAAGTGTCCGATGCGGGAGCGGCGGCCAAATCCGAGCTCGTATCAACTCTTAAGCCCGCGAGTTCTTGTATTTCAATGAGTATTTGCTAAGATACGAACACGCGGGAGTCTTGTATTGGGAGCCACACACCTGAAATCCATTTAAGCTCGTTACCCAACGTATACTTTTCGAGGTACATGTACTCCACCATCCGCTTCACGGTAGCCAGAGAGAAATCCGGGATCTGGACGACGTTGGTGCGACCTTCCTTCTTTGGTGTTGATATGACAACTCGTTGAACACAGTGGGAGTGGCAGGCTTTACCTTGAAATTGCTCTTACAGGCAGTCTTGATCACCTCGGACCAATTCCAGACCACGACTTTGTGGACGCTAAGCCTCACCCCATCACACTCTAGCACCAGGTCGCAGAGCTCCCCCGCTTTCGCATCCTCGAACATTCCGGGATTGTTGGACATTTTGAGAGATGAGAGGTGACTTGGAAACGAATTTGGGATGGTCAGACTGTTGCGAGGTGACCGGGCCGGCAAGGTGGGAACTCGGAGCTCGGACGCGTCGTCAGAGTATGGGGAATGACACTTTGGTGTGGATGTTATTGTTTCTAGTCTACCTCAGTGGTCAAGGTCAACTTATGAGAGGTGTGCAGAATAATGCGTTCGGTCTGCTGCAGCCTGGAGGAGATTCTCTGTTTCTGTGAACGGAACACGCCTAGAGATTTCTGGCCTCTGTCTCTTGCTTCTTTGTGCCCCTTGCCAATACAATACTAAAACAACCCTACTTACTTGTTATCACAGGAAGCACACAGACTTGAAGATGAACATTTGCAACCCGTTGGTCTTGTCAGTACATTCTTGGACTTCTTTTAGGTCCCTCAATCGCTGCTGGTACCTGATCAGCTGTGTAGAACATGAGCCACAACCCTTAAGACCGCCTCAGACATCCTCCAAAACACATGATTCCCCAATATCACCACCGCGTGAAGAAGCGAGCCATCCTAAGCCTATCCCTCCAACTCCAACCGCCACACATCTCCCAACCGCTCATTCGACTCCGCCAGCCCTCCATGCACGACAACACTCGACGTGCTCCCCTCAAGAACATCCGCAGCAAACCACCCCCTCGGCTCCGGCTGGACCCCCTCGACCTCAACCAGCACCCACCGACCCACCTCGAGATCAAGAACCCAGACATCCCCCAACATCTTCCCGGCCCCCTGATGCCCCAAACTACTGGGATCATGCTCCCCGAACATCGTCACTAAGGTCGGCCGCCCCTGCAACCGCACCGCAAGCAAACACCCCACGCTCCTAGCTCGAGGGCCCGACACCCCATCCGCGACATACGCAATCGTACTCCACGCATCCGCGACGGGATCATACACATCCACCGCCCCGCCTTGCTCGCTCGTCCCGTCGAACCCATTCATCCGGTACACCTTCCCCTCCGCGAAGGCGATCGAGGCCCCGCCGCGGGCCGGGCCGGGGGCCGGGGCGCACTCGCGCCAGCGGCGGGTGACCACATCGAACGCCCAGAGGTCGCGGAGGCGGCCGGTGGCCGGGCAGCCTGCGTGGAGGTAGATGGTGTCCGTGCCGTTGGTCGTCAGGGCATGGTAGCTTCGGCCTACCGGGAACGGCGCGTCCGGATCGGATGGGGTGAGTTGCGTCCAGGCGCGATCGATGGAGTTGAAGACCCAGAAGGAGCCGTTCTCTTCGATCGGGGCCATGGCGGTGCCGCCGCGGCCGGAGAAGATGTGGAGTTTGTTGGCGAGGGCGGTCGCGGCGGACCCGACTCTGGGTTGCGGGGCAGTGGTGGAGGTGGAGGTTTGACTTATGTCTGTGGCGGTGGTGAGTGATGCTGGTTGAGGTGAGTCTTGGGTTCGGGACTGTGCAGTTTGGAGATTCGAGCTGAGAGCGAAAGCATGCTTACTGGAGTTCAAAGGGAGGGAGTACACAGTGGAATCGACGGGTTCGCGGGGCCGCAGCTCGCCGCCGTAGATGTAGGCGTTGTCGCCTAGGATGGTGAGGGTCTGCGATGACCTCTTGATCGAGGTATCGGACAGAAGCTGGGTCCAGACAGCGCGTACCATGATGACTGGATCTGTTGTCGCGGGTTTTGGGGGGATGTGAAGGGGAAATGGTGTCTGCTTTGAGGGCTGAGCGGTGGCCTGTGAAGTCGATTATATAGCCAGCGATACTCCCTGGGTCGAACTCGTATGCCGCTGGGGGTGGGTCTGACGGCTCTGTATCGCCGTAAAGCTGATACGGGCGTAAAATTTGCCCCGATGGGGTTTAGAGCTATGGTCTTGGCATTGATTAAATTGATCGACCGTGGGTTTTGATGGACACTCAATTCTCCCAGTTCATCGTAGCGGGGTTTTCTCCATCCATGCCGTGCCATCCGCATTATGTCCGCACACTACCACATCGATTGGCTGATTGATGTCCAGCAGCTTCAATTTCGAGATGTCTTCGGGCACTGCCGGCATAACCAACGTCACCGCCCGTCCTTGGGACCAGTATCCCGAGATCTGCGAGATGATGCGCTTGGCGAGATGGGTGGGATAGTGCGAATGCTCGAAGCCTCTGGTCTTTCTTTCAAGTTCCGGCCATACAATGGTGAGGATGTAGTCGAACAGGGTATCGGATCGCCATAGAAAGACAAGTTGAAGAAGGCACTCTGCCAGACTGAATGTGTAAACATCCGCCGTGCTCGATGTCGTAAAGTCCAACGTGCCTATAATTTGACATGCGCCGTGCGCCAAGTCGTCAAGCTTAGTTGTAGGAGAATCTGAATTTCGGTCGGTGGGAGACCCATCAGACATGAACGCCCCGTGGGCTTCCTCGAACATCATCTCGCAAAGGATACAGTAGACCGCGTTCATCGCATCACGATGGCTAGGGTATGCCCAGTGGTAGGGAATCGAGGTATCACCACACGATACTTCCTCCGTCGCTGCACCGACAACTCTTTCGCCGAGTTGCCTGCTCTCTTTCACACGCGACCTCCACACCTCCAGCCGTTCCTTCTGAATCGTCAATAAGCCCAGCAAGTGGGAACCTCGCACAAAGCCCTCTTGTGCTTCGTCATACTCGTCCGGTGCAGAGTATCTCCCCAGCATTGTGTTCAACACTTTATGCGCGACAGGACCGATTTCTCTCGACGAGTCCTGGATCCGGTACGTGCTGGCTACCGAACGGAACACAATCAGCCGGGAGCGTATCTCCATAGTCTTGACCAAGATATCATAAATGAGATCATCTGTACTCATCCCCAAAACACAGCTGAGATACAGATGATCGGTGGGATCTGGGAAACAGTTTGGGCCGAACGAGCTGACCCCCTCGCCCTCGAGGAGCAGCGAGGGTGGCTTCGACAGGCGATGGGAGACACACAGGCGGTGCCACATCTGCAAGGCCCCGATCCCGCCCGGGGAGCGCATGATCTGCTCCCGGCATTGTGACACAAATCGGAGGGTGTCCCAAACTGCTAGACGGAAATTGAGATGGTTTGTCGAGGCGTGGTGGTAGTAAGCCAGGAGAATGAGGGTCCGCAGGATCGAGGCTGCATTGTGTGCAACATCGCTTGCACTCGCGGTGCGGCAGAGTTGAAGTGCGCGGTCATGGTAATTGCGTGCTTGGCGATGATGGCGGGAATCGACCAGAGGGCTAAACACAGGAGTTTGATGGTCATCCACGCGGTGACGACTCTGGATCTGTGCGTTGAGCATGGAAAGGCTGGAGGCCGAGATGCAGACAGCGGCAGCACGAAGATAGGGGGCGTCGAAAATCCCCCCCACAGACGTCATCGACAACGCGGGCAGCAGATGGCGTACATGATCCTGGAAATGGCTCAGGTAGCGGACCTCAAGGCCATCTCCAGGGTCTAGTGGGAAAGGAGAAATTCCAGCTGCGGTGAGGTCACTGAAGAGACGGGGTTTGGCCGGCGGACCGTTTTCACTACGAGCCCTTCTCGAGGCAGGGGCGGGATTTGCCGCCGCAGGTGACGCGACAATCACCTGCGTATGTCGCTGAAAAGTAGCTTGGCCGATGTGTCGGAAAGTCAAATTCACCCCGTAACTGCACTCCAGCGATAACCGGACACAGGCGCGGCAGTAAGGTTTGGCTTCATCGCACTGGTAATACATCAGACTGACGGTCCCTGGAGCACAATTACGGCAGACGCACCTTTTTACCTCTCCGCCGGCATGACTTGCAGCCTGCGTGCTTCCGAATTATCTTGCTTGACTTTGTATTAGTCGTTGTCATACCATTGGGAGGCATGTTAGGTGCGGAGTCGATAGTAAGGCTGGTGTTTCTCTGGCATCTTGCAACCCGGCAGTGTCAAGATCCGGAGCCAGGAACTCGGGAGGTTGCCCTGACCCTCGGTTACAGTACCGGTACCACGAGTTGCACTGCCACCTTCCCTTTTGTGGCGATAAATTACGCCTAGCAATCCGCTCTTGACGTAACGCGTCAATACGATAGGCACATGTAAGTACTGTACAATACGCATTTTAGTCCGCACCTTGGGATCATTCACCTTGTAAACCGGGGAGGATGATGACTCGGAAGAATAGTTCTACGACTAGGTGAATCATGCATGAATCACAATTCCTGATCTGGCTGCCGATCGATACGATCTACCAATGCAGTGTCTAGACCATCGGCGCACGTCGCGGAGGTCGGAGATAATCGGTGCTAAACCTCTCCTGATCTCAGAGATACGTACCTGTGCCACACAATCTAAGGGCTGGGTCGCTGCCACATCTCCCATGACGAGGTTGATGGACATGCATCATCGAGACAATTGTGAACTCAATAAGGCCTCCATTGCGACGAAGCCTGGTTCAATTGTCATTCATCCTCTCCGCATCTTGCCATTAGCCAATGATCGCCCACAAACCCTAACTTTCTCCTTACTCATCGTAGTTACAGCATGGTGAAGCCATGATGACGCCCTCAACCAGCAACAACAGCCACAACACATCTATATAACCTGTCAGGTTGGAGGCTCAATCATCCTTTTATCAACAGAACAAAACATTACTATACCCAGTCTATTTTCAACACTTCAACACTTTCAATTGAATCATCACATACCCTTCATCATGCAGAACGATTACGGACAGGGCATCTCTCACGCCACCGGTGGCTCCAGAGTCCCCGACAAGGTCCAGCAGAAAGCTCCCCAAGGACTCGAAGAATCCTTGCCCAACAAGGTATGGCCAACGATTTTCTTTTATCTATCGCCGTTCTGCCTGTCCATTTCCGAGGTATAGTGACTGACATTGTTTCTTCAGCTCCATGACACCGGCTCCGGAACTGGTCGCCAGACCCACGCCCTCAATGACGGTGAAGACTCCATCGTGCCTAAGGGCATCCAGAAGGCCGTCCCCGAGAAGCTCGAGCGCGCACTACCCAACAAGATCCACAACACTGGTGATGAATAGATGATCTTGCATAGCGGAACGTCTTATGAACGCAGAATTTGTGACGATACACAAGTAATTTTGGTGGCGTTGGAGAATGATTTGATGTCACGTTGCACTATGGATAATGAAATGTAAAATGATGAAATTTTGATCTGCTTATCTGTCTCTTGAACACAATTCGAAAGCATTTATACGCAATTGTAGGAGTTAATGTTGTCAGAATTGATGCAAGATTGGTTGAATTCTTGACATGCCACAAAAGGACCCTATATTGCCAGTCCAAAATTGAGGTATTCAAAGATGAATTATACTATATAAAATTCTTGGTCTTTGAAAGCGGGCACTCCGAGTGAAGGAACCGCTTCGCTTTGCCCCCTTCTGTGACAGAATTGCTCCACGACAGAACGATATATACTGCCCGGGATCGTATCACGTACCATCCTGTCACCAGCAGTCTTGGTACTCCGTGCTCATCAAGCCAGGATGCTGTCCAGAACCTTCTGTCCAAAGTCCCGTGCAATATTCGTAGAGCCTGTGGCGCCCAGGTGAGATGATGCTCCTACAAGCATCAGCCACAGAATTGTGGCTCGAGGCCTTATCAGTTCAGATCATGGTTGCCTATCATGAGACGGAGTAAAATTAGCGAATAAGCAAAGCGCCCTCCAGCCACTCGGAGTAGATTAATCTTCGACACTGCTTTCACTGGCTAGGGGTACCATCGGAGTCCGATGCTTACCCTTCCACCCTGCGCCCAAGGACAAATCCTTCGCCATGATGCGGGATCTGATGACAGGTGAGTCAAGTATATAAGTATTCCTGGCTTCTGCCGTGGAAGCTTAATAGTTCTAGTCAGGCCTGACGACTGTCAGCAAGCCCTGCTGCTGGACAACCACTGATTGAATATGGCGTCGTTGTCGACACAATGCACGAATGCCAGCGATGCTGTGTTTGGCCCTCGGGTCAGCCTCGCCTGTCGCTCGTTTGACTTTACACTTTATTTCGAAGATTTGATGTTCGCGTGCCTGCCCGCGGCTCTCTTCCTGCTGCTTCTTCCGATCTCGGTTTGGCAGCTATGGCACGAGCCTCGTCGTATCAAGAGGTCTGCCCTGTTGGCTTCCAAGCTAGTATGCTACTTCCGCACTGTTCCTACAATATAGTTAGCATCGATACTAACATGTTCAGGTGACACTTGGGGCACTATTTGTCGTCCAAATTGCTTTCTTAGTTCTTCGTCAGTCGCAGCCTCTAATCCCCGGGCACGATGTCTCGCTCGCTGCGGATGTGCTGGAAGTGGTGGCGGTCGTCAGTGCGATCTGGCTGTCCTACTTGAGCCATTGCCGCTCGATCCAGCCCTCCACGCTGCTGATTGTCTATCTCTCCGCTCGCACCCTGCTGGGAATCGCCCGGGTGCGGACGCTGTGGCTCATGCGCGCCGCCACGGCGGACGCCGCTATCTTCACCGTCGTGATCAGCTTCACCTTCCTATCGTTGATCCTGGAATCGATCGAAAAAGCATCAATTTTGACAGCAAAGACCGCAAAGCCCGCCACCCCAGAGCCATTTAGCGGGTTTTGGAAGCTTGCAAGCTTCGCCTGGTTGGCGGGGACCTTCCGCCAGGGCTACTCCAAGGTTCTTTCAGTCCATGATCTGCCCGATCTGGATCCTCAGCTGCGCAGTGAGGTCGTTGGTCGCCAGCTTCAAGCTGCTTGGTCGCAGACCGGTAATGTTACGTGATTTCTTGGGGCTTCGTGTCTGGTTCTAACTTGGGTATGTTCTCGGGCTTATAGATAACAAAACCGCAAAGTATGCTTTACTCCGCACCTCGATGCGAGCCTACCTAAGCGCACTGCTCGCGGCAGTCATTCCTCGCCTGCTGCTGACGGGCTTCACCTTCTGCCAGCCATTTCTGGTGGATGCGACCGTAACATGGGTCGGGAACAGGGACGCGGCCCTGGACTCAGGCAAAGGACTGATCGCGGCATTTGCGATCGTGTACACAGGCATGGCAGTAAGTTGCGCACCTGCATGGGTTGAACCTACAGGTGTATCTGCGTGATGCTTGTGCTCATACTGTTTCGTGACTAGGTATTCACAGCGCTCTCTGGGTACCACACCTTCCGCTTCACCATCCGTCTCCGCGCCGGACTGATCTCCCTCGTCCACCAGCAAACCGTGCGAACCAGGGCGGTCGACCTTGGGGAGATCACCGGAGTAACCCTGATGGGTACGGATGTCGAGCGGATCACGTCGGGCTTCTTCTCTATCCATGATTTGTGGGCCTGCTTGATCGACATCGCGGTCGCCATCTTTCTGCTTGCCAGGCAGCTGGGAGTTGCAAGTGTAGTACCCGTGGTAATGGTCGTAGGTAAGTGGGCCCTCATTTACCCTATTTATCAAAGACAATTCATCGATACTAATGAAATGCAGTCTTCTTTGGCTGCACATTCAAGCTCTCGGCGTCCAGCAACACCGCGCAACGCGTCTGGATCGAAAAAGTGGAAGACCGGATCCGCTTCACTTCGTATGCGCTGGAGAACATCAAGTCGGTGAAGATGCTCGGACTCTCCCCGAGGATGTCTGCGATCATCGGGGGGTTGCGGTATGCTGAAGTGGCTGCTTCCACGGTGTTTCGGAAGCTGTTGATCGGGAGTGTGGTGCTGTGTATGTCGCCGACTCTCAATGTTGCAAAACCCACAAGAAATGAATGCTGACGAGACTCTCTAATCCAAACAGCAAACTCACCTTCTAACCTGGCTCCCATGGCGACATTCACGCTCTATGTGATCATCGCCCTCGTCAAGCACAATAACTCCATCCTCGCTGCCAAAGCCTTTACCTCTCTATCGCTGATCTCACTGCTGACAACCCCAGTCTTGACCTTCATCCAGTCCGTCCCATCTGTGGTGGAATGTCTGGGCTGTTTTGACCGGATCCAGGAGTACTGCAGCAAATCGCCTGACGCGGATGAGTCGGAAGCAGAGCAAGACCACGACAGTATCCCTCTAAGCTCTCTGAAGAAGCAAGCACCAGAGCAGAACGGAAGTGCAGTCGAGTTCACTGGACAGAGTTTCGCCTGGGGTCAGACAACTGCCCCCGTGCTACAGGACATCCATTTGAAGATTCCACGTCGCGCCATAACCATGATAATCGGACCGATCGGTAGTGGAAAGACGACATTGGTCGAGAGTATTCTGGGCGAGACGGTATCAGCCGGAGAGGAAGTCACTCGAAACAATTCTCCCATCGCCTACTGCGCCCAGACCCCATGGCTGCAAAGCCAGACCGTCCGTGAAAACATTCTTGGATCGAGTCTGATGGACTCCGCCTGGTACGAGACGGTGATTAGGGCTTGCGGGCTCGAGAAGGACATGGCGCGTCTACCGCGCCGAGATCAGACGCCAGTTGTCAGCAATGGACTGACCCTGAGTGGGGGGCAGAAACAGCGCATTGTAGGTGATTTAGGGCCGGTATCTGCTCATAGCATCGTCACTGATCTTATTTCAATAGGCGTTGGCGCGAGCACTGTACGCTCGACCTCGAGTTGTTTTGCTCGATGACATTTTCAGTGGCATCGACGCTACCGCCACGGAGAACATTGCGCGCAGCTTGTTCGGAGAAAGCGGGCTGTTTCGTGCCTTCGAGACGACTGTCGTGCTTGCAACGCATTCAGGTATAGTACCTGGAATTCCGAGAAAGAAAGGACATGTGCCTGTACTGACCGTTCTCTGATATAGGTTTCCTTCTTCAGTTCGCAGACACGGTCGTTGTGCTACGTGATGGCCGGGTTATCGAAACCGGCACACTTGACACCCTGAAGCAAAGTAATGACTTCGTGCGCAATCTCAAGGTAACCGTCTCGGAAGTTTCTAGCAGCGAGAGCGACTCGAGTAGCGACTTCGACAAGCTTGAACACGTAGACAAGCACGACACCAACTCAGAAGCTCTCGATTCGGCCGATGAAGACGCCACAGACGATCAAAGCCGCCAGACTGGAGACTTTGCGGTCTACGCTTACTACGCCAGTGCTGCCGGGCGCCTGAATATCGTTTTGTCGCTGGTATCCGCTTTTATGTGGGCCTTCTGCAATGAATTTTCTAGTAAGTTGATACAGGATGTGCTCTGCATTGTCTCCGGAGGATTCGCTGACATGGATTCGTAGCCGTATGGGTGAATTGGTGGACGGCGGCAAACGAGAAGACTCCGAACTCGAAAGTGGGCACATATCTGGGAGTCTATATTTTCTTTGGACTGTCAGGGGCTATCTTGCTGGTGGCCACTTGCTGGTATGCGGTATCCTCCATCGACCTGAACCAACTGTCTAATGCAAACAGGATCACCATCGTGACCATAATCTCCCGCTCGGCAATCAAGCTGCACGACAACGTGTTAACCAGCACGTTCCGTGCCTCCTTCCAATTCTTCCACAATGCAGACATCGGCAGCATCACCAACAGGTCAGAACCAGCACCAGCACCAGCATGAGCATACCTTTCCATTCGGAGCTAACCACCATCGCACGGAACAGATTCAGCCAAGACATGGACCTGATCGACATGCGCCTCCCTGTCGAAGCACTCAACGTGATCGCAAGTATGCCACTCACCCCTCCAGCCCTGTATTGCCTCCCTCCCCGCAGTCTAACCCAGATAACCAGTGCTATCCACCTGCCTTGTCAAACTCGTGATCCTGGCTATCTTCGCCAAATACCTCGCCGTAGCCATCCCCTTCGCGGCTGCGATCGTCTACATGACCCAGAAATTCTACCTGCGGACCTCGCGCCAGCTGCGGTTCCTCGACATCGAAGCCAAGGCCCCATTGTACACGCACTTCCTGGAGCTGGTCAGCGGGGCGGCGACGATCCGCGCGTTCACGTGGCAGCAGCGGTTCGACGCGGCGTGCACGGCGCTGCTGAACACCTCGCAGCGGCCGGTCTACCTGCTGTACTGCGTGCAGCAGTGCCTGGGCTTCGTGCTGGACATCCTGGTGACGATCCTCGCGGTGATCCTCGTTGCGACCGTGGTCTTTTTACGGGAAAGGTTCGACCCCGGCGAGGTCGGCGTCGCCCTGGTCATCGTCATGACCTTCAACCAGAGCCTGATGCTGCTGGTCAAGTACTGGACGCAGATGGAGACCTCGATCGGGGCGGTGTCGCGTGTCAAGGCCTACGCCGCCACCACCGAGCCCGAGGAGCGTCACCCGGAGCTCCTGCCGGCGTTGCCGGTGCAGTGGCCGCACGCCGGGGAGATCCAGCTGCGTGATGTCGTGGCTAGTCATTCGTACATCACCCACTCCTCAGCGAACATAAGGAGTATGATTGCTAACGTGACCTATAGACAGGACTCCACCCCGGTGCTCAGGGGCATCACGATGTCCGTGCGCGCCGGCGAGAAGGTGGCTATCTGCGGCCCCTCGGGCAGCGGGAAGACGAGCCTCATCCTGGCCCTGCTGCGCATGGTCGAGATCCAGGAGGGTTCCGTCAGCATCGACGGCCACGACCTCGTCGCGTACCCGCGGGAGGAGATCCGCGCGAACCTGACCGTGATCACGCAGGAGCCGTTCCTGGTGACGGGCACCGTGCGGTTCAACATTGACCCGTTCGGCGGCGCCGCGGACGAGGCGATCATCACGGCCCTGCAGCGGCTGCGGCTGTGGGAGCGCATCGAGAGGGAGGGCGGGCTGGAGATGGCGATGAAGCCGACCTCGTGGTCGTTGGGCCAGCGGCAGCTGCTGTGTCTGGCGCGCGCGATGGTGCGGAAGAGTAAGGTGTTGATCCTCGATGAGGCGACGAGCAGGTATGTTTCTCCCCTTGGAGTTTGTTTTATGGGTGCTTGGGGCTGAACCGTGTCTGCAGTGTGGATCACGAGACGGAAGATATCATGCAGGAGGTCATCGAGACAGAGTTCGCGTCCCACACGGTGCTGGCGGTGATGCATCGCCTGCGGCTGATCCATCGGTATGATCGCGTCGCGGTCTTGAATGCCGGTGCGTTGGTAGAGCTGGATAGCCCTGCTGCTCTGTTGGGTCGCGATTCTCTGTTTCGACAGCTTTACCAGTCCGGAAACGGGGGTTCAAGTCATTGATGCGGAGAGGTGATGGTTCTTTCCTATAGTTGAGATATAAAACTATACACGAAGTCATGATACTATACAGAGAAGATGAAGACTATACACATTCGGGCCAGACAAACTCACTCCTCGTCCCGAGCACGGATCGCATAAGAAACCTCCTCACTCTCTCCCTGCCGGGTATACTGCTTCAAATTCTCCGAATCATCATACCGATACTTGGAAAGCTTCATCCCCGGCGGACACGAGACCAGCTTTTCTAGAGCCTGGACTACCTGCCGCGCCCAATTGATCTCTGTCCCCAGCTCCCTTGCCAGCATATTACACCGCACCATAATCTGCCAGCAGCGGTGCAGATACCGTCGCAACTGCCTGCGGTTCCGCTCGTGGAGCGGATCATGCGGCACGGGCAGTCGCGATCGGCGCTCATTGCCCTCGCTCAATGTGGTCACTTCCGCCACCCAGTCGTTGGGCACGCCGCGCTCACGGAGATAGGCCTCAACACGCGCCGTATCCTCTTCACTCAGACGGAAGCCCGCCGCGTCCGACGCAAGAAACAGCGCGAAGGGCAGCTCACCGTACGTGAAGCAGTCCTCCTCCTTGGCCTCGCCCACAATCGCCAGCAACGTGTCCACGGAGACACCCTTGTCCTGCTCCCCGAGCCGCTTCAGTCGGGTCCGCCGTCCCTCTTCATCCTCCGCCCGAAGCTTCTCATAGAACGGATCCTCGAAGAGCGGATCTTCCGTGTCCTCGATGCGCACCCGGCTGGCGTAGCCGAACCGCGGCTCCAGCCCCAGGAACTGGCGGTGCGGGTACCGCGACATCTCGGTCGCCTTCGAGACTTCCGTCCACTCGTGAACCGGGCGCTGGTACATTCTCGTGGCGCGGTAGTCGGGCACATAGCCCCTGTACCCGTCTGCATACCTTGACGCTGAAGACGAGGAGTGTAACTCCGGGAAGCAGGAGAAGGTATTCAGAACGAGATACATCTCCAGCGCGGCGTCGAAAACCGGGCCCCACCCGTGATCGAACTCAGCCTGGTCCCCAGGTCAGAACCCGTAGTCATCAATTGACAAGAGAGAAAGGGATACTCACCAGCTCAATACACATACAGTCCTGCACGCGCATCCACTCCTTCAGCCTGATCTCGGGATGCGCGCACAGCCGGAAGATGATCTCCATCTCGTCTAGCACGAGCAGCGTGCTGACGACCTGTAAGTTAAAGAACCCGTCGCCGTTGACCTCTGCGAATCGGAAACAGTCGTTCCGTTGGTACGGGCGCAGAAACGCGGCGGCGCGGCGTTCGGTGTAAGGGAGCGGACAGCCGCAGGCGAAGTCGGTGGTGCTGTCGACATGCTGGCATAGCTTCTGCGTCTTCTGAACGTGCTGTCGTGACTCCCCCGACCTGGAGTGGTGCCAGGGAAAGGCGAGGGGGTGGATGCGCGCGGCTAGGCGGTCGTCCAGGAGTAGCTCGTTGCGTGCGGGGGGGAGGTATCTTGGGGCGTACAGGCGACGCGCGGCGGTTGTGTCTTCGTTGAGAGCGCGGGCGAAGGAGGTGGCGAAGTGGCCCAGGTCTTGGGCTTGGGTTGGCAGGAAGCGGAAGTAGAGGTTGGCGATGGTGGTATCGGGGCTGGTGTGGGTTGGGGCGCGGTGGCTGAGGTGCGAGGTCAGGCTGCGCCAGGGGATGCGGTGGGCGCGGTGGGCCATTGGCGATGGGTCGATCGAAGGTTGGAAGGCTTGATCGATAGACCTAGCTGTCTGATTCAAGGACAAGACCCTGGGAAGATGGCACAGACTACCGAGTCATAGCAAGACCTACGTCTCATTCACTAGCAAACTCACCCCTGTGGTTCGCCTTTCCACTTTCGTTCATTTGACTTAACTTAGTACTGCTAGTTCCCTAATGACCAGGCTAGAATAGTCCTAGATCCGATATAAAACCAGGGTAACTGACCGTCGGACTCCGGAAGGGGCCAGGGTCTCTCGGAGCTTCCCGGAGCACTATCCTTCCCGATTCAGCCCGAGCTCCTATTCTAGGGCTTATTAGAGCTGTGGGGAATCATACTGAATCTAACTCATGATCTTGGGTATCGTATTGAGATAGTCCTAAGTTTACATAGTTCTGGATTTTGAAAATCAAGAAGGTTGGAGACAAATAACGAAACTGGAAAACTTCTAGGCTCTCTTCACTCCGTAACTTATGACATTTGCCTCTTTTGGTTATGCCCTAAGTCCAGAATAAAACCCTCGTGTTATGAGAAAGTTCCTAAGTCACTCTACATCACTCTAAGAGCGCACTCCCTTACCACCTGCTTTTCAGCCCTGTTAAGGGACAATGCGAATCCGACGCGGACCGGTCCGCGCGGCTATTGCGGGACCGCCGAGATGCAACTACGGAAGCAACTGGATAGTCGGCGGAGGGGCCTCGTATGCTCGGAAAGAGCTCAGATTTGAATGAATCATGACATAGAGATGCTTTCTTTCAGTTACTGTCCCCTTTACCCGCATATACCATGAGTCTTCTATACCAACGCTCCCCACCTAAAGCAAACAGCTTGAACCCGCCTGACACCAACTTCTGAAAGACCCCCTCGGGATCAAACTCGCGACTAACCGCCTGCAGCTGACTCTTGTTCTCGCTACCATACGAGGCAATAGGGTCCTGGGAGTTCCACGTATAGTTCAGGAACTCAAAGGGCACATGTTGGCTGCGGGCGGTCGCCCCGGCCTTGATCTTCGCCAGCGCCGTCTGCATGACGCCCAGCACGGCGGCATCATTATGATACCTCTGCTCTGTACTAGATCTGCTTTCCTCTTCAGCACCTCTGACGGACCGATGTCTGTCGTCCTTTCGATTGGCATATGCTCTGTATACTGTACAAACAGACTGCCTCTAGTATCCTCAGGAATAGCGATGGTCTCGTTCTTGGTCTGTAACTCTCGGACAGAATTCGGCTGACAAGCAGCGATGTATCAACCCTCAAAACAAAGTGCCTTCATATATCAGATATTACAGCTTGATTCTCCTCATTCTAGCTTTTCTCTCTCATCATCTTCGTAGATATGCACGTACTACCTTATCTGCTTATCCTAGAGGAACAAACAGCGTGGTCCAGGAGGGGATGCGAGCCAGGAACGCAGAACTGCGCTGACATAAGCAGAAATCGGGCGCCGATGCCGCAGTGACGTCATTTACTCTCCCCATCACCATCATCTACACTGAACCTTTTTGGCCTATCCTTCGTCTTATACAGGATTTCCATGGGCTCTCCTGGAATTAGTTCAGGGAGGTTATGTGAGGCTTCTTGTGGAGGAGGTATGGTTCTCATGCCTGTCGGTCCATGGACCGCGCAGATTAAATCCCAGCAATTGCTGCCGGGAAAGCATGAGGTGAAATCGAGTATCGGGAACTGTAACTATTGGTTTTACCGAGCGTACAAACTGAACTCTCTGAGACAGCGGAGACTGACAGGAACATTAGATAGTGGAGTATATGAGTAGTATTGATTTGACTTGATACATTAGTATCAATTGAATAGAAAAGAGCAGAGAGCATACCAAAGCAGAATGTGGACGGGCAGGCCGGGCGGTATCCTAAGCTACGGGTCCTGACAGACGTTATAGGCATAGGAGAATCAATGCAAGTAATTGAAATGAAGATGTTCATCAAACTGTTAACGATCCATGCGTGCTATCATAATACAAATTCATCATGCGTAAACACTGCTTGCCCCCTACTTCAACTTGGGAACCGCGTGAGCAAACAAGTTCTTAGGATCATGCTTCTCCTTCAGCGCGACCACCTCGTCGGCAAATTGCCCAAACAACTTCTTGACCCGGTCCTCGGCACAGAGCGTCTGAGGCCCCTCACAGTGTAGCGAAGCATAGGCGCCGGGGAGCAGGTTCTGCGCCTCGGTGCCGTGCACGCTGGCCAGCATCTCGGAGGCCCACTTCTCGGCATCCTCCTGCATGGTCTCCGCCGTCACACATCCAAGCATCTCCAGCATGAGGTGCGGCTCGCGCGCAGCAAAGACGGAGTTGCTGGTGGCGGCAGCGGACGGGCCGCGCAGCTGATGCACGGAGAGCATGGTGGCCGGGTCGGCGGGCATCTTTTCAAGGCTGGCGCCAATGGTCTCGGCCAGCTCGGGGGTGATTTGGCGCACGTTGGCGGTGCGGCTGGACCCGTACACGCTGGTAGGGACCATAGCGCCGTTGCCCTGGAACCAGTCGGGGATGGCGGTGGGGGCGACGGTGTTCATGATGGCGATGCCCAGCGCGGCGATGCGGTCGGCCCAGCGCTTGCCCTCGTCGAGGTCGTCGCCGGTCCAGACGAAGATGGTCCCAAACAGGCGGCCCGGGGGCGCATTGATGGCGATTTGCTGGACGGCCAGAGCGTCGGGAATGCCTTCGTTCTGGAGGGCCTGGAACGCAGCGTTGAATTCGACAAAAGTCTTTTTAATATCCGAGGATTCGAACATGATGACGCCGGAGAGAAGCTGTCCATCGTTTCTTGTTAGTCTATTCCTCTCGCTTACCCATCATCCACGACAACCATGTAAATAGGGGAACTCACCTGCTTAGCCTCATAAACCTTGACGCGAACCTCAACAATAATCCCAAATACGCCACCCGCTCCCTTGATCCCCTTCAACAACTCCGGATCCTCATCTGTATCCACGACCGTCCCATCCGCCTTGACCACCTTGGCTCCCAATATCTGATCCACTCCCAGCCCCCAGCGCGGCGCAAACAGCCCGTAGCCGCCGTAGGCACTCCAGCCCACGTATCCGACATCCGGGATCGAGCCCGTGGGGGTGATCAGCCCTTCTTTCCAGAGTGTCTCCCCGAGCTTCCCCTGCAGGATGCCGCCGCCGACAGTGGCAGACTTGCGGTCGGGGGCGATATGCACGGAGTTGAGGGCGCGGAGATCGATGAGGAGGGCATCGTGCTGAATAGCTTTTCCTTCGATGTTGTGGCCGCCGGTGCGGACGCTGAAGGGGAGGCCCTGGTCGTGGAGGAACCGAACGAGGGCGGCGACATCTTGGGCGGATTGGGGTTGGAGGACGGCGAGCGGGGTGCAAGTCTTGCTGCGGCCCACGTTCCACACGCGGGTGGTGTCCGAGAAGGAGGCGGAGTCGCGCCCGATGTATCCTATGCTGGCATGTTTGAGGAGGAGAGGATCGAGGGTGTTTTTGAGGTCTGTCATTTTGACTGTGATCGAGATTGGAAGGGATGTGTTGTGGGAGGAAGTGAGGAGGGAAGGCTGAGAAGGGGAAGAGAAGAACGCTATTATAAAGGCGTTGTTTGGTGGTGGTGGTGGTGGTGGTTGTGATAGCGAGAAGGAAAGGCTTACTTACCCCTCGGCGGGGTAAAGCTGTTGTGTTACACAATTAAATAGTGGAATGCGGGCAGTGTTTCTTTGTTTGTCTGGATCGACGGTGAATGGAAGATGGGTCTGACAGGCCGGAACTGAGTGGATATGTGGATATCCATGTGGATCACTTACAGGCCAGACCCCTGGTCAACTGGCAACTGGTTAACCAGGTGAATTCTAGCGGGGTAGCTGCTGAATGACAATCCCACCCAATCTTACATCAGACAGACAGTAACAAATAGTTTCAACCTGAGTTGATCAGGTCCATTCTTCATCTGAAGCCTTTCCAATCTCTAGTCAAAAATTAAGATAAATTATCGTGTGTAGGCAAATGCTTGATGGAATGGCTTGTCTGAAAAGCATGACTCGTCACCCCGCCACATTCCTAGCGCATTCTTAGAATTCCAACACGCTTGTTGTGTCTGAGTGCAAGTAATCTGAAACTTTTGTGTTATCTAATAATTTCAGAACAACTCACATACTAGCGTGGAGAATGCATTGGCCCCCAGCCGGAAGCCCCGGGTAGAGCCTGAGCAATGCAATCTTACCATCTCACCCTCTCATCTTACTCTCCGACTCCGACCCTGCATTGACTAGTTAGGGTTCAGCCTACCCTTCACTTAACACCTAACCCCGAGACACAGTGCGAGCTATGCTGACATGCATCGACTCGCTGCATGAATCTCACCTTCTAGTCGCTCAGTTGGATGGGACATCGCTCGAAACACCGCGTGCATTCACTCGAATTATGTACAGAGCACGCATACAGTACAATACATCTCAAGCTCACACCAGCCTACCTTCCCACCCGTGTAAAGCATGAATAACCTACCTCCCCACCCCTTAGACTAACGGAAAGAACTGATTAAACCGATTCTTGGGATCATATACCCTCTTCAACGACCGCAACCTTTCGACATTATCCCCATAGATATCCTCGAGGCTCTCATCCCCGAACGCGAAATTGATATACCTAACCCGGAGGAAAAGACCAGTCAGCACACCTTACATCAAGCACCGCCATCACCCACCCATCACCCACCACACACACCCTTCCCAACCAACCATCGCAAATCCAGAAACAGAGGGCCAACTCACGTAGCATTCCCACTCAGCCCACTCGTCTCCCGCCACGCCGCACGCACATCTCCCGCCCACTGCCTCGCCGCCGCATCCAGCGCGGGATCCTGATACCACGCGATGGCGACGGTATTGAACCGACTGGACGCGCGCCACGCGTAGGCCGAGCTGTCCGCGGCGACCGCACTCGCGCGGTCCAGACTGTACGCCTCCATCAGGACGGTCGAGTTCCCCACCTGCTCGCCGCCGGCGGTGTCCACCCACCGCGTGAACGAGGTCCAAATCTCGCGCCACGCGGCCGGGTCGAGGGTCTTCTGCGCGGACCCCAGACTGACCTTGCGGCCGCCGGCGGCGCAGAACGAGGCGCTGCCCGCGTTGACCTGGTCGTAGGGCGTCCAGGCGGTCGTGTCGGAGAGCGGGCCTAGCGCGAGGATTGTGGCGAACGCCGCGCGGGCTTCCGCAGTGGTGGTGTTGGCCTCCGCGCGGGCGAGGTAGAACGGGAACGCGATGACGGCCGGCGTGTAGTCCGGGGCACCGGTGGTGGCGAAGTAGAGGAAGATGGCCATCTGCGAGGTCAGCGGGAGGGCGTTGATGGCACCGACCAACGCTTCGAGCTTGTCCGCGCTGAAGACCAGGCTGCCCAGCCAGGCGTGGTTCTCCGCGCGCGCGGTAGGATACGACCGGAAGATGGCCGAGGTGACCACCCCGAAGTTGGCGCCCGCGCCGCGCAGCGCCCACCACAGGTCCGGGTGCGAGCTAGGCGTGACGGTGATCCGCGCCCCTGTTGCTAGCACCACGTCCAGTGAGATCACGTTGTCGATCATGTACCCCCGTTCCCCCATCATGCGGCTGTACCCGCCCCCGAGCAGGGCGCCCATCACCCCGACGCAGTCGCAGTTCGCGGTCACAACCTGCGCGTCATGTGCGTAGGCGGCGCCCAGGAGCTCGGAGATCAGCGCGCCGCCTTGCACGGTGACGGTCGTGCGGTTCGGGGAAAAGGTGATGGCGTTCAGGGCGCGGAGGTTGATGAGGATGGAAGGAGTGGTGCTGGCTGTCGTGTTAGTTAGGGTCCAGGTGGTGCTCCATGCGTTGCCGCCGCCTTGGGCGAGGAAGGGGATGTCGTGGGTGTTGGCGCAGAAGACCTGTGTTTGTGGTACGGGGTCAGTCAGATGCTATGGGACTGGGAAACAGAGATGGTTGATGGTACAGTGGCTTGCACGTCCGCTTCTGTCGCCACGTTGACGACGTGGTCCGTCACGGGCTCGTCATACTCCGTCCAACGCGGGGCGACGACCGTCGACGCGGCATCAAGGATCGTGGCCTTGGACGAGAGAAGTGGTCGCAAGCACGTCTCAAACGCGGTGTATCTCGTGGAAGCCTCAACCACAGCCGCACCTGCCAGGGCAGCAACTCCCAAAGTTGATAGAAGCCCCATCTCAGTGTTTCACCCCGCGAGACCACACAGGTTAATGATAAGAAGGCAAGGGACATGAACCATAGAGGAGGTAAGATCTAGCAAACACAACCCAGCAAAATGCCATGCCGCATTTAATATACTTCTGGGACCGAACGACGGGTTCATCCCGTTCCATCGAGCGGGGCGGGAGGGGGGAAGCAGCATGTGCGTAGATTGGGCACCGCACCATCAAACCCAGCTGTATACTGCTGTCGTAGACCTCCCTTGGTCTTCCCGGAATCTGACCAAGACTTTCAATTTTATGCTTTCAACCACGCGACGACAAGGCGCAGGTGGATGCTTCGCGTCCAATCCTTTCATCCCACTCCGACTCCGACTGCTGTGGGGGGTTGTCAATCTGTATCATCAACCCTCGGTTTGGAGTTCCGGTCCGGTGCTTCGCGGAGATGAATCAGTCATGGTGCACTGGATTGGCTGCTATGCTGGAGACGCTACCGGCTTATTTCGTTGTCGACATGATTACGAGGAAGAGATCCCGTTTGCGGAATCTGAAGCGGTTGCAATGCGCTAGATGACGGAGGACTGCAGCTACCGGATTACCCGGACGGGACACATGGCCGCCTCGCGCGCGGCAGGGCCTGTCGAACGCCGGCGCGTCGTGAAGAAACGAGCGCCCATGCGGTGGCGTCCCAAGCCACTACAGACATCCTTCTAGTTTCTAATGGCACTGAGAGCCGACTTCAAATTGATTGAGGGGAGGCGCGGGGAGGGAAGGGGGTGGGGGGGGCCAATGCTTGGTAATCATTTGTCGGGGATGCGAGTTGACAAGTAGCTGACTATAAAGAATGCTTGCTGGGATTGTGATCATACGAACCAGGAACGAGGCGTGTTGCAGGATTCTCGACTAGTTCCAGAAGTTACAGGAACACGTGGAAACCCTTGGTGGTCTGAGCCACTGGCTTGTATGGGGACCCGTGTTCAGTAATGCATTCTTTTTCAGCCCCAGGTTTATTTCTTTTGTCTTTTTGCTCATTCGCGGCGGTGGGTCTGGGGCTCTGTGCGGCATTCGCACATGGGCCACAAGCTTAAGCTATTGGTGAGTAGGGTGGAGGTATGGTTTGAGCTGGAAAGCTCAATGGGATCATTTCCAGTTCCTGGAGGACACGCTCTAGTGGATTGGGCAGGCTAAGAACTCGGTGGTGGGTCTCAAGGGCTCATAGAGAAATCTCTTGCACTCGAACTTACTACCAGAGCAAATCGGGAAATGGCTATCTTTATGCTCCTCACACATGCAGCACATACTGTAAATCAAGCACTAGCGAAAAGACCTACTAACCCGAATCGCGCATAGACGGAAGACAGCTGGCGCTTCATACACATATCATCTAGGCCAATATACAGATTCACTATGGAGAACTAGAGCAGAAACTAAGGAAAAAACATGATCCGGCTACTCATACCAGCATACAATTCATGGGAGAAACCACGAGAGCTTTACTTGGCAATTGCAATATCCGTTTTGAAGGCCTCGACGTCCGTCCAGGTCGTGCTGTGCTCGACGACGATGACCCCATCGGTCGGGTGCGGACGCTCGTGGGAGGAGGTGCGCTGAATCTGAATCTGCACACTGGCCGGGGGACCACTCCGGTCACTCAGCACGGGGACCTCCAGCTCATCGATTGTGTCCGTGGGGCGACCGTACCGCGCCTGGCGGGAGGGGATATGATCGTGATACTCGTGGGTCAGCTTGAAGGTGTCGCCGGTGGGGACGCCGCCGCGACTGCGGTAGAAGAAGAGCGGGCGCAGGGTGGGCAGACAGGCGCTGATGATGGCGAGGGCCAGCTCGACAACGGTCCAGATGAAGACGCCGGATGTGTAGTAGGTCTCGTTGTTGTAGTGGGTGAGGAGGACGCGCTCGCACTCGATGAAGGCGGCCAGGCGGGCGATGCTGGAGGCGACGGCCAGCGCGCCCAACAGGAACATCCCCAGCACCGCCGCCTTCTGCCGCGCCTCCAGCTTGACGCGCAGCACCATCGGGATCGGCAGCACCAGCACGCACACGTCGAGCACCATGTCCGACCCGCTCAGCCCGTTGTAGAAAACCATTGTGTTGATACACTTGTTGCCGTAGAACCCCTCCACCAGCGCCGTCACCGGGTAGCACTGGAACAGGCACACGAAGAACATCACCGCCGTCCACGCAATGACCAGCCCCAGGAACACCTGGCACACCCGCCGGAACGTCCGCGTGTGGAAGATGCGCATATACAGCAGGATCACCGACGCTTTACTGAGCCCCACGCCCATCACGGATAGCATATGCAGCGCGAATTTGGCCTGTCCGTGCGATTAGAGTGGCTTGCAGCTTCTCCCGCAACGTGAAGGCATATACGCACCCGTTCGTAGGTTAGAAACCGTGGGTCGTCCAGGATGGGCTCCCCATTGGGATAGGTCGCCTGGGTTTGGCCCAGTTGTCCATCGATGGCTCCGATCAGTTGACAGATACAGACTGCGGTGCAGAATAACTACGGTGAGGTCAGTTACCCAGGTTTTGCGACCGATGGAACAACTCGCAGGGTGTGTCCGGATCCTACCAAGGCGGCGAAGATAGTGTAGTCGTCCGAGCCCATTCGAGCGCCACAGAGGCGCCGAGCCCAGACGCGTAACCCCACGAAGATGGCGGGTAGGAACATCAAGATGAAGCCTAAGGCTATCATCTCCCCCTTGTTGTAGCCCATGCGGGCGGCAGTTCAACCAGCGTTGCCAGAGTACGGACCGACAACGCGAGAAACAAGCTTTGAGGAAGAGGGAAGAGGAGAATTGAGGGGAATGTCGAGCAAATACATGATGATGCTCGCTGCTCATCCCTACTTTGCGTGTCAAGTCAGGAAGAGGCTAGGACGAGCGCTATCCCTCCCCCTCCCCCTTCCCCTTCCCCTCTCTGGTCCAATGTCAGCATGCTTGGTCTGCGCTTGCATGTTTGTTTAGCTGGGGATGCCAATCGCAGGCGGGCAGGGTTTATCGGTCGGATAAGCGTGAGACAGTAAGCCAGTGAGCGAGTCAGCATGGAGGTCCGATCGAAGGGTTGTTGGTCCTCGGACAAATCAATAATGGCTGTGGCCGGGTTTAGTCCCTTGCTTGGGTGCTTGCCTGCCTGCGAGCCTGCCTCTCACACACGGGATAGAACAAGACTATGGGCTGGTGACCCTGTTGTGAATCATGACCATAATACCCAGATTATGATCTGAGTGAGAGAAGGCCAGTTACTCAGTAAAAGGTCGTAGTTATTTGGGGGCCAGCGCTCTGACTGTTTGGCCCCTCCTCCCCTCCCGGCCCGCAGCCCTTCCCGCTTTCCCTTCCCTCCACGGTAGTCCAAGTTAGGGCTGGTTGATCGCAGCCTCTTGATTAGTCCACTCGACATATATCCTATGGATCCAGGCGGAACTGACTTTAAGGTTGATTCCTGAGATTTTGTTCCTCCGCTGACCGTCAATTTTGGACCGTCTGGAAGTTGGAGCAGCACCCCTCGACTCGCGGCTCAGGAAACAAATCAGACAGAACGTGCTCGGCCTGACGCCAAGGCTCGGCTCAGCAACAGGCTGGGAGCACAACACACCATCATGGATGCATGAGGCCATGCAGTCATTTTTTAGCCTGGGCAATCCTGCCAGTCGATTGGCTGGGCCGGCTTACCCAGCGCACGAGGGATGTTCACCCTCTCCCCTTTCGGGGTTCCCCTTCGGTAAAAGTCACTGTAGAAGAGTGGAGTCCGTAGCGTCGGACATTCATGGGCAATTGCACAGCCTCGCTGCTCTATTGCTTGATTATTGACTTGTTACATGAGTAGAGTACATAGGATTGATGATGATGGGTACCAAGTATGTGAGTAGGATTGCGTAGGATTGAGTAGGACTGTCCTTGTGTGCCTGTTTCCGTATTTCTTTTGTTTTCTCTCACCACTGCCAGTCCCCACAACCGTGGCATCTCAGCCTTGACCCCGACTGCCGCCCGCCAACGATTTGCCCGTTTTAGCCTAACCGCAGTGAGACAGTCACGCAGATGGGGAAATCATCTGATCCCCGGCTATCACCGACCCCACTGCCGTAGCCCGCCCCACCCATCCATCCATTCCTTTCTTTCCTTCTTACTCAGTCATGGCAAGCCCCAACAACACCAACACAGCCAAGTCCCACCCTCTGTGTTCTCTGTCTTCCCCTTCACTTCCGCTGACATAACCCTATGCCGAAACTTCTCACACGGCCTGCCTCAAAATAAGAAAAAGAAAAAAAAATAAGCCAAGACAAAGGAAACGGTTACGATGAGTATTTCCCGCCCCCCCCCCCACTGCAACGATGTGAAGAGAAGTGGGAACCTCACCCAGCCAACCCACTGCACACGCGACTAATCACTCACCGAAACGTGAGTAATCTTCACACAAGATCCACGCTACGTACTACTCGGCAGTTGCGGACGACGAATGATGCCACCACGACGCCTGGATGACGGAGAGATTCGAGCCCACCGGTTTGGTGACGCCTCCCCACCGGAAGCGGGGGTCGGCCTGCGCGAACAGCGCCTGCCAGTCGGCAGCATCGCGTTCGCGGGAATTGAACAGGCTGAGCATATTCATGTCCATTGTTCTGGGAGGGGACTGTCAGCTACATCGCCCATTGTCACGGTTCAGAGTTGGGGCTGAGTGGAAAAAGAGGAGGGGAGGAACATACCGAATATGCTTCTCCTCCAACAACCCCACCGACCCGGGTTCCGGCAAGCAGAACTCGTTCAGCACCACCCGCCCCCCGTCCCGCAGCGCGGGCACCAGTCCGCGCAGGATGCGCACGCAGTCCGCGTCCCCGAAATCATGCAACACCATGCGCAGGAGGTACACGTCCGCCCCGTGGACGGGCTGGTCGGTGAAGAAGTCGTGCGCCATGAATTGCACTCGACTGTTGTCCCCTGATGGAGTAGCGACGGGCGCCTGGGCGATGGTGGGCGCTGTATCCTGAACCACGAACCGTAGGGCTGGAAATGCCTGCGCTAGGGCCAGCGAGACGTACCCCGTCGAGCCCCCGACATCGACAACGACGCCTTCGCTGCTGCTGCTGCTGCTGCTGCTGCTGCCGCCATCGCATATTAACGACCAGTCGTAGCCGTCGCGGAGGTGGCTCACATCATTCTCGGGGCCGGTGCTGTAGGTCGACATGGCTGAGGCGAAAACCCGCGCGCGGTCGGGCTGGCTAGTCAGATATTGGAAGAAGGTGGGATGGGCCGGGGGCTGCGAGAGGGAGAAGCCCGTTTGGGCGGGATCGGTGGCGTTGGGCCATCTGCGCAAGGCGGTTGGGGTCTGTTTTAAGTTGAGAATTGCGATGTCAGATGTCCGAGATGATTACTGATCAGATCTGCAGAGGCCGTGCAGGGGAGACAGGGGGACCGGGGGTGCAATGGGAGTGCTATGCAAACCTCTTTCATCGCGGGAAGCATCTCTGTATAGTGAACATCGATGTAATCGCGCATCACCTGGTTCTCCGCCAGCATCCGCGACGCGGCCGTGTGCCTCACGACCCCCTGCGGCTCCTCGCGGAAGATCCCCTCGGTCGCAGCATGGCGGATGATCCGACGCACTTTCTGCTCCGGGAGTCCGGAGGTGGTCGCGATCTCGGCGAACGTGGCTGTCTCGCCAACAGGAAAGGAACGAGCGAGGTCGAATTCAGAGACCGCGCGGATGGTGCCTAGGTTGTTCCTCTTTGATGGCAGGGAGGGTTGAGGTTAGTCACATGACAAGGGACCTCCCGCGGATATAGAATCCGTCGCCGAAGCAGTGGAAGGGGACAGGACTCACTGCCCACAGAAATAAACTCTCCTTGGGGCCTAGTAACAGCTGCTGCAATTGGAGGGTGGCATCTAGCACTTTCTGTCGGAGCTGCTGCACCTCAACCGGAAAGTCGAGGGGCGAGTCGATCTCATAGGAAGGTAGCGGTCGCTGGAGGTCCGTATAGATCTGGGTGATGCGGTCGAGGTTGGACGCAATTGACCGGCCGAGATCGGCAAAATTTGCATCCGAGGTCGGACGGGACGGCATGGTTGCTGTATAGTAGTCTGACGATAATGTCACACCGTATGCAAGAGGATGAACGGGGTCGATCAATCGAGTCGATGGCACTGTCCGTGGAGTGGAGACCGAGTCACCGACGGCGTTGTCGTGGTCCACGAGGTGACAGGGATCATATACTATGTACTATGTAAGTTAATGGCGTTTGGGCTGCCATTGAGGGATGACCGATCACCTCCGCGCTTCCGTGGAGTCGCACCGCCATTTCTGCCCAGTGAAGCTGTGGAGATTACGCACCGCTGGATGGGGGTCTTGGTGTCGCTGGGAAATCATCTCGTGGCCGGCCATGTGCTGGTCGGGTTGACCACATTCGACCCACGCTAGAGCCGGGATACGAGACTCAGTTCCTTGCAGCAGCACGAGTGGGATCTTGGCGGGCTGTCCAAGGCCTCGCTACGAGGTACTCTCTCCTAGGAGCCCATGGCTGTAACTACTAATGCGACACGAGCGATAACATGAATGGACGATGCTGTGTATTCTTGTGTTGTTGGCAACTTGTTCAAACGCCGAAATGAAGTGTTCCTTTCCAGAATACCCCACCTCCCTATCAATGCGGCATAGCCCACCTACCACCCCGGCCAGGTGGCACTGAGAATCCCTGCTGAAGAATGTGGAGATTGGTGCGCAGTCAGACTAGCCGAGCGATTGAATTGTTCAGCTCATTCTGAGTGCACTATAATATAATAAAGTTAATTGAATGTGGCTGCTGGTCCCCACCCAACGCCTGTCCCACCCACATTATCCTCCGAGAGAAAAAGAAAACCCCTCTCTTCCAAGAAGATAATTACCTGCTGCCTAAGGCTGGGGATGTCGTTTCCACAGCTTTACCGCATCAATACGCGACCGATACCCTTGCATGTGAGAAAAGTGGCGTGGCGTGGTGTTTTTGTCCCTTCACCATAGCCCCGGCTATATCATCCACACCGATGGGGGACGGCCATGAGGACCCAGTGCATAGAGGCGTTTCCTCCTTTCTCCCACTCATGGCAATGAGCATCCACCATGAGGAAGGACAAACAACGGTATCAACTCGCTCCAACCGAGGAGGACAAAGACCGCAATGACCATGAGGCCCTGTCCGAGACCGCGGGGGAACGCGCGACCACCAGCCCGCGCCAGCGCACCTGGCTGCGGATACACTACAGCATCATCACGGTCGCATACACGCTGCTAATCCCCCTCTACCTCCTCCTTCTGACCCATAACCCGCTCGCCCTCGACAGACTCATTACCACCATCAAGACCACCGCCCCCAGCAACGCCATCTTCCCTTCCCTCCGCGCCGCCAACGCCGTAGGCTACGAAAGCCGCCCGTGGCCCGTCCGCCTCCACGACAACCCGTTCGCCGGCAAACCGCGCCCGGAGCTCGAGGCCGCCTGGCACACGCTATTTGAGAAGAACAACATCCGCGTCACTGAGGAGGACCTCGCCTTTTACAACGTCACCTCCCTCCCGATCGTTGGGGCCGCAGGCCAAGGCGAAGGTGCGGGGGAGTTCGTCGGCCAGCTGGGAGTGTTCCACGAACTACACTGCCTCAAGCGCGTCCGCCACTGGATCTACCGCGACCATTATCTATCGGACGCCCCCGCGGCGGTGCTGGTGGAGGAGGAGGCGCACGTCGACCACTGCATCGAGCTGCTCCGGGAGGCGATTCTGTGTCGGGCAGACGTGACGCTGAGCGGGTTCCGGTGGATTGAGGCCGACTCCGAAGGCAAGAGAAGGGAGCTGACGGTCGAGGCGAAGGGAAATCATGTCTGCGTTAACTGGGAGCGATTGCGCGCGTGGAACGATGCACGGGCGGTGGATGCATGGGAGCCCGGGGTTTTGGGCGGTGCTTAGATCAATGACTTTATGTATATGGCAGATGGTTTAGGTTTATGACGATCATGACTCGTTGAATAGCTAATAAAGAAACTCATGATATATACACGCTGCAGAAATGCTAGGAAGGATCATTCGACCAGTTCGCCTCCGCCCACGCCTTCACGCTCTGGTAGTCCCGGCACGTCCGACTATACCCCCACCCCGTCACCCCCTGGAGCTCCTTGTCCACGGGCTCGAGGTTCGTGTCAGCCGCGCACATCAGACTCTGGCGCAGATAGTCGAAGCAGTGCCGGACGTGGTGCGGATCCTTCATGTGGTCGTGCTCGTCCGCCGCATGGGACAGCTGCCCGTCCATGGCGGCGTAGTAGACCTCGCGCAGGGCATTGAGACAGTGCAGCGCGTGGAAGACGACCAACCCGGACAGCTCGGGTGCCAGGGTTGGGTGTTTGACGAAACCGACTCCCTTGGGGAAGAGGGAGGCCCACGCCGCGTCGGTCTCAGGCGAAGGGTGCTGCGAGAAGGTGCTGTTGTATTCCATGCGGATCTGGACCTCGCCGTCGGGGACTAAATTCATCGAGGGAAAAAAGAGTGTTAGGGTTAAGTATGTTGCGATGAAAAGGCGGGGAAATCGTACTCAACAGTCCCTCGCGCTTCCTGGTCGGAATGCCCTTTCCAATGGATACTCCGAGGCCGAAAACTATCACAGCAATCAGGAATCCCAGAAGCATCCAGCCGCACAGGATGAGCGTTGATCGCGGGTTTGCGTTGCGGTGTCGGGGCGGTGCGGGCTCATCGTGGTAGTCCTCTTCCTCTGCCCCGCCCATCAAGGGCTCATGGGGTTTGGAGGGGAGTTCGAAGGACATGCTGGTCAACCCGCGCAATGGAAGAGGGAGAGAAATTAAAAGTTAGAGAAGAACCTCGTGAAATTGAGACTTTTTTTTTTCTTTTCTTCTTCCTTCTCTTATCCCTCCTATCATACGATAAGAGCGACTCCGGCGTGCCGGTAGATGCAGGGCCAGAGGTGCATAAACAATCCTAGACCGAGATCCTTGTTCTGCGGTAACATTTCCAGTCCCCTCTCCTCAAACGGTGGCTGAGTTGACAAGACGGGATAGCCGGATTACTCTACAAAGTATCTGTACTATACCTCGGTCAGAGCGTGAAAGGGGGGGAGGGAATCATAAGAAAAAAAATCATAAGAAAAAAAAAATAGAATAAAAGGGAAAAACACGTCCATACATACATACATCATACATACATCCATACATACCGACTTCACTCAACGTATGTGTCCTCGTAGGCCGGCCGCCCCACCAACCCTCATTCCGCGCTCTGCCCAGACAGACAAACACAACAACACAAAGAATAGAAATCACTGCAAGGCAGCAAGAGGCGATTGGGGGCGGAGGAAACCCGTTCCACTCCCGGTCAGAATTCAGAGGGAAAAGAGAGCCAATTGGATTACATACCTTGCCAAGAGAAACACCATGACGCCATGTACGTATTTCGCTTTCCCTCGTGTTTCTCTTAACTGGGCAATGGCTGTCTGTCTGTCTGGCCTGGCTTGCTCGCGCGCGTGGCAGCAGAAAACCCTTTTTGTCGCCCGCCCAGGCTGATGGGGTAAACTGGTTGTTCATTCCCTTGGTCCTCATTTTCGTCTTTTTAATCTACTTGATTTTCTTGGAATGAATGGTTGGCTGTTACGTTCTTGGCCATTCACCTTAACCAAGGCATTGTTTCCCATTTCCATTGATTCTTTTCTCCCCACCCCTCTTTTTGAAGAATGTTTAACTCCATGCTGTGATCCGCCGGATTCCTCTGTTACGACATCTTTCTGCTCTGTCCTTTTCTCTTCCTGTCACCTGTCAGTTCTTTTAGCGACCGTTGCGGAAAGTTAAAAATCAGCGTGAAACGTTTGGGGTTGTTTTTGCTTTGCAGCTCTTTTAATTGATCGTTTTCCTGCTCGAGCATCGTATCTTTGTTTTACTTCGAAGGGCACGAAGCCAATCTACTTCCAATTCCTCCATTGGCAACTATACCACTCATCATGCATTTCACCACGGTGCTATACTACGGCCTGGCCGCGTTGACCCTCACCCATGCTGCTCCAATCGTCGGAGGTGGGTTGCTCTGTTAACTTGTCGTTGACCGGTAGACTAATATACATATTCTCATGTAGACTCCTCCAGACGCGAAGTAGCCGATGGGGATGACAAGGTCGCCTATACTTGGGCTGTGCCGGAGAGTCGCAAACGAGAGGATGGCGACGACAAAGTGGCCTACACTTGGGCTGTGCCGGAGTCTCGCAAGCGAGAAGACGGGGACGATAAGGTCGCCTACACCTGGGCCGTACCGGAGAGTCGCAAACGAGAGGATGGCGACGACAAAGTGGCCTACACCTGGGCTGTGCCCGAGTCTCGCAAGCGAGAAGACGGGGACGATACGGTCGCCTACACCTGGGCCGTACCGGAGACTCGGAAGCGGGAAGATGGTGACGACAAAGTGGCCTACACCTGGGCTGTACCGGAATCTCGCAAGCGAGAAGACGGGGACGATAAGGTAGCCTATACCTGGGCTGTGCCTGAATAAAAGAAAGCGACACCCCCCCAAAACTGAAATGAACTCTTCGACCTTGCCGAGGCGGACCGCAGCAGCTTTCGGCATATGTTCCACGATGTGATGAATCCTCCTGTCTCTAAACTGAACCCGAGTTTAGTATGTTGATAATGATCTTATATATGCTTGTTTATTGTCGCGCCTTCGATTCTTGTGCAAATAAGATCGTTGTATCGTTATTGAATTATAGAACTGAATTTGCCTCTTGCAAAGGAGTGCGGAGTTGGGGTCTGGTGGAGTGCAGTACCATGTGTGGGGTGTATTAGAGATGGCTCTGTGCGTGGATATAGTATACCATTGTGGTCTTGCTTTGCTATCCGGCCCTCTCCGTTCTCTAGGTATACATGAGCATGGATTAGTAGATTGGTCCCGATTCAAAACCAGCATCTTCAATGTAAGAATCCCATGCAGCCTAAAACCAATTAGCAGATGGCTTCACCGCTAGTGACGGAGAAACATACCCAATCAATCTCAACGGTGGCTAATTCCTTCTCGAAAGTGAAATCATCGACGACCGGCATTTGGGACGGAGGGCCCCACAACCCCAGGCCAGATGCATGATCGGCCGACGCCGCCTCAACACCATCACCACCACCACCACCACCACCACCAACGCTATCACCAGCACTATCACCGCCTTTCGCACCAGGGCAAGTGCGAACACTCTCCAGCATCCCAGCAAGGACCTGCCACTGCCTCCCAGCCTCGTCACAGGTATCCCTATTCACTTCCCACAGCGCCACCGACGTCTCCAGATCCTGCAGTAGATCCGGCTGCTCCACCGCGTCCTCCGAGCCGGGGAATTTGCGGATCAGCTCCAGCTCGAGGAAGAACACCATCGCCGCAAAGGTGAGCGTCTGGCGCGTGTGTGCGAACCGGTACCACTGCTCGGACAGATCGCGCTGGGCAGCCAACAGCGCGCGGGCGGAGGCGAGGCACCGATCCCGCGACAACCGGTAGTGCGGGTTCGTCTTGGCCGGGGCCAGGAACCGGCGGTGCAGGGTGCACATCGCCCGGTGGTAGATGGACCACAGTCCGATCTGTGCGTAGGAAAGGCGGAGCTGCTCCTGGGGCTGCGGCGGCGCTGCTGCCGGTGGTGTCGGTGGCTGCATGTGCGGAGGGAAGCTGTCGTAGGCTTCGGATAGAATGCGGTCGGTCGCGAGGACATCCGCGTAGCTGCTTGGGGTAGAGTTGCACGTAAGGTCTGCGACGCGGCCGATGGCGTGGCATAGACGGCCCTTGACAATGAGGTAGGTCACCGGGGTGGGTTCGCGTAATGGTCGGGCGGGAGGAAGGTCCATGGCAGCATTGGCGGGGAGCTCCCAGTCGTGCAGGTTGCGTGGCTCCCTTGTGTCGGAGCATATGGCGGACAGCATGCGAGGGAGGCCCGCGCCGAACGAGGTCATGTTGTCCATGCTGATCACGGCGAGCCAGATGCGGCGACGATACTCTGCTTGCAAGGGGGGGATCGGGGGTGACGAGTGGGCGGGGTCGCGGTGGTAGCCCATGTTGATGGCCGTGCGTACTAGCACGCCGGTCATGATCCAGAGGCCGCGGCGGTTGTCATCCTTGCGGTTGAGCTCGGCTGTGGCGTTGAAGCGCAGGGTCTCCACGGTGTAGGGGAGGCATTTAGCGATGTCACCGCTCAGGAGACACTGCGCCGTGCGGATGCGGTACAGTTGGAAGAGAGATTCCGAGAGGCCTTCATACTCCGGTGGCTCGCCGTGTTGGTGATAGGCTAGCATGACGATACCAAGAATGGAGAATATGAGTCCCAGCCAGATGAAGTTCGCTTGGGATGGGTTTTTGCAATGCTCGTGATACTTGCTAAAGTCACCTTGGGATACGATCAACACGGGTCTTGTGCTCTTACCTCCCACATGAAGGTCGGCTCGTGAATGATGGCTAAGACAAGGATTAGATTGGCGGATCAAATGATCTGTGGCTGGCACATACGAGGAACGGCGATTGGGAAGCTTGGCCGATCGAAGAAAATAGCCACCAGGTTATCCATTTCGCGCTTGGGTGGGAGAGTGGCTAGGATCTCGATTCGATCTATGGGCTTCACTTGACCGAACAAAAGGCTTGATCCGTCAGCCAGTTGCGACTGTGGAGGAGGGATTCGATGCTCTCGTCGGTCATCTTGGGCCTGGTTCCATGTGTTCTTGAGTTTGTCGATCTGGCAATTATCAGTTGGGCTTCAATGGCAGCAAGTTGAAGTGACGGTGGAATCAGGAACAGGACGAGATACCTCCTCTAACACATCATACCAATCATCGCCACCTTGATAGACGGAATGTGCGCCATCGAGCACTATCTTTCCTGCGGAGGCTACATCTTGTGTATCGGATGGGTTCAGGTTGCCAAGCTTAGGGTTTTCGGGTGTCAAAGAAGCGGGCTCCTGTGGTATCTGTGGCTGGTGGGCAATGAGTCTCTTCACCATATTTTCCAACTGGTCGATCCGTTGGCGCATGGGATCGGCCTGACTCTCACGCCGAGCATTCGAAAGGGCGCCAATCTTGGCCCCCTTAAAGTGACATGCTGACTGCTCATCACGAATTATACAATTCTGGCAAGGGTATACCCGATTGCATTTGAGTCTATCTGGGTCAGCAATGGAGCCAATGCCTCGGATCCTACGATGCAGTGGTCTGGTCTACACACTTTCGCGTGCGGCAGGGGTCACACGATAGAGGAATGCGTGCACGTCGACTTTGCGGCACGGGTTTGGCGGGAGACTGCATCTAGAGTACAGCACACTGAAGAAGAGGCTAAGAATGACGATGATGATGAGGATGATGATAGATGATCGAAAGTAAGCAGCGGAGTACAGCCTTAAATCCGCGGACTTAACCGATCGCGGGCCTCACGTGCAGTCTGTGCCTGAGGTCTGAGGCTGCAACATGCTCGTCTCCACGGACTTGTTATATCCGGCTTGTCTGGATTTAACCCCGATGATGTATGCCACAGTGAATAATAGCACAAGACGAAGATAAATAATGGAACAGCGATCACATACATAATGAAGAACCTTACACAATCAATTCAGAGTCATAACAGACAACCCGTTTTCTCGACAGCCATACTCTCATGGTCGCATAGACCCAAAAACACACAATGCCGACTCTCAGCGACTTCTTCTATACCCAATTCCTTCTCCGGATCCCCCAGCCTTCCGCCTCCTTCACTAACAAGACCGTCATCGTAACCGGCGCCAATGGAGGCCTAGGTCAGGAGACTGTGAAGCACCTCATTCGTCTTGGAACCGAGAAGGTCATCTTCGCGTGCCGCAGTCGATCCCGAGGCGAGCAGGCCAAACGTGAGATCGAGGCCCAGCTGAACTGTAAGACCAACCTCATCGACATCCGAGAACTCGACCTCGAGTCCCCGGTCTCGATCAAGCGATTTGCAGAATGGGCTGCTCGCTCACTCCCGCGCGTCGACGTCCTGATCAACAACGCCGGGATCCACGCCAACAGGTTCAAAACTGTCTACGACACCGAGCGCACCCTGGCCGTCAACAATATCGGCACCTTCCTGCTGACGGTACAGATGATCCCGAAAATGAAGGCGACAGCTCGGACCTACGGCACCACGCCGGTGATCACCTTCGTCGCCTCCGCGCTCTACGATATCGCTGAGTACCCCGAGCAGCACGGGGAGGATATCTTCACCTGGTTTCGGGAGGAATCCCACGTGGATTTCATGAACCAGTCAGTATGCCCCCCCCCCCCTATGTACCACGGAATTCATTGCTAATGAAACATGCCGCACTAGGTACAATCTTTCCAAGCTGCTACAGCTTTACGCGATGATCAAGCTAGCCGCCCTCGTTGACTCCCCGAACACAGACCACGAGTCGTCCTCGATTGTGGTCAACGCCCTCGATCCGTGTTTCTGCAAGACCGGCATCATCAGCGAGTCCACCGGGCTAGCCAGGATGCTCTTCAAGATTTTTGAGGCGATCACTGCCCGCAGCGCCGAGGAGGGCTCCCGGCTGGTGGTCCAGACGGCCGCCGCCGGGCGCGAAACCCACGGGCGGTACATGCGCGCCGGCGCTGTGCAGGCCTATGCTCCGATCGCGGCCGACGAGCAGCGGGCCACATACGTGTGGGATACGCTCTGCAGGAGGCTAGAGGCGATCCAGCCTGGCATCATGCAGAGTCTGCGTTGAGGAGTCTGGTTGAGGGTAGAATATTGGGTCCATAGGAGTGTGTGGTGGCTTGGGATGAATCTTTGTTCTTATGAATGTGGGATTGAATTAGACTATTCTAGAGGGTGTGTTGAAGACAGTTGTTGCTAGTATTTGCGCACCATCAGGTCCTTCACTTTGGTCACCGTTGTTGAATATGGTTATCATCTACACTGTTCGCTGTCCGAAGTCAGGTCGCAACCCTACCAGGCTCAACATAAGGAAGCATAGGAAAATGCACAGCACGAAGCAGAAGAGCCATGCAATGTCATACACTAACGACAACAGAATAGCGAAACTAAAAACAGAAGCAAGGCCTAGCTCGCTGGACCTGTGAGGAAGATGTTCTTGGTCGTCCTTTCAATCGCAAATTGAACGGTGGAAATGCGAGACGAAATGCCCGAGAAATGTTCTACCATCAGTCCTGAGGCAAGAAATAGATTGAGATTAGATAAAATTGTAAGCTCTGCCGTACGTGAAAGACGTGCCGTACGTGAAAGACGTGCCGTACGTGAAAGACGTACCGCACTCAAGTCCAAGGGTCTTGCTGGGAGTTAAGTCGTTGCGCCCGTGACCTGAACCCATCCAACATGTCTAAGACACGGAACACGCAGCCACGCTCCAAGCAGTTGTCAGTGAAATTGCCACCTTCTTTGATTTTAAATGCATACTTTGAAGCCTGTCTCAGTTTCCTCAGTGTTCGATCGGTGGGATCAGGATAATGCTCATGGATTCTGCACGATTTTGCCGGTGGTAGGGTGCGAGCCAATTTCTGAAACCAGGGGCATTGATGAGACCCGTTGCTCTTGGTCGGCTATAGGATATGGCTCACGAAGCGCAGAGCTAGCTGCAAAAATGTAGCCAAATCGAGAGACTTGCCCAGAAACTGGAACTCTGTGTCAGGGGAGCGTCTACACCGGGAGGGCACATTCATGTCGGACGGTGTCTGCTGGGACTGGATGGGTGGAACTCAGCTGTGGTAATTGTCTCCCGTGGTTGTCGAGCTATTTGAAGCAAAAGATAATCTTGGCCCGAGTGATCCAACGGCTGCCTCCAATTTCGAGGGAAACTCTTCGGGCTACTCCCTGAACCTTAGGTCATGGAGAATGACAGCTCTTTTACCGGGATATCCCAGTCACATTGAACTCCGCATGCTGAATATTGAGTTATCACAGAAGATTTTCGACCAGGGCAGTAGTCGAAAAGCTAGTTCCGAGTGATGAGTAGTCTCATAGGATGGAGAGAGCGTCAACCCTATGCCTAGAGGCGTAATTCACTATTGTGGAGCTACTAAGTCATCGGGCAATGGCTATCGTATGGGAGAAACATGTAGCAAATGGGTTATTGATCTACTCGTCGTGCTGACATATTAGAGTTCAATCTAGCTAATATATAACGGCAGGTTTGCGTTGTCTTGAAGCATGACAGAGAGACGATGTAGTGGGATTGAGCGTCAGCAGGTCAACGGCAGGAAATGACTTCGCAATCACGACAAGCGTGAAGACAAGCCTATGACATGACCCGATTATACTAGACGCAGCAATATGTCTCACCGATCGTGACTAGACCACAGATGCAAATGAAATTATGGGTAATTTGTCAAGTGGTACTAAACTATCATGCCAAGCCTGCCACTGAGCACATGGGTCAGTGAATACGGACGGCACTGAGACATCTATTGATACAGCGTAGTCTTGCGTCAAAGGGGTAGATGGGCTTGCTAGTGAGCATTGCAGCGTAAGGACCAACACTTATGCTGTGAGCGTTGGCGATCTTGTATATTTGTAATCATCCAGTAGTGCAGTGCAGTCAATGGTGGCCTGGGACGGTGTCCTGCATTGACTTGTGGCTGATGTAACACATTTTTGAACCAAAACTCGCATCCGAGACAGTATGGCCGAGTGGTCTAAGGCGATAGACTAGAAATCTATTCTCTTCGGAGGCGTCGGTTCAAATCCGACTGCTGTCGTTTTTTGGGTTTTCTGGTTTGTGCTGTTGGGGCTGGTCCCCACACAGGCAACTACCGGAGCCAATGAGTCTTAATCTCGCAGGGCACCGACTCATTAACTCTGCGTGATTGTTGACGCCACCATACAGCCTTACGGCTGGTTGCTGATGATTGAAGTTTAAAAAAACGATAGTTCCCGCGCCATTGACTATTATACCACTTGACAGAGTCACTGTTCGCATGCCGGTGTACAACTTAGACCCAAGGCCAATATATTGGCTCCACAAGGTCTCAAATAAGGTGGCTTCCGTCGGTGAGAAGTGAAGGAGTATGCATGCATTTCTGTTTCTTCGAGTATTGACTCCCTCAGTAATCGACTCCAACATTTCTATGTCACTGCCGCTAAAGCACCTGTGAAGAGGGCATTGGTGAATGATTCCTTGATTTCGAGCAAGAAAGGTCAGGGTGCATCCCTGAGAGTGACAACTACACGCCATTTCCACCCCGAGATATCGATGGGCGAACCGTGACCTCATGGAATTGTGGACTAGCGAGAGTTCGTGAATTCGCATCTGTGAGACTCAGACATAAGGAGGGGTATGTTCCACGGGCCGCGAGACCGTAATGACTCCCTCTCTCAGCCTCCCCTTTTCCGACACGGTAGAAGTTTCTGGCAGTTGAAAGTCAGGCCGATATGTCAAACTTGTCTCAAGTCCTCCGTGATGACTCTGGCCCCCACCGTATCTCCCTATCGACCAGGTTGAGTCGCATATGACCCAGCGGTAGAGTGGCAGGGAAGAGTGATACATATCGCGAAAGTTATCCCCTGCAGCGATTTTCTCGAATGCCAGACTACCTCGACCTCCATTGACCATGAAACGCACCAGACGCAGCTGGACAGGAAAGGAGGATGAGCTCCTCCGCAAGCTAGTTCAGACAGGTGGGTGCATCGAGACAGCGTTCACAGGCTCATCCCGCACTCTGACATCACATCTTCCTTGCCTCCAGCACTCGACACCTCCCACACAATCCTCTGGAGCGAGCTCGCCCAGAAAGTCCCCGGCCGCTCGAACAAGGACTGCCGCAAGCGGTGGTGGAACACGCTGGCCGGCGGCAACATCAAGGGCGCCTGGTCGCCGGAGGAGGACCAGCGGCTCAGCGAGGCGGTGCGGAAGCATGGCAACGACTGGACTCACATCGCCGCCCTCGTGGGGTCCCGCTGCGCTGATCAGTGCTCCAGTCACTGGCGGCAGGTGTTGCGACCCAATGTCAGTTGTTGTAACTGGACTGAACAAGAGGTGAACGGTCGTTCTCCATACTCTGTTCCTAGCTCGACGGCTGACGCAAAGTCTGGAGGTGAGTAGGACGAAGAACTTCTAAAGGCGGTCCAAACGCATGGCACCAATTGGTCGACTATTGCGGCGTTTCACCATCCGCCGCGGACGGGGCTGGGCCTGAAGAATCGATATGCCAGGATCCGGGCGAAAGAAAAGGATGCCGGTCGATCCGTGCTGCACAAGGGACCTTCTGCGCCTGGGGGCAAGCGCAGCAACGTGGTGAAGCCCAGAAGGAAGCGCAGCTCCCCGCAAATTGGCATCGCGCGGGACTGCAACGAGCAAATGAGAGAAGGCAGTACCCCGAATAATTGCCCCGGGACCCTGGAACCGCAGGGCAGATTCCCACATCCCGACGAGCGCAAGGAACCGGCTTGCTGGTGGACTCGATTCCCCAACAACACCCCCATCGGTTCTTGGGAGACATCCACATCGTGGGTGGGCCATGGGACTATCGACCCACGCCTAATCCTGCCCAGCCCACCTTGCTCAGAGGATTGTTGGATGGGTAGCACACCGGATCTGACGGTGTCTGCAATGGGCAACTCCCGGCTGCCGTCCTTCGACCGGGTCCTGGACGCCACGCAGGCTGACAACGATCGGGACCGACAGATGCTCTTGTTTCCTCCTGGTAGGTGGAACAGCCATTCTCGCAGATTCCGCCTGGCGTGCTTACCCTGCAGTAGACGAGTACCCGACCGACATGGGTTTCCGAACCGTGCACGAGGCACTCTACCTTGCACCTGACCCGTGCAGCCTGGGGAATTCCCGACACTCCTCCACGGAACCGCTGCATCCGTTCCTCACTATGGCCGAGCTAGACTTGATGCCCCGGGAGCCCTCTCCACGTGCCTCAGTCCACTCCGGAATCCACCCAAGTCAGCATGAGAGGTCAGCAGAGACTAACATGCACCGGGTCTCGCTCAGTCTCTCGTGCACAACGAGCCAGTTGAGCAGTATCATGTCGCGAGTGGCCGACACCGGTGCGGCTGTGAATATGACGGTGGATGCAGAGTAGAGAGTGGGGGACTTCATAGGTTTATTGCATCTGCGATACTTTTTGTGGTCAGAAGCATGTCCTGGTCATCATTAGATATTTTGAATCCACGAAATTAGAAATGAGTATCTCGTCTTCTAAGGCTCTTTAGATGGAACCAGAGTAACCTCTACAGCATGATTCCACAAGGCTCTGCGACCGTGACACAGAACTTCTAACCGCTAACCCTCATAACGCCCACAAACCACTGCAAGAACACCATCCCAACAACGCAAAAACGCCAACACCAACACCAACACCGAATAGAGCCTCCTACTTCGGCTCCGCCCGCGGCAACGCGGGCCTCGGCTTGACCGGCGCAACCCAGAAGACGGGGTACCGGCGCTGAAGGTTATTGACCAGCAGGGCGACGGCGAGCAGCATGGTGGACGAGAGCAGCACGACGGGCAGGTAGTACCAGGAGAGCTGCCAGACGGCCTCGTTGGTGGCGGGGAGCAAGGCCGTGGCGCCGGCGGGCGGGTGGGTGGTCTCGGTGACCTGCATCACCACGACAGCCACCGCCGACGAGAGCGCCGCGGCCAGCCAGCGCAGGGACTCGAACCGCGCCTCGTCGGGCATCAGGCTGAAGAGCTTGGTCACGCACAGCCCGACGAGCGCGCTCAGGAAGTGGCCGAAGATGAGGGCACGCGGCTGCGCCAGCGGGCTTTCGATGGCGCCGTAGACGAGGACGGCGGAGGCGCCCTTGGATGGTTGTTAGTATGGGTAAAAGGCGGGGGGTCTGGGTTGGTGGTTGAGGAGAGGAGGGGGGCAACAAGGGGGCGAACGAACATAGGAGGCGATAATGCCCGGGACATGCCGGTCCAGGAAGTAGTGGGAGTAGTTGAAGATGGCCTGGACGACGCAGAGGCCGCAGAAGGCGGAAATGAACGACCACAGCCAGATTTGATACTTGGGGAGGGGCTGGGGAGGGCTGGCGCGGTAGCCGAGCCAGTGGCTGAGCCACGGCGGGAGGCGCGCCAGGAACTCTTGCTCGTTCATGAATGGTACAGTACTCAGATTCTGGTGTGCAGGAGACTCGACTGAATTGCAGTGGAGAGGATGCTGTCGACAATTGAGGTGTCTTTGACAAGCATACAAGAGTCGTCGCCTCCGTCCAGGTGAAGGGGTCCTTCGACGTTTATGACGGGGAGTGGTTGTCACGAGGGTAGTCGAGGATCAGCACCCCAGAGATTCTATTACCTAAAGCAATGCCGCAGCGCTTGGTTGACTAGTGAACGTATTGAACGGGTTCAATGCAGCTCCAAATTACCCCAGCCTGCCCTGGATTTAAGAACTCGGTTAATCCGCAGGGCGCAGGCAGGATTTGCCGGTGGGTCCGGCGTCGGCAAGACTCGGCAATTGCTCGGCTTCTCCACACTCGATTTCCAGGGTCCGATCAACTAATGCAGCAGCAGCAGCAGCAGCAGCGGGCAGCACTAGTCTTATAGACTTGTAGATGTATAACGGAATCCATTTTTCCTAAACTCGACACAGCTCTATCAATTCTAAGCACTGCATCGAGCCAATTCTTTAAAAAATCATAAAGTCCCCATTAATTTCTGCGCCCCTTCCAGACCCGCCGGCTCGAAGCCCACACCCCGCGAACCCCCTTGGCGATCTCGAACCGCCCATCGTACAAGGGATACACCACCACCGCCAAGAACGCGCAGAACTGCCAGATGATTGCCACCGTCGTCCATCCGGCGAAAAACGACTTGGTGAAGATGTAATTTCGGTACAGCGGCATCGGCCACAGAACGAAAGTGATCAGCACGAGCGCCACGAAGGTGGCCCACGCGATGCGCGACCAGCGGTACAACTCCCGCAAGGTCTCCTGGGAAAATGGGTGGATGACTTCGTCAAGGCTGAGCCGGGACTGCGAGGGGGATGGTGAGTTTGCGTTTGGGGAGGTGGAGGATACGAAGACGCTCTTGGTTTCGGGCTCGGGCCCTTCTTTTTTGTCTTCGCGGGATTCGAGGTTGGCAGTCGGTTGCGAATCGGAGACGGAACTCTGATCGTCGGCGACGAGCTCGATGCGGAGGAACTCGCGCCAGTCGAATTTGTAGGGGCGGTAGAGGGAGATCAGCACCGAATAGAGGGCCGGGGAGAAGAAGGAGCCGATGGCGCCGTACAGCGCCGGCAGCCCCTCGCCTGTTGTGGTCATGTCCACGCGGCCGTACAGGGATTTGGCGGTCGCCAGCCAAATAGCGAGGCCCGTGAAGAAGCCCAGCACGGGAGCAAGGATGGCGGCCAGGCGGGTCTGGCCAGACCAGAATAGGGTCAGCCCCAGCGGGATGATGCCGGGGCACGAGAGGATGGGCCGGAAGTAGCCGATCCAGGTCATGTTGGCGCCGCCGTAGTTGAGGGCGATGGAGATTCCCGTGATGAAGATCGCATGGAAGACGACGGCGATGTGGCTGACGTGCAGCAGCCGGCGGTCCCCTGCGGTCGGGTTGATGTAGGTCTTGTACATGTCGAAGGAGAGGATGCTGCTGACCGCGATCATCGAGGAGGAGACCGTGCTGGTCAGGGCCATGAAGAGCAGCACAAAGAAGGCCACCATGCCCGCGTTGCCCAGCAGGGCTTTCACGAGGTAGGGCATAACCATCCCCGTGTTCACTTCCGTGGCCGTGAGGGGACCGGGGTAGGTTGGGAAGATGGGTGTGTTGTGCAGCGCACGCGCAGACAGCCCGATCACCGTGCCTAGTCCCCAGGGAATGCCAAACACGGCGACGGCGGCCAGGTTGTAGGCCGGTACGGTGGAGTTGACTTCACTGGCAAATGACTTCTGCCAAAACGCAGTGTCCTGCGGGTTGCGGTTAGATACATGTTTCGCAGAGAGAAGTGGACTGCCGGCACTTACCATAACAACCAGGGCCAGATTGCCGAACTTCAAGATGAGGCCCCAGATGATGGCATCCTTCGACTTCATGGTAAGCAGAGAGCCCTCGTAGTTACCAGAAATGTAATTCTCGCCCGCGGTTGCGACCACTTTATCATAGAGACCCGACAACCCGCCCACAGCATCGTGGGTGAGGACTGAGAGCGTAAAGTAGATGATGAGAATCAAAGCGACAGTCGTGTGAAGAAAGTCCGTGAGGAACGTTGCCTTCAGGCCGCCGACGGCAGTATAAAGCACCACTGCATCAGGGAATATTAGAACCTCCTCACTCTCCGCTGAAAATCTTGTCTCACCTCCGAGGGGAATCAGAATGGTAGCAGCCACAAAGTTCATTCCGGAAACGCCGTGGATCAGCTGCGACCCCGTCAAGATCATCGAGGCGCAGCCGAACACATTGTTGGTCAGATTAAGAATCATGTAGATGATGTGGCCCACCCATCCGTATCGCATGCGGATGATTTCCAGGGATGTGTGAGCATAGGGCACGCGGATCTTGGCCATGACACCAAGCGCTGCCATCAATGCGATCTGGAAGCAGAGACCGGAACCCCACCACTGTAGAAGTTAGATGTAAACGCACGGGCGTCCAAGGTTAATGCTAGAATGCTTACCAGTGGAACCGCTAGTCCATAGCGATAGCACATCGCGGCCGACAAAACCGTCTCATTGATCCACATCCATGATGAGAAGACAGCTGAAGCCGTCAGTCCTGTGCCAACCGAGCGATTTGCGACCATGAACATCTCAGATGTTCCTGAATCCTCAGCTAGATACGCTCTCTGGATCTTGATGGCCACTAAAATCACCCCGCAGAAGAGGATGCCCAGACCGATAAGGAGGCCATAGGCCGTGCCCTGGGGCACCAGATCTATTACCGTCATGTTGAATTTGTGGGTGGTTGTTCAATGGCCGTTGTGGACGGTTGGTTTCTTGGTGTTGATACCCGAACCTCGACTTAAGTATATGCTGTTGAGGCGATAGAGTTTCGCCATTGCTCTATTGTGAGTGGTTTGTCACGCTGTTCTTGGCCTTAATTGCGTTATGCATGTACCGGCCGAGAAGGAAGTAGGGCAGGCAGATCTTGAGCTGCGGGTGATTGATAAAGCTTGTTAGTGGGTGCTGGTCGTGATGGCGTGCGCCAAGCTAACTATGGCAACAACCACCACCTACAGGCGATTCCCATTTTCTGGTCATGGTTTCATCATCCCAATTTGTGAGATATGCAAACCTGGTATGTAGTCCTCGACGTACTCTAATAAACATGTCTCTCGCCTGAAAGTCTGTGGAGATCGAGAGAGTATGATTGCTGACCACAGTGAGTGCATACGTATACTGCTACATTTCCTGTGAATATTCCAATATTGACTACATTACCCTTAATCTGAACCTGCGCATCTATCGTTCGAAATATTCAAAATTCAGTATTTGATATGATATCAGATGTGCTTTCGAGGGCGTCTAGACCTTCTCAGGAGTATTCTCCCATCCTACCCTGGCTCATACGGTGGCTTCAAGTTTGCCGACTCAAGCCCTAAGTGCTCTTCACCTAGCACGACCACGTGAATATTCCAATGATACTGGACTTCTTACGAGCAAAGCTCACCCCAACCATTTTGAAAGCCGTGGTTTGTACTCACTAACAGTGACTGCAATTGAGTCGTGGTCCACTCAACCAGGAAGATCAATAGCAGCTACTTTCTTACAGACCCCTAAGTGTCGAGTCAACTGACTGCTACCCCTGGTAAAGTAAGACTAGCCTGTGATCGTCAGAGCGATGTATCCGATCAGACATACTCTCATATAACGATAGAATGCACTTTTTCTGTCACCTCTACTCTAGCCATGGAGTCTAAACTGAATGCATCTCTATCTCCCCTTCAGCCATTCAACTCTAAGCTAATCATTAAGCATCACTCCTCCTCGATCGGTATCCCAACCAGTTCAGCCTCCTCCACCCCACGCCCAAACTTGATATACCCCAGCTGAACCTCCAACGCCGTCCGCCGTCCAACTTCCCAGACCACCTGCCCCCAACACTCCCGTTCCAAGTCCTCATTAATCTCCGTGATTAAACCCACCCACCGCTCCATCGCCCTCCTCCCCTGCTCTTCCACCTTCCCCGGGTCATCCCCAATCCCCGCCTCACCTCCTTGGAAGAACGCCGTCCCCACAAACCGGCCGAGCGTGACATGCGCAATCGGCGCCGTATAGCACGTGTCGATGCTCACCCCAGTCTGCAGCGCCATCGCATGCAGCTGGTTCCGGAGATGATGGTAGGTGTACGGGCCCTCGTTGTCATCGGTGGCGGGGACAAAACTGATCGCCACGCCGAGCTTGTCGAAGAGGAGCTTCGGCTTGACCAGGCGGGCGATGTGCCGCTGTTCTTGGTGGTACTCGTTCCGGGGGGTGTCAAGGAGGGCCTTGAGTTGCAACTCGCCGATGTGGGCGTAGACCTCGCGGAGGTGGGCGATCGGGTGGCGGTGGGAGAGCTCGATTATGGAGAGATGGAGGGATGTATGCGGGGTGAGATGAAGGTCTGGTTCGGTTAGTCGGTTATAGATCGACATTCAACCACAAGTTGGTGGGTGAGATGGGGCTGAAGTCCCGTTATTTGTGTACTGGTGGATAGCTCAGAAACTCACCAGGCCCTACGCATTGCGACAACCGGTGCTGGATATCGAGGAGCAGGCGCATAATCAGTTGGTCGGGGCGCGTCCACATAACCAGGCAATTCACATCTTGTTTGCTAAGCTTCTCGATCTCCTGGGCTCCGTCGGTCTCATCGGTCTGCCACTTGAGGTAGCGGATGAGCGCTTTGTCGGGAGTGATGCGCTGCGACGTTGGCGGGCCAAGATGGCTACTATTACGGCTGTCGGTGCTGCCATCTCGTCCACACGGGTGAAGCAGGCCAATCGATCGCTCTAGGCTTGCGGTTCGGAAGGATTCGTAGGCTTCTTGTATCTTGGCCTGTGCGGTGGGAGAGCGTTAGTCCGGTCGGTGATGCGGGGAGGGGGAGAGGGGGAAGGCTATAGCACAGCGGTGATATAGGGCACCACCACGTACGGGATTGTTGGCACATTCGGGATGGTCCAGAAGTTCTTGATACCAATTGCGAGTCGAAGGTTCCCCGGGCTGTTGGGGAGGGAAGGCGAATGGCACCTGCAAGCTGGCAGCACCACCCATTATTTTTAGTTTCTGAATGGTGTAAAGGGGTGAAAATGCAGGGGAAGGCTGCATGCGGGGATTTGCGGTGGTGATAAGGCTTGAAGCACGCGGATCGCAGGCTCTCGTATTCATGAGGCGGTGCCGACTTGGCGCATATGCCAGCCTCATGCAGCTAGATCCATGTTTGGCAAGGCCATGTGTGAAAGGTGGAAGGCGAAAGGCGAAGCGCCCGCCTCACCTCCTTACTGCAATGGTGATAAGTCTCTTAAGAACCTCTCGCTTAACCCGCTTTCCTCTTTCTCCTTTCGAGTCGCGATGTTTGGTTCGTCTTCTGCTGCATACGGACCCCCCGCAATAGAGATTATGGGATGTCGATACACTCGCAGTACCCCTTTTCGCTGCCATCCTACTGCTCAGGTCTGGACGATGGAAGCTTCTGTCAGCGAGAGCTGAAGGAGGAGTCCCGCTCGTGGCGATCCGAGAAATATGCGCCCGTCTCGAATGTAATGGTCCTGGAGCATGATCATGGCGTGGGGTCGGCCCGCTTTTATGATGATGGGGAGATGGATCAACTATTAGCTGTAACCATCTCCATCCAACTCTTGCGCGGTCGCAAAGAGTCCGTCCATCCATCATGTACGGTATGCTAACCCTAACCGCAGGCAGAACACCAGCCCCAGCTCCGAATTATTCTGCTGCAACCAACCCCACAGGAGAAACTACTCCATACCATCGACGACCCCGCGGTCCTGAAGGCACTGCTCACCAACGAACTCATCAGCGACCGTGTTACTGAGCCAGAGAACGAGAAAGTCCCCGATCAGCGTGAGGATGACGTGCCGTCGCAGCTCAACATCACACGCAGCTGCCTTCTAAGGATTCTGACGCGATACGACATCGCGCCCGCCGCAGCCTCCCACATCCGTGGCCAGGAACAGATATTCGGCTCGCGACAGCAGCGCGATGAGGAAGGAAAGATGTGTTCCTTCGGTGAGTGAGGTGCTTGCCGATGGTAGCATGGACCAACTGTCTCATGACTTTTTATCTTGTGTTCGTGTTTAGAATTCTGGTACGCAATCCGAGCCCGCGCCTACGTGCGACGCTTAGGCAAGGAAGCGGATCTCAAGATGACGATCGTGACGCGATACGACGCGCGGTCGCAGTCGACGCTTGTCCTGCTCAAGTATCGATCCTTCAACGACCTGCCGCAGCGGCTGCACGAGGAGTTGGTCGAGAACCTGCAGGCGTTCGTCCGGGAGCCCACGACGGCCGCGCTCGTGAAGAACCCCTTCATCACCTCGGTGATGCACTTCAACCCGACCATCCAGTACTTCCGGCGGGCTGCACGGGAGCCGCGCGACACGATCCGCGACGAGGAGGCGAGGGTGCATGGAGGCATGGACGAGTTCGCCCGCATCGACCTGCACAAGCTCCATCTCACCCTGACCAGTCTCGACCAGGATAAGATCCAGATGAGCTTTATTCTGGGAGTGATTGCCCGGCTGCGCATCCAGCACGAGACCTTCCAGACCCTCGTCGAGGGCAAGGCGAGCGTTCCCGAGCGCGACTGGCTGTATTTTCGCATGGAGGAGGAGTTCGATCGCTTCGAGAATCAGATCGCCTACTTCAAATCGTCAGTGGAGGATGTTGCGAGACGGGTGGAGCGGCTGCTGGAACTGGTGAGAAGCCCCCATCTAATCTCGGGTTTTTTTTTTGTCTGCTCCATTGCGACGACGACTTACGCTTAATAGCTGTTCAACATGAGCTCGCGGATCAACACCCAATCCAGCACGAAGATGACCAAGTATGCTATGCACGAGAGCGCCTCGATGAGCACCATCTCGGTGGTGACCATGCTTTTTCTCCCTGGTACCTTCATTGCCGTATGTGCGCTATCTACAGCCTCGAAGACGGAACTAGGGCTAATAAGTGCACACCTCTAGACCATACTAGGAACCAACATTATCGCCGGGCCATCTCGCTCAGAGGGAGACACCCCGGGCCACTCGGAGCTTTACATCTCGTCGCAGTGGTGGATCCTGCTGGTCCTGACTGTCTCGTTGACTGTCGTCACGATGGCTGGGTGGTATATGCTGCGGAGAAAGACCGCCCGGTCGATCGAACATATGATCTCTGCCCAGAATGCAGTCTGACCATGTCTGCTTAGCAACGAATGATGCCTTGTTTTCAATTCTTTTTTGTCTGGCATTCAGCGGGCGTTGCGGGTTTTGAGATCTACGGTGTTGCTATGCACATGGTGCATTGGATGGATATAATATCTTGATCCTCTTTGCTTCGTATGTACAAAACAGACACTGTCGGATAACACCTAAACCTACTGCAGATCCCGTACCAAGACCCCACGATATCTCATCCTCCCTTCCCTCAAAGTCTTCATCGCGTCCTCAATGCCTGCCGGCGTCATGGGAAAGGTCATGGTTGTGGGGGTGATGTTCTTCCTCGCTGCGAATTCGAACAGGGACCGGATATTGTGGCGAGAGGCCACCAAGGACCCTTGGATCTTGATGCCACGAAGGAAGAGGCGGACCAAAGGCACCGGAGCGGGCTTCATGGTGAGCGTGAGGGGGTAGATGCTACCACGAGTAGCCATCAATGGCATCAGACTAAGAATACGTCAGCAACACGGACAGCGAGCTGGAAGGACAACAGGCAAAAACAGGGCTGACACCGACTCACCTAGAATAATCAACTTCGGCACTCCCACACAGTAAAAGATGCTTGACCTGGCGGAATCCCTCGGGCACCGGGCCCCCCGACTGGAAGACATGGAACTCCGACGCCCCGTAATTCACCGCCTCCTGCCTCTTCGCTTCGGAGCTGGACAGTACCACGACCTGACACCCCATGGCGCTGGCGAGCTTGATCGCCACGTGGCCGAGGCCGCCGACGCCCATGATCCCCACCCGGTCCGTCGCCCGCACCCCGTACTGCATGAAGATCTCCCACACACTGGCGCCCGCACACATCAGCGGGGCGGCGTGGATCGAATCGTACCCGTCGGGAATGGGGTAGACGCAGTTCTCGTCCCAGACCGCACCGTAACTGAACGAGCCGTTGTCATGGTCGTGGAACCCGTACATCTTGACGTTCGGGCAGTACTGGTCATGGCCTAGCAGTCCGGGTTCAGTTGCTTCTCGGACACACCACTCATAATTGCAAAGGAAAGGCCGTTGAAAAGACATACCGGTCGCGCATTCCTCACAAGAGGCGCAGATACTATGCGTGTAGCCGAACCCCACGCGATCCCCGATCTGCACGGACTTGACCCCGGCCCCCAGGGCGCGGATGATGCCCACCCCTTCGTGGCCCAGCACATTGCCCGCCTTGAGGTAGTGCTCGTCGGTGCCGCAGACCCCGGAGTGGGTGGTTTCGATGAACACCTCGTGGAAGTCGAGGGTGCGCGTCACCTTGTCCGCGACGATGCGCCCCTCAGACGACCCTCGGAATACGTCGAATGTGATGCTCATGGTGCTGCGTGTGTCTCAAATCTCATTGCTGAGATACATGACGAGGGACCCTCGCCTCTTTAAATATCCGTCATCTTGAGCCCGCTCTTTGTTTTCCTCCCGCACCAAATATAATGGCTCCCGCGCTGTGGTTCCAGAACGGGGGTTTTCTCAATGCGGCAACGAATCGAGCGACGAGATCTCGGTTGCACGATGGGTATAGTTCCAACGCTTGGAAGGAGTGGTGCAACAGGACTGCGCCATTGATTGGTCGACCCGTCTGGATTTTATTTTTCTCCTGGGCTCCACTCATTGAAGCTCATGCCGAGGCTTGCGCTGCCGCTGCCCGCTCCGCGAGATCCGGGCTGGACCTCCGATAAGGAGATGGAAAAAAAGGGGGCAGGATCGTACTATACCCATGTCTCTGTCGAGAATTGAGATCATAACACCTGAAACATCTCCGATGCAACCGAAGCTTGGGCTGGACTATTTATGACACATCAATTGCTCACTTTGATTGTGTTCCGTGCTTTATCGAGCACCTATTCCAAAAGTCGTGAGATAGTGAATAGAAAAAAGAAAGAAAAAAAAAAAAAAAGGCTTCTCTTTATCGGGGCCAACGGCGACGCCGACAATTTCCGGGTCTGCGACGCCTCAGGCTTCGATCATCCCCACAGGACTATGCCGGTTGGGACAGGGAAGCCGTTATGCTGCGTGGTTCCCTGGCATTCTTCGCGCACTCTCCTACCGCTTGTTAAACTAGGGCTAGACTATCAATCCTTTGTTTTCGCGGTTGGGAAGGTTGTTTGTGGTGGGCATGGGTTTCCTGTGCGATCAACGAGATTGAGTCTATTGATTATTGTTACAAGTTGTTGGTGGTAGTGTTGGTCTTTAGCAACCGGTGGCAATTCTGACGTGCCATTATGCCGGTGGGTGCATCTCTTCTCCTGAGGCAATTCTCCTTGCATAATACTTAAACCCTTATGTCAATATATGCCAACTCAGGGCCCTTGTACGGTGCAGCTTTGACATGGTAGTGGATGTTTCTTTGTTGTACTGTACGTGTGTGATGGGGGCTTTGGGGCTTGCGGTTGAGTCTGTACTTAGACTCCTTGTGCATTGAGTGGTGTGATGGGGCCGTACAATGTACGGAGTACCCCACAGCATGCTTGGATGTCTCGCCAGCTCTATATGTGTCGAAAGCGGTGAGCGTATTACTACAGTTTATCGAATGACTTCTGGTGCTTACTGCTTGTCGGCTTGTGTAAATGCGATGGCGGGTGAGAGGGTGTCAGGATTTGGTCTCATCACGGAGGTCTTGTTTTCATTTTTGGGATAGGGGGGAGGGAGGGGGGGGGAGGGGGGGGGTCCTCAAGATATCGCGCTCTTTGGTATAAGTTCTTGCTAGTGGTTTCTCTAGGCACAGTTGATGCCATCACAATATCAACTGGTTGGTGATTGGGTAATGGTGTGTTGGCCGTCACTTAAAGTCTCACATGCGCTAGTATATATCTGAGCCGGGCTCTTTGACTGAAAAGGTCGCACGAGTTCGCTGATGAATAATGGACATCCACATAGGGTTAGATATACTACAAACATAAGTTGAGCTTTATTATGATGAGTGATCACCAAATCAACAGATTTTGAGTAGGCTATCTTCCATCAGACCTGAATAAGGTGCATTGTCTATTGATGAGATGGATCAAAATTATGGTACATAGGCTGAGCTTAAAAGTCAATTACAACAACAAGGGCTTGTGGTTTAGGGGTATAACGCTCCATTCGCATTGGAGAGGTCCCGGGTTCGATTCCCGGCGAGTCCAGCTTTTTGTTCCCCCCTTCTTTTAGGGCTCTGGAGCTTTAGCTCCTCATTTTACCAATCTTGGGTAATGCAAATATCACTTCCTCGATGGTCTAACGGTCATGATTTCCGCTTGTCAATCCCACTCGGGAACAAGCGCGGGAGACCTGGGTTCGACTCCCAGTCGGGGAGTATTTTTTTGCTTTTTGATTGTTAATCAACGATGATTTCCCCGCATACGCGCAGTCATTTTGCTTCTGCCCCATTCGCCATCACCGATTCCATCCATGTCTTGCCCGTGTCTCGCCTAGTTCAACAGGTCAAACTATCGACGCTATTATCCCGTGCGAACACCTTCTACCAACCCGACACACTCGACCATCACACCCCCCATATCCCTAGCATCAACCTTCTGGCTACACCCAGACAGCCTAAGAATCTATGGCCGGCTTTCACAAGCGAGGCGAGGAGTGAGGACGTCCGACCCCGCGCAGTGTTTCTGTGGCATACCATGCACCCACTTGACTCGGCATGCCAGTCGATAGTGTGAAACTTTGCCCAAGCCAAAGATCGCTACGGTCGTGAGATCAGGAGACAAAACAGCCTTATCCTACCCTAGAGAGGGATGTAAACCCTGCAGAGTTCAATTGACAATATATTGAGTACGACGACACAGCGATTAGACCCACACAAGCCCGTTCGCCGACAAGAGCTGCCCACCAGCAAAAAGACAAAAAGATGGAGCTGCGGGGAATCGAACCCCGGACCTCTCCCATGCTAAGGGAATATTATACCACTAAACCACAGCCCCTGTTATTGAAATGAGGTTGGGGAGCTGACATTATGATGGTCTGACAAGGCAACTGATCACTTTTGAGAAGGATTTCTAGATCACCAACCTGTGTAATCACTACTCCTTGACCTATTGCACAATAGTTTTCATTCTTGAAAATCCCAATCGAGGCCAACTATACAACATTGGAAGAGTAGCATGGAAGTCTCATTCGCTACATACAGAGGACGCACCAGATAAGTCAAGCACATCGAACTGAATCATCAAATGCCAGCAACCCCAGGCTCACCCTCAATACCTCCCCTGCCATGTACAACCACCAAAGCCCTAATTGTTTGGCTCCACATCCACAATTTTGAGCAACCTTTCGGACTTAGGCGCCCGACTCCACGCCTCCCCCCAGCCGAGCTGCGCCCCAGGGAACCGGTAGAAGGCGCGCGCGCTGTCCTCATCGGAGGTCTGCAGCTGCGGCGGGAACTCGTAGGCCATGACGGACAGCGGGTTGCGGGGGCCCAGCTGCACGGTATAGTCATCCTTGGTGTCCTCGAGCTCCGGGGCGAACTCGTGCCGGAGGCCGAGGACGTGGCCGAGCTCGTGCAGGAAGATGTTCTTCAGGTAGGCGACGGAGCCCGGGGCGAAGGCCGCCTCGTACACGTTCAGGGAGTTCAGGTCGATCGGGCTCGGGAAGAAGGCCTGGGCCAGCACTCCGCCCTGGCTGCCGCCGTACGAGAGCACGAACGCCGCGTCCTCCAGCCGCGCCACCCACTGGATGCTCACCCCGAGCTCGAGCCGGTTCCACTCGTCGGCCGCCGCCTTCAGCGCGTTAGCCGCCAGCGTCGCCCACTCGGGCTTCGGGTACCCGTTGGCGAAGGCGGCGAAGTTGACGCGCTGGTTGGGGCCGGGCTTCCACCGCGGGATCGCTTTGCCGAAGCCGACTTGAAGGGCGGCAGTGTTGGCGGCTGGGTCGCTGCTGCTGGTGCCGGTGGCATCGGTGAAGGTCACGGGTGCGGGCTTCTGGGTCGAGCAGGTGTATCTTGCTGGGCTTTCAGAGGTGGAGGACGGCTCGTCGGGCTGTTCGTCGGAGAGGTCGGTTGCGGGGTCGAGGGTCTTTAGGGCTTCTTGCCCCACGGCGCCCTTCAGGTCATTGAAGAAGCTGGCGCGGCCTGGGTCGAGGGTGGCCTGTTGATCGGACATGATGACGGGTTGGGGTCGGTTGCGGATCGAGGTTCCACACCAGTCTTTAGCGACAGAGTCCAGCTTGGTTGGATACGGTGGTTGAGTGAGGTTTGGTTGGGATTGAGGCTGTTAGGAGAAAGAGCTTACGTTTGACCGGGAGGGTAAGACTGTATTTATGCCTTTCAGGGTGCACCCCGTCATGAGGGACCAGTTGGGAGACAGAACTCCACGTCAGAGTGTGTTACCGTGTTGGCGGTCGTTCAATGGTCTGAACTCAAATACTGAAGTCTATCTCTCTAGTAGTAATTGCGCAACACCTGTCAACTGACTCGGAGCCATCGAGCTTGGCTGCGGCGTTGGAGAGCTGAAGACAAAGGCCCCATGCATAGTTGGCGTTTGAAACAAGCTCGTGTTGTAGGCTAAGCTGCCACTCGGGGGATGTACAAGGATTGCCCGGTTTCAACACGAGCAGCCGCAAACGTTGATAGTGAAGTCCGCATCTATATGGCTTTTATCCCGGGTTTCCATGACCCCATTGAGCTGTCCATGGCTGTTCTACCCAACCCTAGTGCTGGATCTTGAGTACCAGTCCACAGTTCTGGGGCACTCGGGGCTGAAGGACCCGTTGGGCTGCGATCTCGCAAGTCAAATGACATGTCAGAGACCGACTTTGAGCGATTGATCGCCATAAGTGCAGATATCAATTGGTGGCTGCACGATGAGGATGATTCTAACAAGTTGCAGCAAGCCCTGCCTTGCGCAATACGAGGATGCGATTGCGCCAGCCGCCCCCGTCTATGAGCGTAGGCTGTGTTCCAAACTCAGATCCATGAAGAACAGCTCTTGTTGAAGAAAAAGCCAAGAGCAAACGAGTAATCTCTGTCACTGTAAGCTTAAGCACGGACCAAGTATCTGGACAGTGCAGCTGCGGGGGCTATGCACTGAATCTCGCGATGGCCGCATGCAGCCCTGCGACGATAAATGGTTCGTGGTTCGTATTAGGCTCACCCACCCAAACCTTAATCGCCATGTCAAATGCTCCATCTCGAGCTTCCTCCTGGATTCTGCTCGGACCTCCCTTTGTCAGGATTGAGCTATACCGTATCACTGTAGCTCTAAGTAGCTGGCGGGGATTTGTGAAACCTGCCTGCTCCCCTGCACGTACCACAACGTACAGTAGCATAGTATAATCTACCCAAGGCGTATCTCCATATTCACTGGACCTGAGCTTAACCTTACTTAGCTATGATGTACACATGCAGTGACAGTTCCAGCCTAGTCCCATGCTTGTCGCGAGGTTGAAATTCCTGTTGAACCACGTGGAGAGCCCGACAGAGAGGATCTGTTGTTGTAGTCAAACTGGCTTGGTTGTATCTCGTTCCCGTCTGTGGTTAGCTGGTTGAGGTGACGCTGATCCATGGCTCTTGTATCCGTGTCCGTCTTTGACTCCATACTTCCGTATTCACCTTCGAGTTTGGTCGCAGGTTGTGGCTAAGTTCTGAATCACTTCTCGTGAAATCTTCACTATATGAAGATACAGGTACATAGAACTCCTCGTTTCTTTTTCATCGTTTTTTTTTTTTTTTTTTTTTTTTTCACCTGGGAGCCGGGAAAGGTGAAGAGGCTGTTCGTCGCATCCCGCGAAGAACAAGCATGCTCTGCACCATCACAACAGCGCCAGTGAGACGATTATCCTCCTGAACTTCAACCGACGCTCCTATTTCGTTTGTGATGTAGCAGATCATAGAGCCGACCGGACATTGCTGACTCTTTCCGACTTGACTCACCTTGCCGATGTGACTTCCAGCAGCACCTCGGAGGTAGGCCTTGGCTCGCAAGATCCGACTCAATACAATCGAAACTATTTTTCTTGGTATATTCGAGGGACCAGGCGCTTCATATGATCTGGTGGGGAGGCAAAGTAGAGGAGTCAGAACTGAAAGTGTCACATGAGGATAACCATCCGCTATACACCTTGATCAGATCGTCGGTGATACCAAGCGATGGAAAGCTCGTGGAGGCCTCTGGTCTTGTAGCAGTGTAGATCATGCAACTCAAGTCAAGTTAGTTCACCCATGAACTGGCATTAGGTCAGATGCTCCCATGCATAGGATCATGGCCATCAGCCACCAACAGTACTTTCTGCTGATTATGCCTGGTATCAACTCCACATTCAAGAACCAAAACCCCGAAAGTAAATCTCCCGTACTGCGCATACGTGCACCTCTGCACACCCAACCAAATCCACCATGCCCGATACCTCCCTCAAAGAACCCGATGAAGAGCGCCCCCCCCACAGGGCGCGAATCTTCGAAGCCGGCACCACGGGCCTGCTCGCAAGCTGCGCTCGGAATACAACCACCACCGCTCCGAGTACCACGTCTTCTGCGCCGGCGTTCAACGTCCTGACGATCGCGCAGATGGTCGTCGGGGCGAGAATCACCGCGCTGAGGCCGAGCGGCGGCGCGCACCTGCTGGCCATCACCGTCCTCAGGGCCGTCCATACCGTCATCGCAGGCGTGCTCGCCTTCCTCAAGGGACGGGCCCTGCCTCAGCGGCTGCGGCGGAACATCTTCGAGCTGCGGAAGGTGCTAAATGCGATCGAAGAGACCCAAGTCCGCTTGCGGTACAGCGACCCCGAGCACTTCACGGCGGAGGAGGTCATGGCCCTGATGGAGGAGGCGCTGCGGCGCTACGTGGCGGCCGAGGAGATTATCGAGAATAATCAGCCGGGGCCTCAGTCGCTTCGAGTGAGTTTGTTGGGGAAGGCGCGGCAGGGTGATGAGGAGAGGGGAGGGGGCGTTCATCATAGTGGTTAGTTGCTGGTACTCCTGATTGTGAATAATAATTAAGAGATCCTCCTATAGACATGAAGATATTTTGTGCATGCAAATCACGATGCCCCCTTCCCAACTGGCGCAACTCCCAGAAGTCAACCCCAAACAATCACCGCTGCTTCACAAACTTCGTATGCAACCCCGTCGCCACCACCACCCGCTTCTCCCCGCCACTCGTCTCGTCCGGCACGACCTTACAGATCTCCACCGAGATGTAGGCCATCGTCCCGCCGACCTTCATCGCCCGGCCGGTCACCTCCAACATCTCCCCTTCCTTGGCCGAGGCGACGTACGAGACATGAAGATCCGTGCTCACCCCGGTGTAGCTGCCGCCGTAGGTGGCGATGACCATCCCCGCGGCCCAGTCGACGAGGCAGGCGGACATGGTCCCGTGCAGCCCGCCCTTGGAGTTGATGTGGGGCTTGGCGATGCGGATGGTCGCGTGGAGGTGGCCCTCGGTGGCGGCGGTGATGGTCAGGTCCGCCAGGAGGTGGGCGTAGATGGCGCTGTTGGCGCGCTGGGTGGCGCTGACGGTTTGGACGTGCGCGAGGGTTTCGTCCGCGGTCATCTTGGGGGCGGTGCTTGTCATTGTGTATGATTGAGTGATTGTGGGGTTGACTTTGTATAGGCTCAATTTGGGATTGTTTATGGTGGTGTTGGGGTAGAAGTGTGAGTGCCACTTTTTTTATGGTGGGGTGGGGCTGAGGGGAAATCCGATGAGACGGAGCGCTTCCGAGAGCGAGAGACTCGCGCGCGGCTTGTTCCGTCGGAAGTAGCCGGGCGGCTTTCCCTGGAGGTGGGTTCCGTTAATGCTTTTTCCATCCCACCCGACCGACATTTTACACTTATTTGGTTGGTGGTGTAACAAACGAAAGCCCTCAGCTCTCATGCTGAGAGCTACTGAATATCTCTCGAATCAACCCATCTAGATCCGAGACCCCGCTCCAGCCCTCGAAATCGCACCGCAGCAGGTCATCGAACAAGTTCAAGAACTCCGACGGCGGAGACGAAGTAGCTGTAGGAGGCTGTCCCAGCAGCCCCGCCTGCCATGAGAGCGTGGGGTCGTCCTCGTAAGAAGTTGAGCTCTGTCCCTGAACGACCCTACTCCTCTGGTCAACATGCTGCAGCTGGGCCGCCGGGACGCCAGGATCCCGCAGGCGATGGCGCATCGGCGACGACGCGATCTCGCCCGGACCCGCCTGGCTCTTGAGCAGCCGCTGCACCGTCAAGTTAGACAGCTGGGCGATGCAGTCCCGCGCGCTGGCGGCCTCCGCCCAGTGCTCGCCGATACTGCTCAGGATGCTCTGCGCAGTGTTGAGCCGGCGGATCAGTTCGTCCATGCGGAACCGCGTCGCCGTCTCCGGCAGCTTCCAGATCCCGTGCAGGAGGACGAGCGTCCCCAGGAAGACAGCGTGCACGGCCAGGCGGCTGTAAAGCAGTCGGCCGGCGTCGTACAGAACGCCGAAGCACTGCAGCAGCATGAAGGCGTGCTGGACGCACAGATCCAGCATCTCCGGGGCGGGCGCGGGGATCGCCGGGCTGGGCCGCAGGAGGAGCACCATCGTCTCGTGGTACTTGGCGTGGCAGTACGCGGTCATCCCGGTGTCTTGGTCCCGTGGGGGCTGCGGCACGGCGGACTGCCACTCCTGCAAAGATCGCATCATGTCCCGTTGCCAGGCGAAGATGTCCTTCACGGGTGGGTATGCGTAGGCGGGCGCGTCGCGGCAGATGCTGTGCATGACGTACTTGATTTCGGAATTGAGCTGCGCCAGTTTGAAGAGGTGGATTGAGTAGGACATGTGGGAGGGCGCTTCCAACGACATGGGCTGGTTGGCGGTGCGGTTCATGAGGTTGCTGTCGGGTATGTCCAGGGGGAACTGTCGTTGGTTAGTCCAGCATCATAACGAATAGGAGACTCTGATGAAGGCTCATGCATACCCGTATCTCACACGCTTCGTCCCTGAGTCCGATTGGACGACCCATCATGGTGCAGACTGTGCGGTCAAATGTGTACGTCACCCAGAACACCCGTGTCCGCATCTCTTGGGTGAACAGCGAAATCTGGTAAGACGGAGATGCGCGAACATCGCGTTGCAATCCCAAGTCTATCACGCTCGCCAGGCACTGGTAGTTCAGATTCCAGATGTTGACGTTGCAAGAGGGGTTATACAAAGCGTAGACCATGAGCAGCAACAAGCACTGTAGCGCGGCCATTGACCCATCGTGGCAAACGTCGTCCACGTACTTCATGGCCGACGCGTAGTAGCCTTCCACCGGGAGCTGGAGCTTGCATTGGCGGGAAAGGTTCAGTGACGCGATCGCTAGAACCATATACACCTGAAACGTGCTGGTTGGATTTTCCTCCGGAGCGCTGTACACGTCATTCAGCAGCTCCATGTGGCGCGGCTCGTGTAGAAAAGGGTACAGGAGATGGACGGTTCGGAAATAGGTGGTTGAGAGCTCGACAGCGACCTCCTTCTGTGGTGGCAGCGTGGCTGGTGGGTTCAGCAACTCGACGGGCAGGTGGGATAGATTGCCGCTGGCAGTGGATTCCTGCCTACCGCGCCACCCTGTGTTCGAGAAGATGCGCTTGGCGAAGAAGTACCCACTCGAAGGGCCGATGTAACGGGGATCACCCCCCCGGGAGAGGGACACCAGTCCGATCTCGTGGGCTTGGTGTGGCTCGTCCTGCATTGGGGCATCATGCGAGATCGACTGGTCGGGGGTGGGTAGGGCGGCTGCGCTTGTCTCCGCCACGACAGCAGTCGCTTGAGACATTGACTGATCGGGCGTCGGCAGGGTGGCTTGGCTCGATTCATTGGGAGCCTGCTGCGACTCTTGCGGAGATGCATGGTTCTGCTGCATGCTATCTTCCATGATTGATTCGTCCAGAGTCTCGGAGTGACGCTCCGGGCCATTACTCAGGTCGACATTCGAGCATTTTTCCCGAACAATCGACTCCAGCCACTTGATCCTGTTTTCCATATTCGCAATGTACCTACAACCATAGAATTAGTACGGGTAGTCAGACCCTCGAATTACGGCAGCGACTAACGAGCGATGCACTTCCTGCTTCCCACTATTGACGCAAGCGACGCCCGATTTCTGGCATGCGCCACAGGTAGGGGTGATGCCATCACAGCGAATCTTGCGACGCTGGCAGCGTCTGCAGGCGGCACGGTTGCGCGCGCGCCTGGGGGAGTCCATCGAGCGCATTATATGGAGAGGTAGTCTGGCCTGATGAGACCATGCAATGCATGGAGCAAACGGAGACTCGCCGCGAAGGGATGAGAAGATTAGCACGGCCGGGGAAAATCCGTTCGCCCGCTCCAATCTGGTGGTACTGGTGGCGGATGCCGACCGGAGGGCATCCGAGGGGAGCGGATGCGATCCGCCGACGATAAGCCCTGATAAAAGCCGGTGGGCAGAAGCAGAGAGCAGCAACAGCAGCGCAAAGAAAGGCAATCCATTCATTCATTCAGCGGCAGCTTGAGTTTCCTTCTTGCACAGTTTATCAAAAATACTACATCACATCATGCTCCGCTTAGACGGCAAAGTTGTCCTGATCACCGGCCTGGGCCAAACCACCGAGGAAGGCTGGGGCATCGGGGCGGCCATCGCCGCCAAACTGGCCCAGCAGGGTGCCCTCATCTACGGCGGAAACCGACCGCTCGCATCCGCCCAACGCACCAAGTCCCGCATCGAGGAGGCAGGCGGCGTCTGCGACGTCCAGGAGACCAACGTCACCGACTCAGCCTCCGTACAAGCGCTGGTCGACGCGTGCATGCGCAAGCACGGTCGCATCGACATCCTCGTCAACAACGTCGGCAAATCCGAGCCGGGGTGTCCGGCCACCATGGCCGAAGACGTTTGGGACGCGCAGGTGGACCTGAACCTCAAGAGCATCTATTTGACCTGTCACCATGTCTTGCCGATCATGGAGAAGCAAGCGACCGGAGGATCGATTGTTAATGTGTCGAGCATTGCGGGGCTGCGGTACATCGGCAAGCCGCAGGTCGCGTACTCGGCCACCAAGGCGGCGATCATGCAGTTCACGAAGGCGACGGCGGTCATCTATGCGGACAAGAACGTGCGGTTGAACACGGTGGTGCCGGGGCTGATCTATACCCCGTACACGCAGCAACTGGCGAAGAGGTATGCGCCCGGCGGGGACGAGGAGGAGTACATGCGCAAGCGAGACGCACAGGTGCCCATGGGTCGCATGGGCGATGCCTGGGATGTAGCCAATGCGGCGGTCTTTCTTGTCTCGGATGAAGCCAGGTATATCACGGGGCAGGAATTGGTGGTAGATGGAGGTATCACTTCGTCCACGGGGCGAGTGTGAGGTTTGACCTGGCGCGGGTTCTGATGTAAAATAAATCTTGTAGTGGCGAAGGATAAATTATTCATTGCTGGCTTGAAGTTGTCTGCAGTCAACTGGCTGCAGAATGCATGCAGTGCTTAAGTGACGACATATAATTTAGACGTCGAAGATCTCCTACGGACTCCGGAGGATGCTTACATATAAGCATTGAGCAATCATCAAACAAACACCCAAAACGAGTTAATTGATAGCGAGCTGATGCAATCTGATGCGCATTGTGCTGATAAGAGGGGCAATGCAACCCTCTGATTTGCGCGAAAGAGCCGAGGTTACACCGCTAATTGGGGCAATTTGTTGACTCCAACCTCCTCCAGGCTCCACCTTTCATCTTCCCCGATAACCTGTAGATAACGCGCGCTGATGCTACCATAAAAGCCAAGCCAAGCCCCTGCCATCAATTCAATACAGAGTATTTCGGACTGTACCTTTTTGAAGCACCATGACAAGGCGATCACTCTGGTCGGTCGCGCTGCTGGGTGCCTGGCCACTCACCCAGGCCCAATTTGTTGCCCCTCCGACAGACCTGATCTCCACCAAAGGGCATCTCGATGTCCCCGTACGGTACAAGCAGGTCCCCAATGGGATTTGCGAGACGGATCCCAGCGTGAAGAGCTTCTCCGGATACCTTGATGTCGCCGAGAACGAACACATCTTCTTCTGGTTTTTCGAAGCGCGGAACCAAGATCCCCAGGACGCCCCGCTGACGGTGTGGATCAATGGAGGTAGATCAACCCCGGTGAACTACCGCTTCCCATACAATTCTGATGTCAAAACTGCCAGGTCCCGGATCGTCGTCCATGATCGGCCTTTTCCAGGAGAACGGCCCCTGTGGAGTGGACGCGAATGGCTCCGTGTACAACAACCCTTACTCGTGGTCGAATGCGAGCAACATGCTGTACATTGACCAGCCGGTGCAGACCGGCTTCTCGTACAGCATTCCCGTCCCCGGCTACGTCGACTCCGAGACCGGCAACGTGATCAGCCTGCCCTCAACCAGCTGCCCGGACTATGCAGCCGGTCTCTCGTGTGGGACCTACTCGTACCCCAACATCAGCCTGACGGCCAACTCGACCGACAACGCGGCCCCCAACTTCTATCGGGCGCTGCAGGGCTTCATGGGCGCGTTCCCACAGTACTCGCGGGAGTCATTCCACTTCACCACCGAGAGCTACGGGGGTCACTACGGGCCCGTTTTCAACGAGTACATCGAGCAGCAGAACGCCCATCTCCCGCACGGAGCCAAGAAGATCCAGCTGGAGAGTGTGATGATCGGGAACGGGTGGTACGACCCGATCATCCAGTACCAGGCCTACTACAACTTCACCGTGAGCCTCTTCCTTGCCTCGTATACACAGTCAAAGACTCACTAACTCTGCCTCCAACCAGGTCTACCCCGGCAACACCTACGACTACCAGCCCTACAACGCCTCCATCAGCGCCCTCCTGTACAACAACGTGTACGGGCCCGGCAACTGTCTAAGCCAGCTGCGCGACTGCGCCGCGCGCGGCACGGACGCGATCTGCAGCACGGCGGACTCCTTCTGCGCCAACGAGGTAGAAAGCATATACGACATCTACCTGGGGCGGGACGAATACGACATCCGGGAACTGACGCCGGACCCGTTCCCTTACGAGTTCTACGTCGACTACCTGAACACGGCGCGGGTGCAGGCTGCGATCGGGGCGTATGTAAACTTCACAGAGAGCAACAATGCGGTGTCCGCGGCGTTTTCGGCCACGGGCGACGACGGCCGCCGCATGCGCACCACCGGCGACATCGCCGCCCTGCTCCGCCAGGGCGTCTCCGTCGTCATGTACACCGGCGACGCCGACTACAACTGCAACTGGCTGGGCGGCGAGGCCGTCGCGGCCGAGGTGGGCGCCCCCGGCTTCGCGGCCGCGGGCTACACGAACATCACGACATCGGACGGGGTGGTGCACGGCCAGGCACGCCAGGCCGGCCGCTTCGCCTTCGTGCGCGTCTACGAGAGCGGCCACGAGGTCCCCTTCTACCAGCCTTTGCTGGCGCTGGAGATGTTCGAGCGGGTGATCTCGGGCAAGGACGTGGCGACGGGGACGGTGGACTCCGGGGCTGAGGGGTACAAGACCGTTGGTTCGGTCAAGAGCACCTACCGCGAGGGCAATGGGACCGTGCAGTGGCAGGTGCTGGATCCGCTGGCGACGTATAACACTACGACGAACAAACCGAACCCGGTCGGTGGGAAGCGGGCGCGGAGGCAGGGGTGGCGGAAGAGTGCGCTGCGGTTGCAGATGTAGTCTGCTGTAGTCTTCTGATGCGATTGCGTTGGAGCACAGCGTATGATTGAAGCGAAGAAAATATCTTCACTATTATTGACAAATTTATTCGATACAAAGTGTCTCTCTCAAAGATCCCCCGTAATCTACTTTATACCGCAAACTGACACATATACTCATCCTCCGGATCCACCTCGAAGTCGAACCGCACGAGATCCTCCTTGTAAGGGAACATATATGTGGACGTCACCCTGCCACCGGAGATTCAGCCTTGACACACAGAGTTGGGGTGGGAGTGGATGACCAACCAGTGATGCTCCTGACTCGCCTGATACTCCGCCAACGCCGCCAGATTCTCATGGTAGCTGACCAGCGCGATTTGGAACCCCTTGCTGCGGTCGATCGGGTCCGTCACGCTGGGTCCCCCAACAACGAGCCGGCCATCCTTGACGCAGGGGAGACTCTTGAGTTTCTTGAGCTCGGTGACGAAGGTCTTTTTGTGCTCGTCGCTCACGTCGGAGCGGAATTTGAAGAGGACTGGAGAGGAGACGTCTGGATTAGGATGGGTGCGGTTTGAGGGGAAAGTGGTTGCGGGGGAACAGACCGATATGTACAAGGGTCATGATTAATGTATGGGTGAGTCTGTAGATAAACAGAATGTTTGGATTGATATCAGAATTGTTGCTGCGTTGGAACGTCTTGTTTTTTAGATATATTTAAAACGACTTCGTTGCTCGGAAGCGGGCCGAGGAGGACTCGTGTATCGGGTAGTCGACGCGGATACGTCCCGCATCCCTCTTGGCGGTGCGTTTGCGGTGTATTTTTGGTACTTTTGGTATGACCGGGTTCTGGGCGACCGATTGGCGATACTAGGGATGAAAGGTATTATTCTGAAGGGAGGATGTTTGGTCATATTTTGGGTCTCTTACTACTGTGTTGCTACTGCGCTGATTTCAACTGTTACTGACAGCCTCGGAAACTGCTTTCTTCCACCAAAGCGACGGCATAGGAACCTCGTGCACGCACAATCCCCTTGACTGCTTTTCCTAGTTAACTCCTTAGCACCAACAACACCGACATGAATATAAAGAAGCAACTTGGCCCTGAAAGACAGAAACTTCATTCCTACAACTCCGGATTACCACGGCCTTCGGCATTGCTGTCGATGCCAGATCTGATAGTGGGCGTGCTGGTTACAAGTGCCATATCGATAGATCAGGGCGGGTTCGCGACCATTCTTGATGGCTCGCCAAACCGCGTGGAACGCCCGGTCAATGTTAACGTTGTCGTCCAGCTGCAGCTCCAGCCAATCGCCAACGCCATCCATCTCCATTTTGACGCGTCCCAGAAGATCCTGGTCGCGGTCGAGGTGGTTCACATCGAAGGCGAAGACCATGTATGCGGTGAAGAGCCGGATCCAATAATGGTTCACCCACTGGCCCTTGTGGCGCATGATAAGCCGCACGAGGTTCTCCACGGCTTTGGCGGGTGTCAGAATGTTGACTGGGTAATGCTTGGGGTTCTGCCGCCCCCGGAAATTGAGCAGGCCGGTTCCAGCGGCGGGCAGATGGCTGGATGCGGTGGTTCGATAGACCGAAGCCCCGGGGGCGCTCCGCGGGGTATGCCGCGACAGCGGCCACAGAAAGGCTGGTTCGTCCCCGTGCTCGGCTGGACCGCAGGGCGGATCTGGGAGGGCCGGGTGAATCACGGCCTTCATGGGATACAGAAAGATCCCACGCGACTGGTCCGGGTCCCAGGCGGACTTGGGGTAGCGGTGGTCGGTGTGGAAGTGATACGCCGGCCGGGGGTAGGCGCGGTGTGACGGCTTGTCGCGCCGCAGGACGGCGCACCGGGCCTTCTTCGAGTGGATGCTTCGTCGCTTGCCTTCCGAGTCTTGGTCGCCCGTCTCCTCCTCCTCCTCCTCATCCCCCGCACTGTCGCTGTGCCCCAGCATCGCACTCCACTCCGCCGTGCGCGGGCAGGCTGGGCAAACCGGGAATCCGTCTGCCCGCAGGATCTCCGCGGCCTGGTCGAGGTTCTGCTCGGGGATCGCCCATTCGGAATTCTGGACGTAGATTGGCACCCCAGCGTAGGAGGCGGCCATCTCGCCGGACACGGTGGCCTTGATACCGTTCGTGCCAAACAGATAGGACATCCGGCGGTGCAGCTCGGGACTGTCCGGGGCATCCACCGGGAACTTCACCGGCGGCGGAGGCACGGGCTTCCTGTCTTTCGCCTTGAGGCCCGGGGTCTGGTCTAACCAGTAGGGGATCTTGGCCAGCGACACCTCGTCGGGTCCCACTACGTTGACGCTCGAGACAGTTTCATTATCGGATTCAGACGAGGTATCCGAGTCCGAGTCGGGGAGTCCGTAGTCCAGATTCGTGGCCTTGCATTGGGAGGCAAATTCTGTTTGTGCAGACTCCATCTGCTGAATGGCCATTTTGATATAGTTATGAGCTTCGTACAGAGATAAAGTATACTATGATGGAGTAGAAGGGGTGACACTCCAAGTGTTTTGGGAGCTTATATACTGTACATCCTGTGATTTTGTTGCTTGGTTTCAGAGTGAAAGTTTGTGACATGCCTTGTCATGTTGCTCACTTTGTTTTCCTTTTATAAGCTAAAGAGCTTCATCTTAGATACAAAAAAAGACGTATATTATGAGATGGATATTGGTGATATGTAAGAGAGTCGGGGTCTTTACCCGTTTCTTTGACCCTGGTGTGCTATATTATGTCTCCATTGTTACAGTTCCATTGTTGCTTTGTGTGTACGTCTTTGTGCGAACACGAACAAAACGTTGTGTCCACCGTACTAGACTGCTTTGGACGACCACAATCCAGCCAATCCAGGGAAG